GTGTATATAATAAATTTGTAACTTGGTCGAGTAATTTACATAGGACCTGCCAAAGGGGGTTTCATTTAGACTACTTTTTCTAAACAAATACGAGATTCTTGCGTGCTACAGAAAGAATCAATTTTCAGTTGGAAAAATATGACTTTTTTAACGAATTTTGACATGAAAAGTAACACACTTATTTCTATTGTAAAGGGTAATGTTTTCAGAAAAAATCAACTTTTTCCGTGCTAGAATGGCAAGGAATCTGAGCAAAAAGGTGTTTTTCTATTGCCCTCGAAGTGCGACGGTCAGATTTTCAAGTATAAATTTTGCACATTCTTAGGGCATACGCCACATTTCAATTGCTGATAGTTTTAGCTTGCGCTTTCTAGGGGCGACCGAAATATTCAAACATCTTTGAAGGCGAGAGAGCATACGAAATGCGGAGAGCGGTCAGAAACCCCATTTTTTGAAATTTCTTTGCGAGTGTTGCGCGGAAAATTTTTTTTTTGATATCGCTCTCTACAGTATTAGGTAGAAAACTTTCCATGCCAAAATTAGCAGAAACTGTCACATTTTAAAAAAAGTTTCGACCTAAAAAATCTCTCTTTTCTTTCTGTAAGGCGCGAGCTAGGAGTCTCGCATATGTCCTAGAAAAAATATTATAAATTTGTGCCAAGTTTCATCAAACCCGAGCGTTGCACTTGGAGCTTTCTTGACCTAAAAAAACTACGGTATCCCTTCAATACCTCTGTATTTGCGGAAATTAGCCTCCATCTCGGTTTCTCCGGCGCTGCTCGTAACGTACTCACTAATTGTTTTGATATGCCGTTCCCCTTTTCCAATGACAATTCCCAAAATAAACACAAAGTGCATGTTATTTATTTCGTCGTCTCTTTATCGGCCATGCCTGTTTACTCGGACATGCGTTGTTTTTTTGGAGGGGCGGAGATAGCCGTTCCAAGAGTTCAGTACGCGAAACACGGAGGCCGGACAGGAGCACTTTTTGGCCATATCTTTGTTAGTCATTTGCGGAAAAATTGATTTTTTTGTGGAAGCGTTACTCTTTACGGTAGAAAGAGTCATGGAAATTTTCATGTTAACAGCTGCATATTTCTTTAAAAAAGTTAATCTACTTTATGCCAAGTTCCATTAAAATCTGGGCGTCGCGCTTGAAGTAAATATTATACTTTTCCCTGTTGGTGTTCTCTCTCCAGAGCCCAGATTTAGAGATATCTCGGCTGCGTCTGCAAAGCGAGAATTGAAATTTTTAAGGACCAGTCTGTCGGGAAAATAATGGGCATAGCCGCGGCTGGAAATTTGGTGCGATGAGACGCGATATTTTGCTCCAAAAAATCCTCATTATTTTTCTGACGGACTGAAAGTTAATGAAATATCAGTCTGTCGGAAAAATAATGAGCACTCTATCGTACAGAAAATCGGCCGTGAAAATGAATTGAGCCGCGGCAAAATCAAATTTCTTTCACTTCAGCAACGCGATTGGCGCAGCGACATGGTGCTCATTATTTTCCCGACAGACTGATATTTAATTCTTTTTGTACATGATTTAATTTTAATTTCCTTTGCAATAAGTTTCGACATCACTGAACGTTCAATTCGTTCTCTATGTATGCACTGAATTACATGCACACAGCATTTTTTAGACCCTACACATAATGCAAGTTTTACACAATCCAGCTGACCATACTGCCGTTTAACAATGCGTGCTTTGTTCTTTTGATGAGTCATTGTTCGAGGCACATGCATTTTGTAATAGAATTTTAAAGAAGAAGACGTTCTTTGATGGGACGCACGCAACCTTGTTGCAAATTGTGTTGCAGAAGCGGCTAAAAAATGTATTCTGAAACAACCAAATGGTTTTTCTTGTGAAAATGCTCTGTACTGGGGCAGTTGGGCTTGATCTCGAGTAGTGCTGGGCGAAAAGCGGCGAATTCTCGATGAGGGAAACTATGTAAAAAATGACCTTGTTGCCACTTTTCTATTACTTTTTGAGAGGTACCTCCGCGGGGGCCCCGTTATCGGTCCGCAACGTTTCTGGACTGATTTTTGCGACATGCAGTGTGCGAAAACAAAGGTTCGCTTTAAACTGCAATTTTTTGCTTTTTCCACAATGCAATAGACTTTTTTGCGTTGTCGCTCGCACCTGACTGTTGCACAAACGTCAAAGAACACTCCATAAACTTTGCAAACAATCTAGTCCCACATGGAAATCACGAATCACGCACTAGCAATCTTTGAGGACTCACAACCAGCCCTAACTTTATAGCTTGCACTTTTCTGGCTACCAACATTTATTTTTGTATTATATAATATTATTCCATCATTGGTTGTATTACGAGTGTTTTCGAAAAAAATAATATGTATGTACAATTTATCGAACTTTTTTTTCTTTTTTTTTTGATCTCATTATTTTCTCGACAGATTGATATGGCGTTTTTTACTACAAGCCATTTCGATGATTACTTCCGCTATTTTACAGCCATCTTGCAGCCATATATATCTTATTTTTGTCTCCTCCATTGGCATATTCCACACATCAAGGGTTTGTTTACAGTCCCAAAAAAAGGCTGTAAACATACCATTACGCTGTCGGAAGCAAAATATCCCAGCATTCTGGCTAAAATTTGACCCACACCGTCGTAGTTCCAACTATTCCATTGTAATTTGATGTTCGAATTAATCGAATGTCTTTGGCACAAGGACCTTCATTGGCCGCCATTTTCTTGGCCAATTATCCCGCCACGTCAACGGCCAAACATTTTCGAATTTGGCGGGTTAATTAAGAAACTGAATACGAATTTTCGGCGAGGTGTTTGAGCTGGGTTTTGTAGCTTTTATGGGGAAAGGATTTCCAAGAGACGGACGGGAGAAGACGTTCATGAGATGTAAAGCTTTTCTAGGAGAGTCTTCGTATGTTATATACTACAGGGTGGGCATCTTTGTGGCCCGATTTGAATTGGCTATAACTTCTTTAATTTTTGGCCAAATCTTAAATTTTTTTTCCCTGAATCCCCAGACAACCCCACTTTGTTTGATACCAAATATGTTATAGATAGGTGAGTTTCATCTACAGTTATTGGATTTATTCTTGGAGTTAATTTTTTCGGTCGTTTTTCGGTTGTAGCAGTTTTTTAGTAAGCTAGTTGAAGGAGGTTTGTGCCAAGTTTTTGTAAAATCTGAACGTCGTACTTGGGGCACATTTCCTAATAGAAATACAGGGTGGGGCATCTTTGTGGCCCGATTTATTGGATCTAACGTTTTTAGTTTTTGCTCAATTTTTGCTGTAAGCTAGTAAATGGTTATAACGCATTTGGTATTAAACAAAATGGGAACGTCTGAGGATTCAAGGAAAAAAAAAAGAATTTTATGGTTTGGCCAAAAACTAAAAAAGTTATAGCAAATTTAAATCGGGCCACAAAGATGCCCCACCCTGTACATTTATCAGTCTGTCGGGAAAATAGCAAGCGCAGTGTGAACGGATTAGCATTCGAATCACTGTGTTAAATGAGCGATAATTTTTGGTACGACCTTCTCGTTGCTCCTACCCTTTTCTAAATAGTATAACGCCAGTCTGTCGGGAAAATAATGATCACAATATCACTGCGCCGATTGTGTCTTTAAAGTGAAAAGCAATTTGATTTTGTTGCGACACAAATCATTTTCTCAACGTCGATGCAATTTTCGATGCGACAAAGCGCTCATTATTTTCCCGACAGACTGATATCTCCCGATCTCTTGCGAAAAAATAAGGATTTTTTTGGCCCAAAAAGTACATTTTGTTCGCCTTTCGGTTCACAATGCAAAATAAATTGTTTTGAAAAGGGCAATCAAATCACGAAGTGGTCTTTATTTACAACGTTCCGTTTGTTTTTTGTCGCTCAAAATCTCTCCGCGACCCCGGTAAAAATATGTCAAGAGTTTGGCCACTTATTCATAGTTGACTTGCAGGTGAAGTACTTCAAGTGCGACTCTTAGATTTTGATGAAAATGCCACAAATTTGGGATAAGTTTTGTCGAGATATATGAGAGACACTTATTTTCGCATATCCCTGATTAAAATACGATCTCAATGTATGATAAGCTTCCGTCGAAATCTGAATTGATCCAACTCTACATAAAAATATGTCTGTTATCAGTCTGTCGGGAAAATAATGAGCACTCTGTCGCATCGAAAATCGTATCGGCGCCGAGATAATAAATTGTGTCACGGAAAAATCAAATTGCTTTTTACTTCAGCGACGCGATTGGCACAGCTACATTGGGCTCATTATTTTCCCGACAGACTGATACTCAATTTTAATATCCACTTATTTTAATAAATATTCGATCATCGTGCTTCCACAATCGAGGATATATAGTGGGGGTACTGATCCAGTGGCAAAAAATGTACCATTTTGCGTCCGGGAAGTATCAAAAATATGGCGAAATGCCTCCCTCTCCAAACTTCGTTTTGAAGGGCGGGCGCGCTTTTGGAATCGGAGTTTTTTCACTTGAAGAGGGAAGCATTTTGCCGCATTTTTGCCATTGCATCAGGTCCCCACTGTATACCAAAAATATTGATTCGTCGCTGCGAAAAATATGAATCGCCCGCGACATAAGACAAAAACAACTAAAAATGCACTGTGCAGATGGTGTTTTTGGGTCAAGTGTACCGTCCAAAGCCATTTTTGAGCGATTTTCGCTGCACAAAGACGTACAAAGAAATGTGTGTTTTTTGCTTTTTAGCCGCCCAGTAGTAAGTGAGTAAACAAAGCCCCCTCCCCCCATCCTCCTTTTCAACTATGACGTCATTTATACTTAGTATCTCTTTACACTTCTCCTTTACACCATATGAAATTCTTTCTAATCCAAAGAAAAGTCTGGGAATAATTTTTCCCACCACCTAAGAAAACACAAAGAATTTGTCGGGTTCATGTCGTACCTTTGCCGTTCTTTGCGTGATCATGCTACCAATGCTTTCCAGGGTTCGGCCTATGTATTTTACCAAAACGCCGAACATGTCGGAATACCAGTGGCTGCCGCTTGAAGACGACGACGAGAACTATATTCATTTATATGCCTTTGTTAATTTGCTGCAGAAAATCATATTCGTTGTTGGATTATTTTTGAATTTGTATTTCTTCTACAGAGTCTCGAAGGCGTCATGTATTCATCTGAATTTCAGGATTGTTTTGGTAGGTGAAATATGGGAATTTAAAGTTTTTAATATATTATACATAACAAGGTATAGGCAACAGAAATAGATATAGAAACAGATGTCGGTTGGCTCAATTTTAGATAACCATTTTACTATATCAGTCTGTCGAGAAAATAATGAGCACCGCATCAGAAATCGCAACGCCGCCGAGAAAATGAATTGTGCCGCATCAAAGTAATTCTTTTCGCTTCATCGATGCGATTGGCTCAGCAGCATTGTGCTCATTACTTTCCAGACAGACTTATAAGACATATTCAATGTATAAAATCGCAAAAAAGTTTTTTGAATTTTGGCCTAAACACCTGATTTTTGCCAAGTTTCGACCAAAAAATCTCGACTGTTTGTACAATTTGCAAACTAGGAATCTGGCATGTTTCGTAGAAAAAATTGATCCAAGTTTGTGCCAATTCTCATCAAAATCAGAGCGTCACACTTGGAGCACTCTCCCATTGGAAATATAAAACTTTTGTAGAAATATAGTTTGTAGAAAAAAATATATAAAAAAATTTTTTTTGAAAAGGTAAAATACGTTTTTTTTCATGAACTTGACAAAAAACAGTAACGCTTTATTATCCTGTCGGGAAAATAATGAGCGCAATGTCGCCGCTCCGATATTGTCGCTGAAGTGAAAAGCAATTTGATTTTTTGCCGCGACACAATTTATTTTCTCGGCGGCGATTCTATTTTCGATGCGACAGAGTGCTCATTATTTTCCCGACAGACTGAAATATATTATATAAAATCCCAAACTCCAAAAATCTAAAAAATATACTTTTTTTCAGTTTTGTGCCGCCATATCCTTTCAAACCATGACCTCATCCCATTTCATTCTCCACCTTATTCTGGACAACACTATGAATCTGAAAAGCCGATTTCTCGTCAATATCTTCAACTTGTTTACTTGCCACGTTCATATGGTTGCAATCTTCTCCTCCGCTTTGTGTATGAATATGATTGCGGTGGAGCAGCAGCTGGCCACCTTTTTTGTCCTCAATTATGAAGAGCGCTCTGGAATCATCGGAGTGATCTTGATGATTATTGTGGTAAGGGTTTGAATTTTTGATAGTCATTAGTTTATTAATATATAGAGAGTTTGGCAAGTTGTAAAGCTCCACGTAGAGCGAGTAGGATCGCAAATTTTATCGGCATTTTTTCAGAATTTATAAAAAATTTAAATTTACAAGAAAAGAACTGCAAGCAAATTGCAAAAGACGTACCATTTTGCATCCGGGAAGTGTCAAAAATGTAGCAAAATGACTCCCTTTCCAAGTGAAAAAACTCCGCTTTCAAACGCGCGCCTGCTCTTTTTCTGAGGGAAAGGGCGCGCTTTTTGAAATCTGAGGTCTTTAACTTGGAGATGGAGGCATTCTGCTGCATTTTTTTTGATACTTCCCGGCTGCAAAATGGTACGTTTTTTGCCACTTGGTTAAGTCCGGAACTGTAAAACCTGAAAGCTTTAGCTCGCGCTTGACGGACGCAACCGCGATATTGGACACCTCTTGCGGCCAAGAGAGTACGCAAAATGCGGAGAGCGGTCACAGAAAAGACACTTTTTAGACCATCGTTTTTAGACCACTTTCATGCGGAAAAAAATATTTTTTTTGTGAAAACGTACAGTTTTTTTCATCAGCAAATTTGCCAAAAGGTGTCCGACTTCTTTCAAGTCTTTGTGCCTTCTGTAGCGTGTCCTATTTTCTTATTTTTAGTTCTTGCAAAGCGTCCCAACTGGCGTTTTTTACCAGCATTTTGTGATGGGCGACGACTTCAAGCTGAACCACACTTACAATTCCTGCATTCTTACCGACATTTATCCTCAGGTTGGTCTGCATGGGTTCTCTGTGGCACTCATTACATGCACGATCTCGGCGTTGGTAAGTCTTTGAGATTCATTGACAAGCGAAGCATTCTAAGAGCAACGGTCATATTCTCTTTTAATTTTGCATACATTTTTCTTTCACTTGGATCACTTCCCCAGTCAATCATATAATTTTAGTGGTTGCTGATCCTGCGGAGCTACAACAAACGCCAAACAAAGAATCGACTGAATCTCAGCAGTTTGAGTGCGCGATTTCAACAGACAATGAACTCGGACAGTAACGCATCGATTGCTCCGAGCATGGTGGGATACGCAGTAATGGCGCTGTTGGGGCTGCTGGTGGAAGGGACCAGGATTTATTACATTCACGATTATGGAAGTAGGATTGATCGGATTTTTATTAAGGTGAGTGAATAATGAAGATATACATATATATGTATACATATATTTCACGGCCCTGGTTTATTGTTACGTGTTATAGGGATTTTTTACAGTGGAAGCTACAGTAAATCATCATTATCTAATTCGTAATACGAAACATATCCCTAGGCTTAAAAGTAGATTTTGGCATCAGCTTAATTTTACCACATGGCCAACTTTGAACTCATTTTTAGTTTGTCTATCCAAGTAAATAATCCTTTTGGACTTTGCTGACTTTAAAAGGGCAGTCCATCGACCGTGACTTTTGAACCGCGCTCTTTACGGTATGGGAACGAAAAATGTAAAAAAAGTTTCTTTTAATCCAGCAGCAAAAACCAATTCTGCGAAGCAAATCGTCAAATAGTAATTATCAGTCTGTCGGGAAAATAACGGCGGATCGTCGCATCAAAATGCCTCGCCTCGCCGCTATCGCGCACCAAATCCCAAGCCGCGCCTTGCAGTCGCAAAGCGATGATGGGCGATTCCAAGGTGCGACGATTCGCCGTTATTTTCCCGACAGACTGATATTATCCCACACCCGAGAATTTCTCGACAATTTGCTTCTGTTGTTATCGGTTCAATAGGTAAACTAATTTTCGTAACATGTCGTTTTCTAAGCCATAAAAGCGCGGTTCGCCAGTAGACATACAAATCCACACAGCGAATAAATACTAAATTTGTCAACGCTGTACTCTTTTTCGACCCCATTTGCAAGGGCCCCAAGGTGCGGCACTAAAATTTCGTTAAAATTTTGCACATTACACAGGCCAAATATCAACTTCTAAAAATTTTTGTTTTCACCTGGCAGGGGCAGCCGAGATATTGAATGATCTTGGCGGCCGAGAGAGTAGGTAAAACGCCGATAGCGGTCATAGAAAAAAAACGCTTTTAGACACATCTTTGCAAGTGCGGAAGAAAGATTACTCTATAACTAACAACAAACTTTCATTTCAAAATTTTTTTTCAGCTGACCTTTATGATTCTGGACGGCTACGGGATCTGCCACGCCCTCTGTTTCCTCATCTTTAACCCGGCTACCCGAATTCAAGTTTACCGAGACTTATCCCGTCTTTGTGGACATCAAATCGACTCCTACAAGCAAACCCGCTCTCATCTGGAGACCAGCCAACTTACCACTGAAACATATTTCAATCAACTGTATACCTCATGGAATCGAAAGAACTAAAACTATTTTTTGTTATATCAAAGATCATACAAGAGATCTTTGACCTTTATTATTGATAAATATTTGGTTTATGATGTCATTTTGGCTCCGTACTGCAGCTAGTGTGCCGATGTAAAAGTGCAAACCAATTTTTTAGGGGTATTACGGAAATAAATCTGCAAAATTAATTAAATTTGGAGATTTGAGCGCTTCCTGACGTCGGATGATGAACAACCTGACAAAACGAGTATGTTTCAAAATTTGGAAGTGCCAATAAAGGCGTCGGCGGATATATGTATATATATTGGTGAGGTTTTCGTAAAGCATGTCTTACTAGTCCGTTCGTAAAGCCGTTGATTTTGCGAAAGCCTTGCTCTGTCATGCTCAGGTTTCTCTAAAACTTTTTTGCTAGCAAAACCTTGCAATCACTTTTTTGTGTTTGTACTGATTCTAAAATCTTTGGAATTTCAGGGTTACCCACAGAATCCTGTCCGAAATGAGGATTCGCTTTTCATGGCTCCTTGTCGCTGTGATTGCAATGTTAGGTAAGCCTATTTCTTTTGTAGAGTGTGATTTCCACAAAAACTTGCATGTTTCCGCACGAAACAATGGCCAAAAGTGTTTTTTTTTTTGATACCGTTTCGCCTACTCTCTCAACCACAGAATCGGTGAATATCGGTCTGTCGGGCAAATAATGTGGATCTGTCATAGAAAAATATCTTGCTTCCTCGCGATCGCGCACCAAACCTCCAGCCGCGGCAACGCCGTCGCAAAACCGATGATGGACGATTCCAAGGCGCGACAAATCCACATTATTTACCCGACAGAGCCATATCATGGTTGTGTCTGCAAAAGGGAAAGCAAAAATTTTCGGGAAGTGTTATGTGATCTATGCACCAAGTGGGAGCAAAATCTTAAGAAAATCTGAGTTTCGCATTTGTGGTACCTTGTGAACTAAAAATACTAGCTGTTCGTTTTCACAGTAAGAGAGAGAAAACACAATTCTTTCCAGGATATCTATCTCATGCCAGACCACACTACTTGTCGCGAGCCGAGCACAAAGATCAACGGTACAACCGGCTCGTCCCATATACGGTATTCCTCCCGAGACAGCATAGGTTTAGCTCGAATTTTTTCGACGTTGATTCCTCAAGTTTTTCCGGGCTAGCGGGCCACTGGAGACGAGCGAACAATGACGATGAAGATGTAAGTGAATACGCAAAGTTTTAACGGATATTTTAGCAGCCACTGCGATTTGGATGAGCTGGATTTGAAAGAGAAATAATGGTGTCTCAGCAGCCACTTCACTTTGCCTAGCCTTTTTGTTGCTTTTGATTACTTTGCTTGTTGTTTTGGTGAATAAATTCTTGGAGGAATGTGGACTGACAGTCATATGCTTATATTAGAGAAGTTGTTCTAATGTCAAAGATGCGTAGAGTAAAATTCAACAGACATATCGGACATAGGTCCTATATCAATTCTTGGAAGGTTTAGCTCACGCTTTGCAAACGCAGCAGAGATATTCGACGATTTTTAATGAACCAAAGAGTACACAGCAAGAGCGAAGGGAGTGCTGCGGTCTTTCCTTTGGCCAAAATTTGGGTCGTTTCTGCAAAGCGCGAGCTAGATGTGTCACATATGAAAAACTATGGAGACTGCAACCCCCTGACATTTCGACGCTGGTTAAAACAGTAAAACAGTTAGGTTTGGCTCAGGCTTAGCTTTGCATTACGCTTAGCTTAGGCTTAGGGGTGTTTAGGCTTTGGTTCAGAGAATTTAACGGTCTTTTTCACGTATAAACTGCATTTGAAAAGTTAGGGGATTTAATCGTTTGGGAGTTCGGTCAAGCACAATTATCGGTTCAGTATCTCAGATGCCATTGCAAAGCGCAGGTCAAGTTTTTCAGGGCTTCAAAGAAATCAGAGTGTTGCACTCCTAACAAGCGTTTTGTTAGCCAGGGCATTTTAAAGTCGCTGTATTTTTTGCAAGAAATGATATTACGGAAGAGAAAAAATTCAACATTTCCCATTGCTGTGGTTCATTTCCGTTTCAAATCGCAACCCAATTTGTGCCGAATGCCATTGATCTGACGTGATCTTGCGTCCCAACACATGTATCAAATTAAGCTCTTTTTTACGGCTCATCAGCTGACTGGCCCGGCGTTTTTCGTTGTAAATATTTTCCCCGAATCCATGACGATCGGCATTTTGTTTTTGATTGCTCTTATCTATTGGAGGCAATAAAATGAGTCAGGTTTTCAACTACGGTTGAATTAGTAGTTTATTGTTAGCTGTTGGAACCGAAAAAAACAAATATTTCAACTATTTGGAACGTTGAAATATTTGTTTTTCTGGTATTTTGTCGTAGGACTATTTCTGTTCTTTGCGTCCAAATTTGATTTATAAATTTGAGCGGGTGAGCGAGCTTTGGGAAGAAAATAAATTCGTATTTGAGGGCCGAAATTGGTGTAAGCGTTAGCGGTCTATGGTCAAGTCGGTTATGGTAAGTAATGGTAGGCTTAGAAAAATCAGAAAACGCTGAATGTCTCGACTGAACAGCTCAAGCCAAGTTTTAATAAGCTGATAGGTTGCCTCAGACTGAAGTCAAAATCGAAGACTTGCATTTTGAGGTACTATATAGACCTTTTGTAAAGCCTCTGGACCAATTTTTGGCATTTGTACCGTGCAGAGAAAGTCACGGTCCGAGCGACAAAAAACCTATTGCACGGTGCGAAAAGCAATAAAGTGCACAGTGCAAAGGAAACTTTTGTTTTCGCACAGTGCATTTTTCGAAAATCACTCCAGCTATTTACTTTGTGGACAAACGATGTACATAGTACCCCAACAGGGAGCCCTTGATTTTTACTTTCAGTTTGAGACAGCTTTATTACGAAAATTTTGCTCGAACTGTTCAGTCGAGACAACGGGCATTTGCCACCGAGAGAGCACACGAAATGCGGAGAGCGGTCAGAGAGGAAACAGTTTTTGGTCGTATCTTTGCCTGTTTCATGTGGAAAAAATTGATTTTTTGTGGAAATATTACACTCTACGGTAAAAATAGGCACGCAACATTTCATGGTAAAATTTGCAAAAAAGAGTGTCACATTTTTCCAAACTTTCGATCTAAAAATCTTGGTCGTTTATGCAAAGTGCGAGCTATCTTGCGTATGGTGTATTATAATAATATGGGTCGTTGTACAGATTCACTACATTTTTTACAGCTTCACTTCCTTGCCGTCTTACGTCATTTTTTCAAAATCCCCGGCTCAAACATCGCATTTTTCATTTTCATTTTCCCCCATGACATCTGACCATCGGTTTCAACACCCCGACACATTTCTGTTTACTCAAATCCAGTTCGTGTTTTGCCAATCAAATCACCCCTCTTCCGCCGGGTTCGTGGCAAATTGACATGTGTTGCGGGGTCGGCTCTTTTTTCGCCGGTGTTCGCGACGTTTCTTTTACAATCCCTCCTTGCTCTTGTCTTTGCTCCTTTGACGTCTTTGGACAAGGAGAAGATTGACATACGAAATAAAAATTTGAAGGTTTAATATTTCAAAAATTTCAGTCCATTTTTTTTTGGCGAAATTTGGGGTAATTTCTGTATCTGTCTGTCGGGAAAATAATGAGTGAAAAATCACTGTGCCAAGTGAAAAATAATTTGATTTTGCCGCGACACAATTAATTTTCTCGGTGGTGATGCGATTTTCTATGCGACAGAGTGCTCATTATTTTCCCGACTGACTGAATATCCAGAATTTTCCAATTTTTGTGACACCAATTTACGTTTTTTTCACCAATTTTTTACATGACTTGGTAAGCCCCAAGTACCCCACAGCGACACACAACTGTCAGATTCTCTCAAAATTTTTACCATACTTCAGACATAGAGGTGGCAATCGGGCTGGGCCGGGCCGGCCCGGCCCGGCCCGGCCGGGCCCGGTGATTGGGCCGGGCCGGGCCGGGCCTGAGCAGATTTGAAAAAGCCCTGGGCCGGCCTGACCGGTTCGGCCCGCGGGCCGGGCCGACACTTTCGGCCCGGCCCGGCCCGGAAGGTAGATAAGTAAAAAATTTTTAATGCTAAACCAGCAAAATAAAGCACAAATGCTTTGTAGAATGGATGGAAATTAGATTAAACCTTTTTTGACTTATACGCTGTTTTACTACCTTTTAAAATTATGTATTTATATGTATATGTAACTTATTATGTATATGTAAAATCCCACCCAAATATGCAAGGGTCGGGCAAAAATCTTCGAATTTTTTTATGATAAATTTAAAAATTTCACTGTAATTTTGATTCCTTGATGTAAATGAAAGTGTTTAAACAGGTTTTGGTTAACCATGTACCTTATAACGTCCATACTTTTATATAGTTAACTTCCTATAGGATTAAAAAATTTAACACAATTCAACTTTTTGGCTAATTGTAAGTTTTAGCTACCTGCACGGATGTTCCAATCATCCGACTAGACATTTTAATTTCGCGCAGACACACGTAAAAACCTTCTGGAAAGCATAAGAACTTCCAGTAGAAAGTGCAAAGACTTTTATCCAACTTTTCTGTTTTAGCGGGCCAAACCGGGCCGGGCCGGGCCGGCCTGGGCTTTCATCGGGCCGGGCCGGGCCGGGCCTGAGCAAATTTGAAAAAGCCCTGGGCCGGCCTGGTCACTTCGGCCCGCGGGCCGGGCCGCAAAAATCGGCCCGGCCCGGCCCGATTGCCACCTCTATTCAGACATAGGCCACATATCAATGTCTGAAAGTTTCATCTCGCGCTTTGCAGAGGCAGCCGAGATATTGAACAATCTTAGTCGCCGAGAGAGTACGCGAAACGCGGAGAGCGGGCAGAGAGAAAAAACCTTTTTGGGTCGTATCTTTGCCAGTTTGGTGAGGAAAAATTTGATTTTTTGTGGAAATATTACCCTCTACGGTAGAAATAGGCATGAAATTTTTTATGGTAAAATTCGTAAAAAAATGTAAAATTTTTGCCAACTTGCGAGATAAAAATCTCGGTCGTTCCTGCAAAGGGCGGGCCGAAAATCTCGCATATACCTTAAAAAAAGTTGTTTTTTTTTTATTTACGTCGATTTTCATTAAAATCTGAGCGTTACACTTGATGTAAAGTTAAAAAATTGAAGAATTTTGATGTAAAGTAAAAAAATCTTCAATTTTCAACAAATTTTTTGATCAAAGAATCCCAAAAACAGCCTCAAATTCCTCTCAAACACCATCCCTCAATGTTTCTGGCTGTTTCGACCACTTTTCACGCCAATGTTGCCCTTTGATCCCTCGTTCTTGTCCGCCATTCCGACGGAAATAAATTTTCGGAACACCCCAATAAATTGCGTTCTTTGGTTGCAAGCCCGATTTTTTTTTATGGCCGTGGCCGAAATTTTATTCGTTTCGTTTTTTCCTTTGATTTTTTCGCTTTTTTTGGCACGAATTCATTTGAATTAGTCATCAAATTTTTCGGACGGAAGCAAAAAAATTGTTTGGGTTTTTGGAGAGTTATGCAAATTTCGTGCAAATTATGAGGGGAAATTTTTGTGTGTTCTATTGAGAGGGTAATTAGGAGTGTTGAGTCGTGATTTTTGATCTGAATCAGGATTAAATTAAGGTGGAAAAAACGTTTTTTTGGGCTTACAAGGAAATTACTATTATAACTCCAAGTGCAACGCTCAGATTTTGATGAAACTTGGCACAAATTTAGAATATTTTTTTTTTATGACATATGTGAGACACCTAGCTTACGGTCTGCAGAAACGACCAAGATTTTTAGATCGAAATTTTAAAAAAATTTTAATTTTTCTTGCGAGTTTTGGCATGAAAAGTTCAAAACTTATTTCTACCGTAGAGTGTAATGTTTCCACCAAAAATCAATTTTTTCCGCGCGAAACTAGCAAAGTTATGGCCAAAAAAAAGTTTTTTCTCTGACCGCCCTCCCCATTTCTCGTACTCTCTAGGCGGCAAAGATTGTTGAATATCTCGGAAGCGGCTGCAAAGCTGAAGCTAAAACTTTCAGAAATTGATATGCAGTCTATGTCCATAGCGTGTGCAAAATTAAAAGAAAATCTGAGCGTTGCACTTGGGGTACTTTACTTGGAAATTAAGCTAAAATTAAGGTGACAAAAACGATTTTTTCGGTCTGAAAAGATAATTTTTGCAATTTTTTTGCTCTTTTTTTTAAAATTCATATATTTTTCTGTTTCTGCAAAAATCCCGGCTCGAAATAACTTGTTTATAAAAAGCCAAATGTCATAACAAGTGTATTTCCAAACCTTTTGTTTATTTTTTACTTCCACAGGATACGGTATCCTCAAAAATTGGCAACTTTTTTTGAAAACAAATCTGCAAGAATCCAAAAAAATCTTACCGTAGTCAAGCTGAAAAAGTAATAAAAACAAATCTGATGGCATTTTCATTCCTTTCCATCCCATATGTTACTTGTTTCTGGGCCGATGAGTAATCCATTTTTCTCTGTTTATATATCATGTCAATCTCTCTTTTGGGGCGGAGATTGATCGGAATTTGGGGAAATTCATTCCATCTTTTTTTTAATTTAGATTAAGTTTTTTGGAGCTCCACTAAAGCGTATATAAGAGAGTGGAAGTTGTCGGCGATTAGGAGGCAACGAATTGAGGGGGATCAAAAATTTGGTTTTTAGGCGGCGGTATTTTGATTTTTAAGGGAAGTTCTTAAGATTAGCAGGTCAGATTTTTCTCAAATTTTGGTCATGTAAAACGTCTAGGCTATATAAAATTGTGTCAAACTCTAAAAATTTTAGCTCAAGGTCTACAGGGCAGCCGAGATATTCAGCGGTCTTTTCAAGCAAAACGTTAAAATGAGACGTAACGAGCAGTCAAAAAAAACTTTGGCCATGCCTTTGCGCCCTTGGCATCTAAAAAACTTGATGTTTCTAAGTTTGCAAGGCTTCATAATGCCAATAAGCTAACACTAGTCCGTTCGCAAAGCCGCTGCAGTGATTTTCGGGACATGCACTGTCCGAAAACAAAAATTCATTCTGCACTGTGCAATTTTCGGCTTTTTGCACTGTACAATAGGCTTTTTTTGGGCAGTTGCATAATGACTTTTCTGCACAGTGCAATGTCAAAAAATAACTCCAGCGACTTTGCGAGCGCACCAGTGTTCTTTAAAAGTGAAATGTAACAATTAGAATGACGGGCACGCAGAGAAAACTTTGGCCATGCCTTCTCGCTTTTCGCGTCCAAAAACCTTGGTGTTTCCTGGATTCGCTAGACTTTAGAGTGCCAACAAGATAGTGCGTCTGAGCCTAAAACTTCAAAAATTTGATTTCTTTTTGCAATTTTCGAACTAAAAATCTCGGTGGTTTATACATTTATACAGAACGCAATCCAAAAATCGCGTATAACTCTTGGAAAAATTTAATCATGATTTGTGCCAAGTTTACCTTTATGCGTCGCTTCATGAACAATTCCACCATCAAAAAAATGTTTCTCCCCCATTTTTCTAGAATCTTCCCTCAAAAAATTCATCTCAATTTCTATTCAAGATGTCGCTCGCTGCCGCATAGCCATGTCAAAAAAACCCCACAGCTCCTTTCCTTTCTTTCTCAGGCAATACGTCCATGTCGGCGCAAGATGTATTACTTTCGACGCACGCGAACCCGTAGTCCAATAAATTTTTCGAATTCTAATTTCTTTTCCGTCGAAATTAATTTTTGTTCCCGCTTTAGACGCCACAATAATGCCCTCTGCGACAATGCTCACAATTCTGGCAACGTTGATTGTTGCCACTTTCTCAGCGCCAAGTCATCGCTTCTTGGAGCTGGAGTCGGATCATCCCGCCAATCGGCGGTTCGAAATTGAAGAGGGCTCGCAATGGAGACATGCGTCGGTGCAGGACCCCTGGATTAAAGTGAGTTGCAAGAAGCTTGAGGGTAAAAGTTTGAGGGTAAAATACGTCTTGTCTTTCGGACTTTTTTGCCAAAAATCAATAAAAAGAGGCATAATTTGGCCAACCTTTGATCTAAAATTCTCGGATTTAATAAAATTTTTGCGGTTTAGTTTCGCTTCTAAAATTTCACAAAGAATCTCTGAACACGTATTTTACAATGACTCCAATTTTTTCAATTCAAGTTTGCATCAAATTCAAACTTTTCAGTTCTTCACTCAACGCGCTTTGGAGACGATTGAGAGAGAAGAGAACGATGGGATTCGCCTTCTGAACGTCCAACTGATCGACTCGATTGTGGCGCCGACCGACAATGGGCTCCATTACAAACTGAGATTTGTGGTGGGGAAGACGAATTGTTTGACGGTAAGCTAATCATTTGAGCGTATTTAGTTACGCATTTTAAAATTGAATATTTTGAAAGGGGTCCATCACATTATTTACCTTATTCTGCGCAACATTTTCAGAAAAAAATTTTTGCACTGTGCAGACGCAAAAATAGGCTAAAAAATGCTCCGCACAGTGCTAAATTTAAAAATTTGATTTTTGCACTGTGCAGAGCCAAAAATAGGCTTAAAAGTCATCGGCACAGTGCAATTTCAAAAGTTTTTTCTTTGCACTGTGCGGAAAACGAGGGAGTAGCCTCGATGAGGAGAGCGGCCTTAGAGAAAAAAGAAGTTTTCTCGCGGTACCTTGAGCGAATTTTGCATGATGAAAATTGATTTTTTTATAAAAACGGAGTACGCAAAACGAGGAGAGAGGTCATAGAGAAAAACATTTTTTTTGGGCTATATCTTTGTCTATTTCGAGCGGAAAAAATAGATTTTTTGTGGAGACATTACCGTATACGGTAGTTTGGGTGTGCACTGTGCACAAATCAATTTTTTTAATTTAGCACTGTACAGACGCAAAAAATAGGCTAAAAAATGCTCTGCACCGTGCAAAATCCAAACATTTGATTTTTGCACTGTGCAGAGCCAAAAATAGGCTTAAAAGTGATCGGAACAGTGCAAATTCAAAATTTTTTCCATAGCACTATGCAAAATCAAAAAAAAATTTTTTTGCACTGTGCACACACACAAATAGACTAAAAAATGCTCTGCACCGTGCAAAGTCCAAATATTTGATTTTTGCACTGTGCACACTCAAAAATAGGCTTAAAAGTCATCGGCACAGTGCAAGTTCAAAACTTTTTTCTTCGCACTGTGCAAACTCAAAAAAAAATTTTTTTGCGCTGTGCACAGCCACAAATAGACTAAAAAATGCTCTGCACCGTGCAAAGTCCAACCATTTGATTTTTGCATTGTACAGACCCAAAATTAGGTTTAAAAGTCATCGGCACAGTGCAAATTCAAAATGTTATTTTTTCCAACTTTCGACCTAAAACTCTTGGCCGTTTCTGCAGATTTCTTCGAAATCTGAGCTTCAAACAATATGAAACTCTAAGCACGTACTCTTCTGATCGTTTTACTACAATAAACTTTGTTTCAGAGCGACCTCATCTGCGATTATTTGAACGTCGTTTCCCGCAAGGTCTATGAAGCCGACATCACCTACGACTATGGCACACGTCAAGAAGAAGTCAGCGTGTGGCCTGAAGGCGACGAAATCTTCTAATGCGCCTCTCTAAAATACGAATTTCGATATTTTTGTACATTTTCGCAGACATATTCGGTCAGTAGCACTTAGCTTTCATTCAGTACAAATTTTGCAAAATAATTATTTCCTTTTAATTTAGATTTCATTTTGAATATTTTTGGTTGTAATTTCAAATATTTCAAGTTGTAATTAGACTACAGTAACCCAATTTTAGAGTAATCGCTCCCGGTTCGACGGCAATAATTTTTCGAATCTCGATTTTTAGCTTTATTTATACTAGTATTTGTACTTTCGTGAATAAATGGTTTCGTAAATGCGACAAGATGCATAATGGCGGAGTAAAATTTCTTTTTGATTGTAAGTAAAGGCAAGGAAATCAAAAAAAATATTTGATAAAGCTGAAAATGAAGAAAATTAAAAAAAAATACGGATTTTGCGGGCTGCAAAATGTTAATAATGGACTAAAATACGACAAAAAATTTAGAAATACGATGCTGCAAGTTGAAAAAATAATAAGCCAGTTGCACTGTGCAAAATTTTTCGAAAAATTTTTTGCACTGTGCAGACGCAAAAATAGGCTAAAAAATGCTCCGCACTGTGCAAAATTCGAAAATTTGATTTTTGCACGGTGCAGACGCAAAAATATGCCTGAAAGTCATCGGCACAGTGCAAAATTGAAAACCTTTTTTTCTTCGCACTGTGCAAAATTTTCCGAAAAAATTTTTGCACTGTGCAGACGCAAAAATAGGCCAAAAAGTACTCCGCACGGTGCAATATCCAAAAAATTGTGTTTTGCACTGTGCAGACACAAAAATAGGCTAAAAAATGCCACGCACAGTGCAAAATTCAAAACTTTTTTCTTTGCACTGTGCAAAATGGACATTGCAAAATTTGGACAATCTGAACCAATACTGGCTTATGAAAACCGAGAGAAAAAGTGATCGACTTCAAAAATATCCGAAATGAGATAGACCGAAAATCTAGCAGATTTTAACCGATAGAGAGACTACACTAAAAAAGTATTGTGAAAAAATAATATAGCTTTATTCGATGCCGCATGCCATAGACTTGCAGCCATATCCAGAGGCTTCACCGCCGCCCCAGGGGATGTTCTTCAAGGGTACCACATTGATGTCATATTCGACTTGGCCGCCTTGCTCTGGGACAAATATCGAGGCCAAATAGAGATTTTTGTCTTCGACGTTCCATTCATCGCATTCCTCGCCCTAAAAAGTGGTGAAATTGATGGGAAAAATAGAAAAATTTGAGGGTAAAAAATGATGATTTTTGAAGAATTTGGGAAAATATATGCAATGTACGGTAATTTAGAGGACTTGTCAACTTTTTCAGGCCTCTAGGAATATGTATTTTTTAAAGAAAAATGTTTTTCAGCTCAATTTCCACCATTTTTTTGGTTCAAAAACTCACCAAGAAGCAATTTGTGAGACCAGCTTGGAATCGGACCTCATACGACCGGCCATTTTCGTCGATTGTAGCTTCGGCTTTCTCCACATTCAAGAAAAGGATTTGTTTGTCACCTCCATCTCGGAGTTGGATTTGTCTTGTGGCATGTTCGGCTAGCTCCTGAAATTTTTTTTTTGATAGGTCAGTAAATGTGAATTTAAAAACGAGTTTGTGCTTGGTCTATGAAAACAATGGAAATTCGGCTCAAATCTAGATCATAGTTTTTTCAGAATGATGCAAATTTTTCACTAACGCTTGATGATGACGATTGAGATTTTTGGTCGAAAAAACGCAAAATTTTTGCAAAAAAAATTTTTTTTTATTGCAATTGTTAGAATGTTAGAAAATCAATGAGGTCTCTTAATTTTTCACCAATACTTCCACAAAATGTCATTTTTCTCCGCGCCAGATTGGCGAAAATACGGCCAAAAAGCAATCTTTTCTATGGCCGCTCTCTCCATTACCAGAAATCTCTCATAAAATTTCAATATCTCGGCTCTCCTTAAAACAGGGCGGCTGAAATTTTCCGGAATTGATACGTGTCCTAGACATCACGTGTGTTCAGAATTTCAAAAAAATCCAAGCGTTGAAAACTTCTCTAGACCTCTTTTCAACTCACCTGAACGAATGGATCACTGGGTGTTAATTGATAAGTTTGCCCCGGAATAGGCGCGGAATTTATCTTTATTATGCATGTGGCAAGAAGCACAAGGCCAATGGCTATCCTCTGATTCATGATTTCACTGAAAAGAGACATTTTATACGACGAAAATAAAATTTTTGCGAAAAAATCGAGGAAAATCGGGGAAACTTGGAAAAAAGTAAGAAAAAAGTTGCATAGGGTTGATTTAGAGTCGTATCAATGTAAAATACGGATCTAGGAACAAGTGGCTCTGAAGATGGAACCCAGTATCCAAGACTTTTAAACAGAAAATCGAGTTTTCTTAACTAATCTTGCAATTTTTTACCATATTTGGCAACTTTTCAAACATTTTTTTTCAAATTCTTAAAATACGCAAAAAATCCAACTTTCACACCCTCCCACAGCCCTCTATCATCTCGAAAGTTCTCACGTAACGCGAAACTTTCAAAAACGGGGAATCCTCAAAAATCCGGCGGCTTGTAAATAATGGGGAATGGAGAAGGGACCGGCGGGCCGACAACGACTTTCTGGCCATAAAACAATTCATTAAAAGTGCCGTTCCTTTTCGCCCCGTTGCATTCAAAGATTGGCTCCTTATCGGTGCGAAAATCTTTCGCTCCGCTCCCGTTGTGGGCCCAATAAATTCGGTCTGAGGACTTGAAGTGGGCTTGAAAATGTTGCCATTGTTTTTGGAAGTTTAAAGGCGCAGGCTCGTTGGAAAAATGGCGGGAGATTTGGGGAAAAAATGGAATATTTTCAAATCTCCGTGTAACAAAAACAAATCGCACAGAACGAAAAAATTGGTTTGTTTCTGTCGGGAAAATAATGAGCACATGAAGTGAGAAGCAATTTGATTTTGCCGCGACACAATTCATTTTCTCAGTGGCGATGCGATTTTCGATGCGACAGAGTGCTCATTATTTTCCCGACAGACTAATAAAAGGGTCTCATTATGCTTTATTTTGGCCTAAATTGGCTTTTGGGCCTTTGAAATAGTTTGTTATAGAAAGATTTTGTTGGAATTTGTTGTATAGAGGTTTCACTGTAAAAATAAAAATAATCAAAAAATAATGATAGAGGCAAAATAAAAGGAAAATTTTTGTAAGAAAGACCTTTTTTGTCATCATTTATGTGCCATAAAGACCTAAAACATGTCTCTACACTTGATGCAAAGCAGACCCAACTTTCTTAGAGTTGTAACCCAAAAAAAATTTTACCCCTATTCCCCTTGAACTCCAATAATATCTCACTGAACCGCCAATACGATCAATTGATCAAAGCAAACACAAAAAATCGCTGTTATCATGCAAAAAATGCCCTCAAATCGCCGTTTGACCTGAATGGTCAGCCGAGCGCTCAATCTGTAAGAGCACAACCCGAAAATAATATAAAAAACTTTCTACGGCCAGGGCTCTACTAGTCCGTTCGTAATTGCTGCATCGTTCCGAAAAAGTCAAGATGTGAGAGGCAGCCCAAAAAAGCCTTAAAATCACTCAAGCGACTTTGCAAACCGACTAGTACTCTAGTTGAGCCCCAAAATGATCGCAAAAAATTAATGATGACATCAAATATAAAGCCGAAATTCTTCTATTATTTGTATCGGTCTGTCGGGAAAATAATGAGCACCGTCGAATCGAAAATCGCACCGAGAAAACGAATTGTTTCACGGCAATATCAAATTGCTTTCACTTCAGCAACGCAATTGGCGCAGCGACAGAGTGCTATTATTTTCCCGACAGACTGGTATAAAAAGACGTTTTTCTTCTCCATTTGGTGTACAGAGATAATATTCCATTTTTTCAACAAATCTCCCGCCATTTTTTCAACAAGCATGTCCTTTTACACAAAGATTTTTAGACCGGCCTTTGTAAATTCTAATCTCAAAAAATAACTTCTGAATGCCACTAGACTTTTTTCCTGTCCTTAATTACTTCTATAAGCCAAAGAATTTCCCTACGAATCCCATTATTTCTCGTTACAGTAACCCATTCGACTTCCTCATCATTCCCAAGCTCTCAACAGCCACTTTACCGCAAGATCAGATAAAACAAGCCGTCCAAACTCACGTCAAACGAGTGGAATCAAACTTCAAAACAACACGTCCAACCTCCCCATCAACTGACCTCTCTAAAAAAAGAGAATTTCAAAATTTGAACCCATCCTTTTCATACGGTAATCCCATAACTTTAAGTATTTATGAGGCCCTCAAGACTCGCGGATCGGCTTTCTCCGCCCCTCCGAAAAAAAACAACTGATGTGCATGTAAACAGGGCTGATAAAGAGCCGACGAAATGACAAGCGCTTCCTGTTTATTTTGGGAATTGTCATCTGACAGCGGGGAACGGCAATGTCAAAACAATTGGCGAGTAATTTATTGCGATCAGAGCTGTAGGCTAACCGAGAGGGAGGAAAATTTCTAAAAATGAAGAGAGGTTGAAGAGATACTGTAGTTTTTTTGAAGTTAGAAATTTACAGGGGAAGTACTCCAAGTGCGACGCTCAGATTTTCTTTAAATTTTGCACACACTTCGGGTATGGACTAAATATCAATTCCTGAAAGTTTTAGCTCGCGCTTTGCAGGCGCCGCCGAGATATCGAACGATTTTTGCCGCCGAGAGAGCTCGCTAAACGTGGAGGGCGGTGAGAGAGAAAACACCTTTTTGGCCATAACTTTGGCAGTTTCGAGCGGAAAATTTTGATTTTTTGTAGAAACATTATTCCTTACGGTTGAAATAGGCATGAAACTTTTCGAACCGAAATTCGGCAAAAAGTCCTAAATTTTGGCCGACTTTCAATCTAGAAATCTCGGTTGTTTCTACAAAGCGCGAGCTAGAATTCTTGCATATATCTTAGAAAAAATTATTCTAAATTTGTGCCAAGTTTCGTCAAAATCTGAGCGTCGCACTTGGAGTACTTCCCCTGTTAGCTCGCGCGTTGCAGAAACTACCGAGATTTTTAGCTTGGAAGTTGGAAAAAATATGACACTTTTATTGGGAATTTTAGCATGAAAAGTTTCATACTTATTTCTACCGTAGAGTGTAATATTTCCACAAAAAATCAATTTTTTCCCCACGAAGCTGAAAAAGATAAGGCCAAAAAGTGTTTTCCTCTTTGACCGCGCTCCACGTTTCGCGTGCTCTCTCGCCAGCAAAGATCTTTGAATATCACGGCTCTCCCTGTAAACCGTGAACTAAGACTTTCAGTAATTGATGGCTGGCCTATCCTCGAAGTATGAGCCAAATTTAAAAAAAATCTCTGAACATCAAAAGAATCCTGAGAGCAGTACACACCAAAAAGAATTCCGATAATTTATACCCACGGAACGCTAAATATATCCAGAACACCCCCGACGATTGCAATTCTAAGCAAATGATTCATCAAAAACGAGCACAAAAAGCCGGATTTGTTTATAAAATTATACGTAGCCGACGGAAGCGGGGATGATCAGTGATGATTAACCGGATAAAAAAAGATTCAGATGAGCTTACGAAATTTATGTTTTTAGAAATTCTGGAGCCACAATAAACGATATCAATGGCAGTGGATATACAGATGTGTAGACATATCAGTCTGTCGGGAAAATAATGTGGATTGCCGCTGAAAAATGTAGACTAGCCCTGTCGCAGTCGCGCGCCGAGCCTTCAGCCTATTTTAGCCGCCGCAAAGTGATGACTTTATGGTAGAAATAGCCATGAAACCATGGTAATGTTCGCGAAGAAAAACGTCGCATTACAGAGACGCAATTTTTGGCCGTATCTTCGCTAGCTTTGCGCAGAAAAAATTAATTTTTGTCGAAATTTTCCACCCTGTACGCTAGAAACCACTATAAAACTTTTCATGCCGAAATTCGCCAAAAAATTTCGTATTTTTGTAGACTTTAGACCCAAAAATCTCGGTTGTTTCTGCAAAGCGCGAGCGAGAAATTTGAAATTCCAAGCGCCGTGCTTACAAAGGCTCCCTCCGTTATAAAAAATGAAACAAAACTTGAACCAACGTTCTCTGAACACCCTTCAAACATCATTGAACGATGCGTCGCAATGCAACCGCTATTTATTTCGAGGAATTTGTGCGAAAAGGGATCGAAATTAGCCGCTGTTTGCGGCCAAGTCCATAAAAATCGAGCGACAAAAAGAAATTCCAATTTGAACGCCGACAAAGGGTATTCGGAAACATTTGAGATGGGCCTGGAAATGGAGGAGGCATTTGAAAAAAAAGTGAAAATAGTCAAAATTTTTACGACAAGATAATAACAGAGACCGTATTTTAAAACGCAATAGAGCTGTGATGACAGTGATTATCGCTGTATGGTATATTTCGCTCATTTTGAGTGATTTCATCAAATTTTTCACATTTGGTTCGCCTGATCGTCATGTATAATATAAATTTATGTCAATAAAAATGTTTTGCCTAATACGAATGGCCTGCTAATTACTCTGCAACTTTTTTACGGTCTTAGCTACTCTTTTTCTTCTTCAGATATTACAATTTCACTATTGAAATTTGAAAACAAAAAAAAATTTTTTTTGGTCAAGTCTAAAATAATTGAGATTTTCCCCGTATTTTACGCAATATTAAAGTGCGATGAGGCCCATTTATTATTCTTCTCGCTTGTTCTCTCACCCTAGCGTCTTTCATCGCTTTTCTCACCACTTTTTTCGCCTTTTTTATATTATCCTTGCTCTTTGTAAGTAAAGGCATAAACAGAACAATAAAAGTGGCGAATTTTCATAGCTTTTCTACTTTTTCCTTTCTAAACTATTCAACCCTTGTATTCTAAAAGCATTCGCTCGCAAATCGCCCGTTTTTTGCGACTTTCTGGACTCTGTGACATTTCGTCCACGTTTTTATCGGAAATTTTGGGAAATTGTTTTACATTTCCCTCGTTGAAAAAAAAACTTTTTTTTTGCTGCCATTTCTTGCGGTTTGGTGAGAAATCCGAGTAAATTCATGATTTTAGCCTCGGATACGATGGCCACCACGGAAATAAACGGCAATTCAGTGGATCCGGAAGAGAAACCGCTCTTCGAGGTCTACACCTTCAATGGAAAGACATTGGGCCAGCTGAAAAAGGATATTCCGGGCTATGGACGAGTGTATTATAAGGTATGTTGGTTGATCTTGCTATTTGTTGATGTTTAGGAAAGTAACTGAAGGAAAATTTGGAATTTTCGGCAATTTAGACATCAGATGTCTAGTGTAATATAATTAAGTATGCAAGAATGCCGGAAGTATTTCAAAGATGATTTTTTGAGGGTTTTTGTGCCAGACTAGAGTTATAACAGCCAGAATTTTCAAAATTTTTACTTATCTTCTCCTTGATCAAGCTGATGTTCAGCCAGCCGCTGGGCGCAGCTTGCTCACGTTTGACTACTACTTTGATTATCATCTTACCTGAATTTTGGTCTCTTTCAGGTCAAGAAAGTTCATGAACTGAATGAGGAAAAAGGTGAACTCCTCTGCACTTGTTTTGCCATCAGGGATAAGGTCTGGCTTCCCATTCAAACTGCTCTCCGTCTAGAACAGCGTAATCCGTTGGTGTCTGGACCGGTTGCTAAGTTCTTTGAGGACCAGATTGAAGCGAATTTGAATGTTGAGTTGGTTTTCAGCGACGATGAGGTATGTTTTTTTTGTTGTTGTTCCTGAAATTTAGATATGAAAATTGAAGAAGAATCAGAAACGTTTGTTGATTCTCTAGTATAAGGTGTGAAATTAAAGCCTTGAGGCTCTGAAGTTAAAAAAAAAGTGAAAATCGGCCAGCTTTGACCTAGAAATTACTGGATTTGACAATAAATCTCAAAATTTTTAGGAAAATCCTTCGGAAGAAGCTGAAGAACCCGGCTCATCTCTTGAAAATGATGTGAATAAAGTCGAAATTCCTTCAGAAATTACAGAACAGCTAGAAGCCATTCGGAAAATCCCAGTTTCTCCACAAAAAGAGCTCGAGGAAGAGGTCTTGGCTCTAAATCAATGTTCCTCGACTGATAATGGGCATACTGATCAGCTTGAAGTGGTTGAAGAAGATGCTCCTGGCTTCTCTGGAGGTAAATCTTTTGTGTTTTTGGTTTGTTTTTAGGGCTTTTGCAGGTTCCGGATGAAAATTAGGATTTCTCTGACAATTTTGATGTTAGCCTTTCGTTTCTGGAATTTCTGATGTGAAAGATTGTTTCTACAACATTCTTGAGCCATCTCGGTTATGGAATGGTCTTTTATTCCCTTTGGTTTGACCAAAATTCAACAAATTTCCCTAAAATTATATTACACATGAGCTCTTGCTCCAATTTTTGACATTTTTTGCCCTTTCGCGCCACTAATTACCCGCCGGCCACTCGAATGAGAAGCCTATCATTTGAAACCGTCTTTTGAAATTTTAATCCGTCGCTAATTATTGTATACACTTGCAGGTCGTCATGCCAACAGGGCTCCGATACCCGCCGAAAACAGCGCAACTGCTCCAGAAATTAATGCCAGCCCATCGGAAAATCATAACCTGGAGGAAATTGTAGGCTCGCAGAGTCAGGAATCTGCCGAGAACGAAGTTGAGTTCGAATTTTTGGAAAGCAAACAGAGCCCTTCGGATAGTGTTGATCGGGCTCTGGGAATCGCCGAAAAGGAGAGTGAAGTTAATGAAAAGGGTGATAATAATAAAGAAAAGACCATGGAGACTCCATCGACCAGCGATTCATCATCAAATTCGCCTTCAACATCGAGCAAATCGGATAATGAAGAAGATCCGAAGGTAGGGTAATATAATTTTTTGTGGAATTTATCGGTGAATTTGGAGTTAACTTGTTGATTTTAGCCTGATAATGTTCCATGTACCTCAAAATCTGAGGAAATTAATGAAACTCGAATGGAAATTGAGTTAAAACAAGGTGAAGAAGAGAGTTTCCTGAAGCCGAATGAAAGTCCAAGAAGGACGAGAAGAGGAAGAACGGTCAGTAATGCGAGCTCCAGATCCAGCCCAGAGAAGAAAATTGGAGAACAGGAGGTACTGGAAGGAAAAGGGGTACCCGAAGAGATGAGTGAAGACGTGAGCCCTAAGCTGGATGAAAATGCTGAAGAAGCAAGTCCCCAATCAAGCCAGAATAGAAGAAGCACTAGAAGAGGAAGAACAGCCAGTCTTGCTAGCTCTAAATCGGACCAGGAAAAGACTTTGGAGGCACAAAATGAAGGGTCATTTGCTCAGATGGAAGTAGAAAGTCAAGGCTCGATTGCCAATGAAAATGAAGGAGAAGATATGGAAGGGCGTAATAATGTAGAGAAATCGATGCTGGCGAGTGAAAATTCGAGTCAGAAATCGAATAAGAGTCCTACTAGAAGAAGCACTAGAAGTGGAAGAACAGCTAGTCTTACAAGCTCTAAATCAGGCCAGGAAAAAAGTTTGGAGGGTCAAAAAGAAGGTGCCGAAGGTCAGGAAGAAGCTCAGGAGCACAAGGAAGAGAAACAGGTCGAAGAAAATGCTTTGGAAGATCATACGGAAAAGATTGAGGAGAAAATTGAAGATGTTGGTCAATCAAGTCAAAAATTGGATGAGAATTTGAGAAAAAGAGGCGGCAGAAGAAGCAGGACCTCGACTAACGCCAGCTCCAGCCCGGAAAAGATGCTAATTGATGAGCAGAGCCTTGAGAGTGAAGCTCAGAAAAGTTTGGAAGATAAAATTGATGACATTCCCAAGAATATTGAAGAAGCTGACCAATCAAGCCAACAGTTGGATGAAAGTTTGGGAAAAAGAGGCGGCAGAAGGGGCAGAACGTCGATCCGAGGTAGCTCTAGCCCTGAGAAGAAAATTGTTGAAGAACAAGAGGGTTTGGAAGAAAAAGAGGTACCCGAAGAGATGACTGAAGATACAAGTGCTAAAGTGGATGAAAATGAAGAAGAAGCAAGTCAGAACTTAGGTCAGAGTAGAAGAAGTGCTAGAAGAGGAAGAACAGCCAGTAATACGAGCTTCAGATCCAGCCCTGAGAAGAAAATTGCGGAACAAGAAGCGCTGGACGGAAAAGAGGTACCCGAAAAGACGACTGAAGATGTTAGTGGCAAACCGGATGAAATTGCTGAAGAATCAAGTCCCCAATCAAGCCAGAGTAGAAGAAGCACTAGAAGAGGGAGAACGGCAAGCCTTGCAAGTTCTAAATCAGGCCAGGAACAAAGTTTGGAGGGCCAAAAAGAGGGTGTCGAAGGTCAAGCAGAAGCTCAGGAGAAGAAGGAAGAGGAACAGGTAGAAGAAAGTGGTTTGGAAGATCATACGGAAAGGATTGAGGAGAAAATTGAAGAAGCTCACCAATCAAGCCAACAGTTGGATGAGAATTTGGGAAAAAGAGGCGTTAGAAGAAGCAGAACGTCGATTCGAGCAAGCTCTAGTCCAGAGAAGAAGCCAGTAGATCAACAGGGCCTTGAGAGCGAGGCTCTGGAAAGTTTGGAAGATAAAATTGATGATAATAGCAAAAATATTGAAGAAATTGAGCAGTCAAGCCAGAAATTAAATGTAAAGCCCGGAAGAAAAAGAACAGCCAGTATTGCCAGCGCCAAATCGGATCAGGAAAGGACATTGGAGGTGCAAAATGAAGGATCATTTACTCAGATGGAAGTTGAAAGTCAAGACTCGGTTGCCATTGAAATTAAAGGAACAGACCTTGAAGGGAAGAGAAGCATAGAAAAATCGAAGTTAGCGAGTGGAAACTCAAGTCAGAAATCGGATAAGAGTCCTACCAGAAGAAGCACTAGAAGTGGAAGAACAGCCAGTCTTGCAAGCTCCAAATCGGGACAGGAACAAAGTTTGGAGGGTCAGAAAGAAAGTGGTGATGCTCAGGCAGAAGCTGAGGAACAGAAGGAAGAGAAACAGATCGAAGAAAATGCTTTGGAAGATCGTACGGAGAGGATTGAGGAAAAAATTGAAGATGTTAGTCAATCAAGCCAAAACTTGGATGAGAATTTGAGAAAAAGAGGCGGCAGAAGAGGCAGAACGTCAACTAACGCCAGCTCCAGCCCGGAAAAGATGCTAATTGAAGAGCAGAGCATTGAGAGTGAAGCTCAGAAAAGTTTGGAGGATAAAATTGATGACATTCCCAAGAATAGTGAAGAAGCTGATCAATCAAGCCATAAATTGAATGTAAAGACAAGAAGAAAAAGAACAGCAAGTCTTGCCAGCTCCAAATCCAGCCAACAGCAGGTGGGGAACCGAGATGAGAGCGAAGCTAGTCAAGAAAAGATTGCTCGGGAAGATGTTGAGCTTGCTGAAAATTCGGAAGAAATGGAAGATACTGGTCGTGATAGGGTCTTGAGAGGAAGAAAACGGGTAGATCCGAAATCTGGAAGTCGTGTAAAAGTTGCCAAACCTAAAAAGAATCAAAAGGAAGAAGAAAGTAGCCAAGAACAGAAGGATAAAGAAGAAGAGGCCGTAGTGGGTCAAGTACAAGATCCAGAAAGTCTGGATCTGGATAAAAGTGAGGAGAAGAACGTTGAAATTGCTCAGGAACCATCAGAACCCCGCAAAAGAGGAAGACCAGGTCGAAAGAAGAAGATTGCCCACGAATCCGGCTACAAATCGAGTCCAGAGACCAAGAAGAAGGATGACTCAAAAGAACGACTTCAAATCCCTTCAAAATTAGATGCCACTGGAACTCCGGAGCCTTCAGGAAGCCAGAATAGCAATTTTATGACACCACCGACAAAGAGAGGCCCAGGAAGGCCAAGGAAAACACCAATTCAATCGGATCTTCACACACCTGGCTCAAGTGCAATATCGGAGCATAGCAAGGAGAAGAAAGTGAACAATGAGCTGGAAAACAGTCTAAATGAAAGTCTACAGAGTGAAGAAGACGGAGGCAGAAGAAGCGGCAGATTGAGAAGTAAACCGGGTGAGTATGAGAGATTTTTTGTTGTAGTAGGCATTTGATGTCATGATTTTGAAATTTTTTTAGAAAGGCTGGTGATTTCTACGAAGATCGCAACGAAGAGCAGCCCGACACTAACCACAGAGTCTCCTGCCCCGTCAGGAACTCCGGGACCAGCTGAAACTCCAGCTCCGGAGACCCCAACCGAAGCCCAGCCAAGTCCAACGTGGTCGACCCCCTCGAAAGGCCGTGGACGCCCGAGAAAGTACCTCCCCGGCCATGAACCCTACAAGATTGCGAGGCCGTACATCAAGAAGGCGGATAGAGAAAGAATGGAGAAAGAAAAGGAGAGCAGAATCAGCAGGCATTCGAGAAGATCCAAGGAGGAACAAGAGGTGAGCTGATGGTGGAGAAAAGTCTTGATTTTTTTTGGAAAATCGGTCTGTCAAAGTCTGGTCTGGTCTGTAGAATAGGGAAATTAGTTATTTTTGGGAAAACGAACGCTTGAAAATTGAGATTTTAAAAATTTTTGAAATTTTAAAATTTTTGCAAGTTGCTCTTAGTTTTTTGAGTTTTTCTCCAAAAATTCGGAGAGAATTGATTGTAAAAGCATCTCTAAACCCCTCTAAATCTAACTGTAGTCTATAAACTACAATTTTTTAGTTAGTTTTGAGAACATTTAGCACTGTAAGTCTAGAAATCTTGTAAATTTTTGAGTTTTTTGCTGATTTTTGGGATTTTTGATTTTTTTTTCACTTTTTACACAATAATTGTTAGTCTAATTACAACAAATTCCAAGTCATATCATATTCGAATAGTTTTTTAATTAATTTATTGGAATTCGGATGATCTTACCTTATTTTGGAAGCTATGGTATGTCTGATTTAGAGCTCTAAATTGTCGTCTAAAATACTGCGGTTTTAATTAATTTTGGTCTCTAAGCAACATGTGTGGAGTATTTTGTATATTTTGGTCTGGATTTGATGAATTTACGGTTTTGATTTTTGAATTTTGAATAAATAAGAGTCAAGTATAAGATAAGGCGAATGTTATATGAAAATTAGAATTAAAGTTGAAAAGTTATGTGGTAAGTGAGTGGTATAGTTTGTGGATAAAGTTGAAGTGATTTTTTAGTTGAAAAATTGGTTGAGACATCGAAAAAATGGGGTCTTATGTTATAGTAACCACCTTTTAGGCCATCAGAAAATTCAACATCAGATGTGCGAAAGGAATTTTCAATATGGGAGAGGAGACGGAAGAAGATAATTAAGAGAGCATGGAGTCGATAGAAGTTGTTTACCCCGGTTATTTACATTGTTTTATGTTGTTCATCCTTTGTTAAAATTTGGTTGATTTTTTTGTTGTTGATGTTTAAAATTATAATAAATTATAATCCCAAAGGTCTCAGATTGTCTTTTTTATTGGTTTTAGGCTCATTCAGTATCTTTTGGCGCTGTATGGGACCTTTCTTTTGCGTTATAACGCGTTATCCAAACACCTTTCATCGTATAAAATGTCCAAAATTATGGAAAGTTTTTTTGCCAAAACGAGAAGTTTGTTGTTTTGTAGACAAGATTTATTATCGAATTTCGATACTTTATCCCTCGATGAGCTAGAAAATTAGATTTATTTTTTATTTACCTAAAATTTGAGATATCCGCCAGCTAAAACAATGTCCTGGCACCTCACAATTTATTCCTTCTACGACAACATCAAAGGAGATCTGAAATACGCTGGCTTGCTCATATTTTGCACGCTTTTGTCGCTGGTTCTGAGGAGGTTTGCCACAGCCGAGTTTCGAGTGCGTTTCGATGGAATAATCGGGTTGTTGATCAACATCTATGTCTCCGGATGGACGGTTTTGTATTCGTTACTGTGTGTGGCAGCTCATCTTGTGTTGTATCAACTGGTCAAGGACCCCAGGTACGTGTTTCTTATTGTTTTGTCCGGTGTTTAGGCGATTCTGCGAAGGTTTTTTGAAAGGAAAGAGGCAGTGTTACCTAAAATAATGTTGCAATTTTTTCGAGACTGTCCCAAAGTCTCTGAAATCTTTCTATGAGTTGGTAAATAGCTTATAGAAGTAAATAGAAGAGTTTTTCGTTATGAGCTTTATTTTTTTCTGGTGTTGACATTAATTTAGTTATGGATAACATTAAGTTCAAAAAGCTATTGCAACCTTTAAGATTGCCTAGGTTCCCTTATAATCTTTTTATTTCAGACACATGGCGAAGATCTCATTCTTTGGAACGTTCACTTACCTCGGTTTCCTACGAATTATTCATTGGTTTGGTCTCCCAAAGCTCGAATTCATCACAAATGCCATTCAGCTGATCATGACTCTTCGAGTAAGTTTTTTCATTTTTTTGTTTTTGCTTTTAGGAAGTGGATGGATACATAAGAAGGTTTATTTTCACTTGAAACAGAGGATAATTTCTATACTAGACACCTACTACAATATAACTTTTTTCAGGTGGTTGGTCTGTCCTATGAGATCTCAGATTCCCGTCTAAAGTTGGTTGATGATCTCAAGAAGGTGGAGGATCCATCACCTTTCCAAGCATTCAACTATTTATACAGTTATACAGGTCTTTTCACTGGACCTTACTACACCTACCGAACTTATGTTGATGCTTACGATCAGCGCTTCCATGCGCAATCTCCACACGTTTTGGATCTTGTCAAAGGCCGATTGACGACACTAAGCTGGTCTTTGCCTATTCTGATCCTCATGAACATCATAGCGCCGGTTCAAATTTTGAAAACCGAAGAGTCCGGCGATTACAATATAATTGTCCTGTTCATCTTGTCGGCGTTGCTTTTCGTCTATCTGAGAATGAGAATCTACTCGGCTTGGATGGTAGCCGAAAGCATTTGCATTATATCTGGCATTGGGGTTTATGACCATTCGTATCATTCGAAGCCAGGCCTGGGACCAACGAAGATGCCGGAAATCGGCGAAACAGCTCATGGATTTGATGCGAATACAGTGGATAACTTGGACATCCCTCATGTGGAGAATTCGGATGGATTCCGAAGCGGGATGAGGGCGTGGAATCGGACGGTTCAGTTCTGGTTGGCTCATTTTGTTTACAAACGGGCTCCAAGAAGTATAAGGTAAAGTTTTGCATTTTTTTTGGAATGTTTTCTCATTTTTAGGTAAAATACGCTACAGATATTCTGAATGATATTTAGAAAGTGATGTGCGGAATATTTTCTCGATAATTTTTTCAAAAATTACAAAAAATACCGAAGGGTCATGTATAATATAAAACTTCTCATTATTTTCTTCCAGATTGCCTTGGACAATGTTTGTGAGCGCATTCTGGCACGGTGTGCATCCAGGATACTTCTTATCGTTCCTGACGATCCCATTATGCACAGCAGCTGAGGATGTGATGTTCAAACGATTCCCGGTCGAAGATGGAAAACGCAATGAAATCTTTGATCGAGTGTGAGTTTTTGATGTTTATAGGGTAGATTAAAGTCTGTGAAGGCTTGTGAGGAAAGATGGGGTTGTCGCTTTGCCAGGCTATTGGCGTTTTCGCTTCTTTTTGACCAGCTGAGGGTCTAGTGTAATATCCGAAAGATCTTGATTTTTTGAAAAGTTTGGAGGAAGGTTAAAGAAATTAGTGTTTGAATATAATTAAGGGACTCAGAAGGTATTTATTTTACGATTTTGAATTTAGTTATCACCAATTTTTACAAATTTATGACCATTTTTTAGCTGGCGGTTCATCCGAATGCGTGGCTTTGAAATGATGGCCTGCGGCTTCCTTCTCCTCACTTGGACCGACACTATTCGACTTTGGAAGAACCAGTTCTTCTATCTGCATGTTATAATGATCGGAATTTTGATATTCGATAAGGTCCATCCAAGGAAACACCCAGAAAAGCATCATGAAGGCCATAAACACCATGAACATCATGATAAAAAGGTTGAATAGACAGCCTCTTGACAACGAAAGGTAATAATAACTGAAGTAAGCAACATTATGCGTCTTTTCAAACCTTTAAAAGTTGGTCTAGCATCGTATTTTAGCTAAAATTTAAGAAAATTTGATGGTTTTTCGGATTTTTTGTTAAATTTTGCCGATTTTTCTATAATTTATTGGGTTTTCTGGTCTAATTTCCGATGAAAATAGTATTACAGATATATTTACATGTTAGTTTAGTCTTTTATTGCATTTTATATTGTTTTAGAGTTAAAAAAATTGAGATTTTTATACAAAACTTTTAAAAGCTTGAACTTGAGAAGAAATAAATGAGTTTTTGATATAAAACCGGGTGTGGAACTGTACAATAAAAATATGAGAGATGCGATAAGGAGATATAATGGCTCAATTCATATTTTACAAAGTGAAATTCGCGAAGAATTTGAGATTTTTGCGATTTTAGTGAAATTTTTGAGTTTTTGACCAAAAATTAAAAATAAATCAAAAGTTTGAACTAAAAAATGGACAGAATTGGTTAAAATACTGTCTTTGGCATGTGAGACGTTGGATTACAATGTGTAATTCGAGATAAAACACTAGTATTCGGACGAAATTCCTCAATATTTGCTTTGTTTTTGAACTGCCGACGAGACCGGCGCTATTGACGTCGCTTTCACGATGGAACTGCTCTTGCTCCTCCCCATGACGTAGTCGCGATACGGTTTGATGATCGTCAGACACATTGCGGCGTTTGTGAATGGGGTCCACGCGACCAAGCTCATTATTGCAACACCGTAAGAGCGGATGTTGAGCCCGCTGAACATGAGGACCACGACGATGAACATGGGAAAGACCGCCATGAGGAAACTGTTTATCGTCTGGAAAAAGGTTTAGATTAGTTCTGGGGGACTTGAGAAAGCTTTGGGGAAAAGGTAGGGCGCAGCTCGCCGAAAATTGAAAGTTAGACTTGAGGAAATGGGTATAATTATGCTTGTCAATGATGACTATAAAACTTTAAGAGTTTTTTGAGGTTATAAATCATTGTTACTGCGTGGAAATTACTGTTTTACTGTGTAAAATAGTGACTAAATAAAATAAGTTTTTATAGTGTAGATTGTGTGATATAATTTGCAAAATAGAGTTGATTAGAAGCTTTGAGCTGCTTTTTACACCCTCAAAAATTTTTATGCCCTCCGGGCATTAACCCCACAATTTATCCGCAAAACTTTTCTCACCTGTGCAATCATGTTCCTGGTGAACTGCGCCCTCAACTGCTGCACTTTGGCCGACGCATTCTGCGTGTCCACGTTCAACGTGACACCCTTGATACTCTGATGACCGTAATACATCATAATCACGTAGCTGACGGTGATCAAAACCCCTCCCCAGCCCATGAACAGCCAGCCTTCCCAGTCCTCAAAGTCCACCGCGCCCGCATATTCCGTCTGGTTCGTCTCGGGGTCCCAAAAAACGGGATCCAGAAGATCGGTGTAGTGAGATTTTGGGCGCCTCACCGACTTCACGTGACAGGCCACCGCAAATATCGCAATCGAACTGGTGATGAGGCATGACATGAACACCAAGAAGAAAAGAACAAAATTTTTTGTTCGTTGGCTTCTGAAAAATTTTTGTTGAGTTTTGAGGCTGAATTGACTCATTGGAAAAGTTTTAAGTTTTAACAGATGTCGTTTGCACGGTGCTAAACTTTGAAAATTAATTTCTGCACTGTGCAGAAAAAAGATTTTTTCATAGTGCACTAACGCATGAAGTTAAGGGGCTGAAAAATGTAAGAATAGGTGTTGCGACACTGCTTTTTTAGGGCATCACGACAAAGGTCAGTTTTTTGTTCACCGCACAGTGCAAAACTAAAATGTTGTTTCTGCACTGTGCAAAAATAAAATTTATTCAAAGTACTGTGTCAAATGGAGCCAGTTGCCGGAAAAATTACAATTATCAGTTGTCCGGTCCTGCTCTATCACAGCATCGCAAAAAACTGCGATTTTCAACCTACCGCACTGTGCAGAATTAAAATTTACTTCTGCACTGTGCAGAGGGAAAATTTTTGCACAGTGCGATTACTCGATGGACATGAGCAAAAAAATTTGTTGCATCGTGACCGTTAGATAGTATTTCATAAATCCATTGCGTAATTGCTAACAAAAATTGCAAAACGCACTGTGCAGAAGCCAATGTGTTCTTCGCACAGTGCAATTTTTTAAATCTTTTCGGGATTTTGTTTCCACTGAGCAAAGAGGAATTTTTTCGATTTTCGGCAGGATTAAATTATTTTCTAAAACATACGTAGTAGTTGTTGTCATGAGATAGTATCGGTAATAGAACTGCGCCGGCAATATTGTGACGGCTTCGATGAGGAAAAAATATTCCATCGACGAGAGAATCGTGGCTGGCCACCATGGTAGAATGTTCTCTATTCCATACGAAATAATAAGCAGTTTGTGGTCGACAATTTGAATTTGCTAAAATCATAATATTTTTTAGCTAAAAATTTGCATTTTTTGGTAAAATACGATTCTTCTAACTTGCGCCTTCTTAAAATTGTTTTTTGGCTTACCTGATGACATAGCGCGAGGACAATCGTATAGAAAATGTCTTCCATTGTGCAGACCATCACCATGTTTCCGTAGGAGCGCACATTCAATGCTGTTCGATTTTTGATGGCTAAGAATAGCGCAATATTCGTGACGAACCCAAGCACAATGGCTACACAGTCGAGGTAGACGAAGAATGGCCACATTTTTTGGAAAGCTGTTGTGAAGGTGACAATGTGGCTGAAACCAGGTTACAAAAATGTTTTTTGACAATTGAAAAGCGTCCCGAATTAAGTACATAAAATATGGAAAAAATTTTCAATTGCAAATTGGTTACGGTAAATTTTGGCTAACAAGAGAAATTCTTGATTTGTGACAGTCAGATCTTGATAATGGCATCAACGAATCAAGAAATTGGATTTTGTTTTTCTAAAAAATTAATTCCGATTTATAGTAAAATATCATCACAAAATGGGCATCAAAAAAAATTGTTGTAAAATACGAAGATGAGTGACCGATTTATATTACAATCAAAGCTAAAATATCGAAATTTACCTGAAAAAATGGTCAATATCAGTCTGTCGGGAAAATAATGAACGCAAGATCATCGCGTTGCTGAAGTGAAAGCAATTTGATTTTGCCGCAACACAATTCATTTTCTCGGCGGTGGTGCGATTTTCGATGCGACAGAGTGCTCGTTATTTTCCCGACAGGCTGATATAAATGGCCTTCAAAATGTTTGCCGTCATTTTCTCTACACATTAATTTTTTTCATAATTTCGTGCACTTGCTCGCCGCAAACTTTAATCTGCACTTTTGTCTACGACCGGGTCCTTAAACTCTGGTAATTTTACACACACTCAAAGAATCCAATTTTCTTTTTGTATTGCTAAATAAAGCACATGTATTGTTAGCGCAACATATCACATTGTCTTCTACAAATTCAGTGGTTGTTTTTAAATTCTCCGGCATCCATTGAAACAGTTTTATGATAGAAAACAAAGCAGAGTGGAAGTGCGTTACAGAGCTGCTATTCATGAACTTATAAAATGTAGCATTCATAAATTGGGATAACATATCGCTTGTAGTCGCATGAAGTCTAAACTGAACGCAGGTTGTAAGGCATATGATATACGGGAACTTTACAACGGCATATAGTGTTTGGATGTAACTTGTAATTGAAAACTGGTATGCGTCGGATTTTTCCGATAAAAATTCGAGGCCGCGTTAAATTTTGGGCTTTTTGTCTCGGGTAGTAAATATAATCTCAAATTGCTTGAGCTTTCGAATAATTTAAGTTAAAGTTAATGGCATTCAAATTGAATAGAAACAACGTGGGTTTTGATGCCGGAATTAAAGCCTATAACTCCTTTGATTAGTGCCTTCAGCCTCCTCAAAGTTGCTTATTTGCTGTTTTTGGGGCACAAACTACTGGCAAAAAAGCATCGTAGCCTAAAGGGGTTTGCAACAAACAACCAACAATGAATTTTCCGGGCGTCGCGCTAAAAAATGCAGGAAATGATACAGTGGGGGACCTGACCCAGTGGCAAACACGGCAAAAAGCGTACCATTTGCATCATGGAAGTATCAAAAATGTGGCAAAATGCTCCCCTGTCCAAGTGAAAAACATCGTTTTGAAGGGCGCGCTTTTGAATTTTTTTCGCTTGGAGAGGGAGGTACTTTGCCGCATTTTTTGGTGCTTCCAGGATGCAAAATGGTACGTTTTTTACCACTGCATCCGTGGTAAATGTCCCCCACTGTATGTGCCCTATACTCGAAGTGTGTGTCCAAAAATTTACAGACAATCTGAGCGCTGCATCTGGGGTACTTCCCCTGTAGAGTGTACATATGTATCCTAGAGGGTTTTACAAGGGAAGGCTTTCAAGTGCGAAGCTGAGATTTTCTTGTAACTTGGTATACACGTTGCGCAGAGGTCATCAATTTCTGAAAATTTTAGCTCGCAGTTTGCAGGCGTAGCTGAGATATTCTTTGCGGCTGAGAGAGTAGGCAGAATGCAGTCCGATTGTAGAAAAAAAAATTTTTTTTAGGGAAATGTTACCCTCTATGGTAGAAATAGGTACGAAACTTTTCATGTCAAAATTTGAAAAAAATTGTCACAATTTTTCCAATTTTTGATCTAATTAACAGGTGCAATTTTTTGCCCAACTTGTCCAAGTTGTGGCCTAAAAATCTCGAGGAGTCTCGAATATCTCGTAAAAATATTATTCTAAATTTGTACCAACTTTGATCAAAAATAGAGCGTCACACATCGGGTGCTTACCCTTTTAATTTTAAAGGTAAAGGACACAAAAATTATTAGTCATAAAAAAGACAATGGTTATTTAGTAAATCAACGGTTGTAAATGGGGTCCTCTTAAAAATTAAAAAAGAATTTTTTTTTTTGGTATGCCGCTTAGTATCCGTAAATCACGAAGTCCGCCCCCATATACACCGTGTCAAAACAATAATTTGCTAAAAATATATGAGAATAGAGCGTGCTTCAAGGGCAAATTAGGGATATTTGGTCTGAGCAGAACATGTCGCGACCAGACAAGAACATCAACGCCAGCCGAGCCGCAAATCTCTTAAAAACCAAAGGATGGTACAGTAACCCGATTCGAGCAATCAATCTTCAAAAACACCTCGAAGTATGTGGTGTTTACCATAGTTAGCAACATATTCAAAAGCCCTTTACCGGGGCGTTCTTGGCACGTTTTCACCGTGGAATTCACCACTGTTTTGCTTCGTTTTTTGATTATTAAGACCCCTCCCGAATATGACGATAATGAGTGGCACGTGGTGTAGAAGGTGGGTTCGCTCTGAAGAAATTTGTTTCTTATTTCTTAAAGGTTAAATTTCTCGTTGAATGGGACTTCTAGAAGGTTGCTGGAAAGCCATGTTTTCCATGGAACGTTGGGCACGTAGCATGGCAAAAACAGGGCTGCAAATGCAATATGGACGCAGAATTTAGGCTAAAGAACAGCTTGTCCAAAAATAGAAGGTGAAAAATCGGTGAGCATGAAGCGAAGATGAATGAAAAATTCCGGGAATGGCCTTGAAAAGTGGAGTCATAAAAATAAACATTGTGCTTCGGTCTAGAGATGGTACGGTATTTAGTTCGATTTAAAAACAAGGCCAATATATGTACAGTGAGGGGTATGATCCAGTGGCAAAAAACGTATCATTTTGCATCCGGGAAGTATCAAAAATGTTGCAAAATGCCTCCCTCTCCAAGTGAAAAAAACTTCTTTTTGAAAGGCGCGCCATTTCCCTCACAAAAAGAGCGGGTGCGCTTTTGAAATCGCGATTTTGTCACTTGGAGAGGGAAACATTTTGCCACATTCTTGATACATCCCGGATGAAAAATGTTACGTTTTTTGCCACTGGTTCAGGACCTCCACTGTATTATCAGTCCGTCGGAAAAATAATGGCGGATCGTCGGAGCAAAATGTTTCGCGTCGTCGAAAAAAAGGATGCAGTCGCGCACCAAATCTCCAGCCACGGCGAGCCGTTCCAAAACGGTAATGGGCAGTTCCAAGGCGCAACGACCGCTAACTATTTTCCTGACAGACTGTTAGAAAACTGGTAATTCTGACGACGTCAGAAAAAAGATGAAAATGCTTGAGAGAGACCAACGAATAGATGGTTATTGGAGAGTAAGAGAAGAGAGTGCTCATTTGTGGCAAGGTGGGAAGAGGGGATACGGTGGTTTGATTGGAAATGCAAGCCAATGAAAGTAGATCCCTGTATGTATAACATATTTGGTATTAAACAAAATGGGCGTCTGAAGATCCATGGGAAAAAAGATTTTTAATATTTGACGAAAAAATAAAAAAGTTATAGCCAATTCAAATCAGGTCGAAAAATTGCTGTACCCTGTACAAGTCTGTTCGTAAAGTCGCAAGAGTGATCTTGGCAACGTCAGAAAACAAAAGTCAACTTTGCACTATGCAATTTCTTGCCTTTGAGCTGTGACAATAACGGGTTGTCGCTCGCAAGTTGACTTTTTCTACACTGTGCAAATTGCAGAAGTCACGCTAGAAGTCAGAAGTCATCCTAGACACTCTACAGACGGGCTAGTAACTAAAATATTTTTATAAAGGATATTTTTTCCGGTGGGGTCCATATATAAAATTTCAATGGCAAAGCCCAGCGCATACCATTTTTCAATTACAAGTTACATCCAAACACGATATGTCGTTGTAAAGTCCCCGTATATCATATCTGTTACAACTTGCGAACAGTTTATACGTTATCCGACTACAAGTGATACGTTATCGTAAGTTATGAATGTTACATTTCATAAGTTCACAAATCGCAACCTTGTTGTAATACTCCTACTCTACTTTGTTCTCTGTCATCAAACTGTTTCAATGTATTCCGGACAATTTAAAAACAGCCATTGGATTTGTAGAGGACAATGTGATATGTTGCGATAACAATACATATGTTTTATTTAGCCATACAAAAAATAGATTTTTTGAGCGTGTGTAAAATTACGAGAGTTTAAGGACCCGGTCGTAGACAAGCGTGCAGATTAAAGTTTGTGGCAAGCAAGTTCACGACAATTAAAAAAATTTATTGTGTAGGGAAAGTGCTGAAAAAGACTGATATAAATGCCATTTATATCAGCCTGTCGGGAAAATAATGAGCATTCTGTCGCGTCGAAAATCACATCGCCGCCAAGAAAATGAACTGTGTCGTAAAATCAAATTGATTTTCACTTCAGTGATACGGCCGGCGCAGCGATATTGCGCTCATTATTTTCTAGACAGACTGATACGGCCATTTTTCAAAGAGATGCTCGAAAATGTGATGCTCAGATTTCAATAAAACTTGGCACAAATTTAAAGCAATTCTGGATAAAAAAACATGATATTTTTGGCTGGCGCTTTGCAGAAAAAAGCCAAGATTTATAATCCGAAACTTGGTCAAACTTGGACAGTTATTTTCGAAGTTACTAATCAAAAATGTTTTTGACTCATTTCTACCATACATAACAATGTTTTTACAAAAAAAATCTATGAATTGGCAGAGATATGGCTAAAAACGGCATGTTTTCTGTCCGCTCCCCGCATTCGCAGATCGTTGAATATCTTGTCTGCTCCGGCAACGCACTTCGAACCGAACATTGAACTTTCTTTCTATGTCTAACATAAACTAATTGTAAGTGAAAATCAATTTGGAGAAAACTAATTATCGATATGCACTTTTCAAAGATCTCGGAAATAATTCCGAAATAAGTCGGCCAGCATTTCACAAAATTTGCTACAATACTGTCAGTTCTTCGAAAGAATTATACGAAAATCTTTCAACAAAACGAACACACCTACGTATTGCGAGCTCAATTTTGGGCAAACTTTGGCCCAAAAATATACACAGTTTATGAACCTGAAAGAAACACTGGATGACACGCAAACCCTTGAATGTTACCGGAATCGTGTATAACGGTATGACACATACTACCGACGTCGAAAAATCTCGTTAAAAACAGAAGCTAGCACGGACAAGCTCGCAATATTAATTGACGTTGTGTAGGAAGTGTCACATTTTACAAATGCTCTAATGGTAAAAAACGTAGCATTTTGCATCTGGGAAGTGTCAAAAAATGTAGCAAAACACCTCCTTCTCCAAGTCAAAAAAAATCCAAACTACAGTTTTAAAAGTGCGCCCGCTCTTTTGTGAGGAAAAGGGCTTCAAAACGGAGTTTTTTTAATTGGACAGGGAGGCATTTTGCTACATTTTTTGGTACTTCCCGGAGGCAAAATGCTACGTTTTTTGCCACAGGTCTGTCACTGCAAGGACGGTTCACCATCAATATCAGACTGTCGGGAGTGCGGAGAGCCTGCGACAAAAAGCCTACGTATTTTTGTTGAATATCTCGGTTGCAGCTTCAATGCCCGAGCTAAAGATTTCAGGAATTGATATGAGGCCAAAAAAATTAATTTTGTGTTAAATTCAACAAAAACTTGAGCTTCGCGCCTCGAACCTGCCAGAGCGAATCAAACTGAAAGATCTTTTGGTTGTGAGAAACAAAACAATTTTTAAAGGAGTTCGTGCCATATCCAAGAATAAAGCATAAGAATCTGTGGCTGGGATAATTTAATAAGAATCTGGGACTAAGATTATTGGCACTGATTATCCGATTAGTTGAACTAACCGGGTCCTCAAAGCAGAATAAGTATAAGCCGTACGCTAAACGTCACCTTCGGGGAATTTTCGGATAACCTTTGAGGACCGTGTAATCTTGGAAAAGTAATCGCTATTAACAACACTGTGTCCGATGTATGGTCAGGATCTTTCGGAGAGTATCTGAAGTGTAATATACGGTATTGAAAAACTTTTTAAAAAATTTAGAAGCCCGTTTTTAGCAGTTCATTCTTATCACTTATGCTGGAAGACCGGTGCACCTAGTTGTAGAAAACCAGCTGTAGAGCAAAAATCGAAAAAAAATTCTACTGGCCGGGGCTAGACCCGGGGAGAGCAGATATGCAAACCTCAAAAATCATCGAAAATTGAGGCAAGTTTTGGCCCCAAGCAGTAATAGAATTTGTCGGAGAATAAAGGGTGGCAAAATATATATTGTGTCTAAAGTTATTGCCAACTAAGGCAAAAAATTCAGCTTATACTATTTTCTATTTTTTCCATGATAATATGATATATTACACATATAAGGCCATGATAAACATTATCCGCCCTCAAACCGGACCCGCAATTCTCGAGGGCCAACTGAGCGAGTGCTCTGTTTGAAACAATGTTGCAATTATAACCTCCATTAACTCATTATTAAACACAGAGCGAAATAGATAGAATTCTCTAGTTTCTGGGTGGTCAGCGATGTTGAAGATGTAGTTTTGGTAGGGTTGTTTGTTCCTGGACCGCTTTCTTTTAGCAACAAAATGTTTTAAACGTAGTTGTGGCTATTAGGCGGGTTCAAGGCCAAAAATATAGGTATGTAAACTTCCGGGAAATTAATGGGATAATTGTGTCTTCTAGTTAAGAAAGGCAAACTGAAATCGGAACTAATGAACTTAAAGGTTGATTAAGGTATGATTGACTCAGAGGTAACGTGCAAAAGAAGCCAAACGTGCCAAATTGGGGTAAATTATACAATTTGCGGAGGGGAAAACAAGATTTGTTCCCTTTTGCGGCAAAATTGGGCAATGAGGAAGGTGAAACTACACAAAACGGAAAGCCGATACACACCTGATCCGGTGCCAAAAAACGTTCCATTTTGCATCCGGGAAGCATCAAAAATGTGGCAAAATGCTTCCCTCTTCAAGTGAAAAAAAACTCCGATTTCAGAAGCGCGCCCGCCCTTTTTGTGATGGAAATGGCGCGCCCTTTAAAACGAAGTTTTTTTCACTTAGAGAGGGAAGCATTTTGCCACATTTTTGATGCTTCCCGGATGCAAAATAGTACGCTTTTTGCCACTGGATCAGGTCTTTTGCCGCGATCACATGGCATCCATCTGTCCTGAAAGTAATGGGCACTGTCGCAAAACCGCATCGCGGTCGAGAAAATGACTTGTGTCGCGAGAAATTTATTATTTTCCCATCTGCTTGAGAAGTGTTTTGTTTATTACCACCATTTCCAATTTCCCACTTGGAGTTTGATACGTCCTACATTTTGTTTTTATTTTGAAATTTTTGAATCAAAGCAAATTGCAGAAAAAAACTTCTGAAAGACTACCGTTTTTGGCAAACAGATTGCTCATTGGGGCCCGCAGGGAAACATGTTCTCGGTAATTGTAATTTCTTGCAATTATTTCTCAATTGAAGCATTGACAGCAACCCTTGTGAAGGGGCTAGAAAGTAGAACGAAAATAGGCCATAAAGGGAGCTCTATTTAATTCATCGTATACACCCAAATAAGGGTTAATTGAGAATTATTAAATAGCAAGAATTTATTTAGAATTTATACTGCCTCCGTAAACCAATTTAAAAAAGGGGTTTTTTGGCGGTATTTTTTTGCGAATTGCGCATAGGAAAAGTGGATTTCTTGCGCTCAAAAAGCGTTGCTATCTTCACCACAAACACAGCCGCACTTTTGCGGATCAACGACAGTTCGCCGGAACTTCCGGTCAACCCAAAATTGGTCGATACGAATCCCTACGACGCTTAGAGCGTCGGGGGCACAACAAAATAATGTAGGAGGTGTCTTCGTGGCCTGCTAAAGCCTTGGATGCTCGTCGAAGGCTCTGCGGAGCACAGCATCTCGAACAATTTTTCCATCGCCGATTGGTATCAAAAAAAACGAAAAAATAAAAAGTAGTGCGGAACCTTGGCGAACGTTTACAATATGACCGCTTGTTCTAAGTTTAGAAGTTATTAGACTTTATTTTGTTGACCCTGAGGTATTATACTGTATTGTAAACACAGAAGAGACCACAAGTTGCTCCAAGAAAGCTCCTCAAGTTTCGGGATATTATTGAAGTAATACATGTAAAATATGTCAATATAGTTGATAGACTATCCTAGGGCCTTGTCAATCTTGATAATTCTGTTAACAAAGCCTTCTCCTAGTCCATGCATACAACAATGAATCGATGCGACCCAAAGTATTGTTGGTCTGAAAGGTCGTAGCCCGACATAGTCCATACATATGAATACGTATACAGTCACGCTTTTATACAAAAAATCGCAAGGGACCTAAAACACAGTCTGCTGTATATAGAAAGGCTTCGTACCACGGAGATCCATTTTGACCACGAATTTCTTCGTGCAATCTCAAAAATCGTTTGTTATAGAGAGGTTTTCTTACATATATTAGTCTGTCGGGAAAATAATGAGCACTCTGTCGCATAGAAAATCGCATCGCCGCCGTGAAAATGGATTATGTTGCGGCAAAGTAAAATTGCTTTTTACTTCAGCGACGCGATTGGCACAGCTACATTTTGCTTATTATTTCCCGGACAGGCTGATACAGAGGCTCTGCTGCAAGTCCGAGTTTACTCTGAATAGTGTCAACGAATTACGTGAGCAAACCGAAAACATATTTATAATACAATCCAGCCGTAAACACAGGTGTTTTTATGTACAATTACGAGTGTTTTTCGACGAATTTCTTCTCGGCGTCGACAATTTCCTTGAACTTTTCCTCTCCATGCATCTCGATTAGTTGGTTCCGCACGTTGTTTCGATGCTGAAAAGAGTTGAAATTAAATTTTCAAAAGTTTAACCAAGTTTTTATATGCAAAACTTGCTGATTTCACGTAATCACACAGCTGCTCTTTGAAGCCGAAGTTCGGTTCAGCACAATACCGGCGCTGTTTCACAAATTGCAAGGCTTTGGGCACCTCCATGTCTAAGACGGTGACAATGTACGCCAACATTATTGTCACGCTCCGCGAGACGCCCATGACGCAGTGGATGAGAATTCCTCCTAAAAACATCAAAGTTAGGAGTAGCGTATTTTACAAACAAATAGAGTTGGAGTGGATGGTTGGAAGGTTAAATTCGAAAAATTTTGCAATCATTTCGAAGACCTTTTTTCATATTTTGCAGGAAGAAACAAGAATTTTAGATCAAAAATTGGATTTGGGACGAAGAGGGCACCCAACGAAAAGGGTACCTTGAAAAAAATAAACCGGTAAGGGGGGACCAAGGCGATTTTTTTCAATAATTTTTTTAGCCTGGCAAGAAAATGATGTTAAGTCCCGAGACGAAACCTGCGACTACGTTATTGGCATTCTGTTTCATTCGAAGCTTCTCGAAGCCTAGAAGAAAAGGGAGCTCGGTTGTTACATATTATTCAGTGAATGTTTGGTGTTACGCTACGTATTGTTATTCTTTGTTGGTAATAAACCTCTCTATTGTTATTACCCTACATTCGGCTGACAACGCATCTTCACGAACTCCAGTGAAGACATAACAAATGATATGGTAAAAGGAGGGATCAGGGCGAATTTTCTTGAATCATGTTACTTTTTATTTATGTTTGCGCTGAAGTGGGCAGCATTTGCGGCCTGGAACCGACTGTTTCTACGCCCAATTCCTAAAATGTACAACCAAAAAAAACTTTCTTTTCTTGATTGCTTTCCTCTTTTTTTTCTGCACCCTTTTGACCACAAAGGTCGTTGATTTTCTGGCCATGTTTGTAAAGCGTTCGCAAAAATCGTAGGGAAGTTTTGTACGACCTGGACGCACAGTTTCTGCCAAATTTAAAGAAAATTTGAGCGTTCGTGGATGCGAAGGCATTTCAAGGGCTCACATTACGATGGATTTGTTTATGACACCAGGTACGAAAAATTCAAGGATGACCCATCAGCTTGTCGGGAAAATAATGAGCCTAATGTCGCAGCGCCAATGGCGTCGCTGAAATGAAAAGAAATTCGATTTTGCCTCGACAAAATTGATTTTCTCGGTGGCGATGCGCTTTTCGTTGCGACAGAGTGCTCATTATTTTCCCGACAGACTGATATTGTCTTTCCAGCTACCATACTGCTGTAGTTTTTACTTTTACTCACTTTTTTCCACTCTATGTTGATAAACGAATTTTACGGCCGTCTCGAAGTGCTGATGAATCGGAGCGAATGGCATGTCTTCGATCGGCAATTTCAGGTTGTACGGAAGACATATCGGCTGTTTAAAAAATACGTCGAATGCTGTGACAATCGCCTCCACCTCACGCCTCTAAAAAAAGGAATGGCGATTATGTTTCGACAAAAAACTTTTAATGAAAAATATGAGTTTTGAAGCCATGGATAATGTAAGCCTCAGAAATTTATTATGCCCGCGCTTCGCAGATACGGCCGAGATTTTTTGGCCAAAAGAAAATTTCATTGTACAGTGGGGGACCTGATCCAGCGGTAAAAAAACGTACCATTTTGCATCCGGGAAGTATCGAAAATATGGCAAAATGCTTCCCTCTCCAATTGAGAAAAAAGTCCGATTTCAAAAGCGCGCCCGCTCTTTTTGTGAGGGAAATGGCGCGCCCTTCAAACTGAAGTTTTTTCACTTGCAGACGGAAACATTTTGCCACATTTTTGACCCTTCCCGCATGCAAAATGGTAAGTTTTTCGCCACTGGATCAGGTCCCCGACTGTAAGCTTTATATCTATTATATTTCCAGTGTAAAGAGAAAGCTTAACAGAAAAAATTTTTTTTTAAATCTGCAAAAATGGCAAGAACACGGGCAACAGTGACTTTATCTCTGAGCGCACTCCGCCTTTTGCGTGCTCTCTCGGCCGCAAAAATCGTTGAATATCTCGGACGCCCCTGCAAAGCGGAAGCTGAAATTTTCAGGAACTGATATGTGGCCTATGCTCGAAGAGCGTGCAAAATTTGAAGAAAATCTGAGCCTCGCACACAGGGTAATTCCTTGGTTAATAACCATTGTTAGCAAAATTTAGACAATTTTTTAAAAAAATATTTGCGAAGCTTCTGGCTCGCGTTTTGCAGAAAAAACCAAGATGCTTCCCTCCGGCTACTTCCCTTGCTAAAACTTTAAAGATGTTTTACCTTCAGCAACTCCCGATCCGTAGCCGCTCTAATCCCGCTCAAATACAGATTCGGCAGTATTGTTACTGATTTTACAGTATTTAGCTTTATTTTAGGAATACAAAGGGTTCTCCAAAAGCTAGTTCAGACAAAATGAACAATCTTATTGTAATGTGTGTTGGGGGCGGGGCATGATCGGGGAAAGTGCCTCGATCCGAGTTCGGCGAAGACAGTATCTCATCCATCGGGTTGTCGACGTAGGATATTCTGTCTGATTGAGGGTTAAAAAGTTTGATTCAGATTCTGAAAATTGGGAAATTTTTAAAAAGTCAACAAAAAAAATGAAAAATAAATAAAAAAAATTAAGAAATAAATCGAGAAAACTTACAAGGGAATGGTCTGAACTTCCCCCAGCGTTAAGGAAAATGACTAGTACAGGTGGATAGAGCAGGTCGACTTTGGTAGAAAAAGGCAATTTCCAGCTGCAAAATAAGCACGGCCGACGAGAAAAATTGACCGAAAGTTGAGAAAAAATTTCCTTTTTCTCTTCCCTCGGAAAAGAAGACGAGCATCCAGTGGTTCGGTTGGTCGAGTGGATAGAGCGTCCGCTCGATATCCTTTTGGGGGTTGGTTCGATTCCGGGGCAGCGCGAGTGGCTCTGGTAAGGCTTCAGTGACCAAGCAAACTCTTGTGAACCAAAAAAAAAAAAATTATTTTTCAATTCTTGGATTTTCTAGGGATCATAAAACACATAATAATAAAGGATTTTTATGTAAATTCTTCCATTTTTTCTGTAAGATTCCAGAACGGTTCCAGTCATATTCAATAATCTAGTCATGGACTGTCTGTTTTCCGAACACTAGTGGACGTTTCACGTCAGAATGAAAATAGAAGAAAAATGAAATTTCGTGAGGGGCCGCAGCGAAAAGCAACGACCGATTTTTTTCTTCTTTCTTTGACCGCTCTCTTCCTTTTTGTGCGTGCGCCCTCTTCCTCTCGCCAATCGCAAATCGTTATTTCGCGGATCGCCACGGCTTTGACGAAATTCCCTTTTTGTTTTGACGTGCGTTTGTCTAAACCCCCGATGTGATCAAGATGTGCTTCAGTTTGCTCCTTATTGGAGTATGACTGGAACCGTTCTGGAATCTTACAGAAAAAATGGAAGAATTTACATAAAAATCCTTTATTATTATGTGTTTTATGATCCCTAGAAAATCCAAGAATTGAAAAATAATTTTTTTTTTTTTGGTTCACAAGAGTTTGCTTGGTCACTGAAGCCTTACCAGAGCCACTCGCGCTGCCCCGGAATCGAACCGACCCCCAAAAGGATATCGAGCGGACGCTCTATCCACTCGACCAACCGAACCACTGGACGCTTCTCTTCTTTTCCGAGGGAAGAGAAAGAGGAAATTTTTTCTCAACTTTTGGTCGATTTTTCTCGTCGGCCGTGCTTATTTTGCAGCTGGAAATTGCCTTTTTCTACCAAAGTCGACCTGCTCTATCCACCTGTGCTAGTCATTGTCCTTAACGCTGGGGGAAGTTCAGACCATTCCCTTGTTAGTAAAAATTAAAATTTAGATTTTTTCAACCGCGTTATGCAGAAACATCTCAAATTTTTAGGTCGAAAATTACAAGAAATTAAATTTTTTAACTACTTTTTTGAATTTTTTTCCATCAAAAAATCATTTTTTTTTTCATTCGATTAATCACCAAATCATATCAAAACCGCCCTCTAAATCCCCCCTTCCACCAGAAATAAATAAAAATTCTTGTGGAAAACAAATAAAAAGTGCAAGAACCCACAAATGGTCGCTCATTTGACAAGGAAACTACTTCTATGGGGTATGGAGTTACAGGTCGAATCATATAAAGCGGGAGGTAAAAGATTTTCTGAAAAATTTTTGAAATTTTTCTGTTTTTACTTTTTTTTTAAAAAAAAAGTAAATTTTCAGTTTACTTCCCGGAAAATGCAAAAGAAAGTCAATTTTGTTTCTGGCTTTCCGACTTCAAGGTCGGGAGTAGGACCGGATCTTACTCCCCGCTTGGAGTCGCCGAAAGTCAGAGCTTGTTTTTACTTTATTCCTCTTTTTGGCCCCGCACTGCAGGTTGCAAGGTTGACGCCAAGTCTTTCCCTGATGTGTCAAGTTTTTCTCTTCCGAAAAAATTATTTTTACGTTTGTGCGATGTTGTGAAGCTATGTTCTCCACGAAGATGGGCTGGAAAGTGATCAAGTAAGTTAGCATTGGCAAGAGGAGATGTACGTTTTTCATTTGACATCAAAAATTTCCATTTTATTTCAGAGAAAGGTACAAAATTTTTCCAATTCGTAAAGCTTCATGACCATGGATAATGTAAGTGAGATTATCTCCTTTTTTGCTACGACGTCAAGATTCTAAGTCGGGAAACGTTTAGAGGAGACCCCACTCTCATGTATATTCCCCATGTATGAAACCCCATAAATTTTGAGGAAAAACGACGTAAAAGTTTCAAATAATATACTAACTTTCCAAAAAGTATGTTATACGAAAGTAAAACCTATGCAAACTATGTTCAAGTTATTGTAACAACGTTATTTGAGCCTTACTACGTTATTACCTCAGTTTAGAACGCCTTCGTGGCAAAAATCCGGGATCTGAGCGGATTTCGATATTGTACATGACACCTAGAAATCAAAATTGGTGGCGTTTGATAGATAGAGTATATAACAAAACTGAAGTGAGGTGTCCTCTAGAACTCGCCAGCCTAGAACTGTTAACTCCAATAACGGAACAAAAAACGCGATAAGCGCACTTACATTATCCATGGTCATGAAGCTTTACGAATTGGAAAAAAATTGTACCTTTCTCTGAAATAAAAGGAAAATTTTTGGTGTCAAATGAAAAAAGTACATCTCCTCTTGCTAATGCTAACTTACTTGATCACTTTTCAGCCCATCTTCGTGGAGAAAATAGATTCACAACTTCAAAAAAAATCAAAACGTTTCTTCCGGGAGAGAGAGAAATTTGACACATCTGGAATTCCCGGGCGCAGCTCGCAAAAATAGTTTTGAAGAAAATAAATTGGCGTGCAGGTGAGTAAAAACGGCATCCTACTCACCAGCCAAAATGGGCGAGCCATTTTTGTTTCAACTTTGCGGATCGACCTTTTGGCGAGCCATTTTTGATCCAACTTTCCAAAAATTTGTCGTTCGGAGTAAGAATGTTTTTTGACTCTCCGAAATCGAAAATTTCCGGAAATTTTTCAAAATTTACTTTTTTTTTAAAAAAAAAGTAAAAACAGAAAAATTTCAAAAATTTTTCAGAAAATCTTTTATCTCCCGCTTTATATATCAAAAAATTCGCAAAAATTTTCTGATTCAGAATATGCAAAAATTAGCTGCCTAATTTTGGTTTGTAAGGGTGAAAAAATCCTCAGAACTTTTTTCGCAACACCATGAAAATGCGCCTTTTTGCCATTGGAACTACTAATTAAGGTGTAGTATAAATTAAATTTGATATTTTGAGGCTTGTAAAGATACCAGAGTTTACTTTAACTCAAAACAAAGCTTTTGAATTGGTAAAAACTTGGTCAAAAAGGCATTTGCGTGGTGTTTCGAAAACAGTTCCGAGGGTTTTTTCACCCTTACAAACCAAAATTAGGCAGCTAATTTTTGCATATTCTGAATCAGAAAAATTTCGCGAATTTTTTGATATATGACTCGACCTGAAACTCCATACCCCATAGAAGTACTTTCCTCGTGAAACAAAAAAAAGCGAGCTTTTTTCTCGTCCCGAACCGCATGCACGCCACGAAAAAAAGTGGAAATAGAGAAATTCGCGGGAAAATGTTTTCGACATTTCATACGCTGAAACCTTTACAAATAAATAATAAAAATGATCCCAAAGTTCTAATAAAACAACAATTTACGTGTGAAACCAACGAGAAAGCATCGAAAGGCTTTAAGGAGGTGCAACCCGAACTTCTCAGATTGATCGAAGAAGAGAAAAGAAATTATATTGTACTAGGCAAAATTGGATCAGAATCGACGAATCTGACCGAATTCGAGCGTTTCAGGGGGTAAACAAGACTAGCAGGGCTTTGATATTGCTACAAAACACCACTACTAAATTGAAATTCATCAAATCTTCTTTATTTCTACCTAAATATCAAACCAACAAGAATAATTAAAATTACATAAATTTTCGACAATCCATGGAATCTGCCGGATGCAATCTGAACTCGGAATTCCATCTCCACACCCTTTGGTACGTTATGCTGGCCTTCACATTCTACTTCAGCATGGACCGGCTGAAATATCAATTATATTATTTTAGGTAACACCAGAGAAAATTGTTAGCTCAGTGGCCTAGAAAAACAAAAAAAATCAAAAAGGCAACGTCATAAACTTACCTTGAAATGTTCTGAAGGTCGTCTGCTTCCTTTGATCCAGCTTTCCTCACGCCTTCTCCAGCGAAAATAATGAGCACTCAGTCGCATCGAAAATCGAATCGCCGCCGTGAAAATGGATTATGTTGCGGCAAAACAAAATTGCTCTTTACTTCAGCGACGCGATTGGCACAGCTACATTTTGCTTATTATTTCTCGGACAGACTGATACAGAGGCTCTGCTGCAAGTCTGAGTTTACTATGAATAGTGTCAACGAATTACGTGAGCAAACCGAAAACATATTTATAATACAATCCAGCCTTAAACACAGGTGTTTTTATGTACAATTACGAGTGTTTTTTGACGAATTTCTTCTCGGCGTCAACAATTTCCTTGAACTTTTTCTCTCCATGCATCTCGATTAGTTGGTTCCGCACGTTGTTTCGATGCTGAAAAGAGTTGAAATTAAATTTTCAAAAGCTTAACCAAGTTTTTATATGCAAAACTTGCCGATTTCACGTAATCACACAGCTGCTCTTTGAAGCCGAAGTTCGGTTCAGCACAATACCGGCGCTGTTTCACAAATCGCAATGCTTTGGGCACCTCCATGTCCAAGACAGTGACAATGTACGCTAACATAATTGTCACGCTCCGCGAGACGCCCATGAAACAATGGATGAGAATTCCTCCTAAAACCGGAAAAAATTAGGAGAAGCGTATTTTACAAACAATATCTATGGAGTTGATGGTTCGAAACGCAAATTCGGACAATTTTGCAAGCATTCCGAAGACTTTTTTTCGTATTTTGCAAGAAGAATCAAGGCTTTTAGATCGAAAATTGGATTTGGGACGAAGAGGGAACCTTTCAAAAAAAAATTGAAATGGTAAGGGGGGACCAAGGCGATTTTTTTCAATATTTTTTTTGGCCTGGCGAGAAAATGATATGGTAAAAGGAGGGATCAGGGCAAATTTTCTTGAATTATGTTTTTTTTTTGGTTTATGTTTGCGCTGAAGTGAGCAGCATTTCGCGCAATTCTTACAACTGCCACTAAAAAACCTTCTTTTCTTGATTGCTTTCCTCTTTTTTTCTGCACTCTTTTGACCGGAAAGATTGTTGAATATCCTGGCTGTTCTTGTAAAGCGTTAGCAAAAATCTTATGGAAGTTTTATGCGACCTCTACATATGTTTTATGCGAAATAGAAGGAAAATTTGAGCGTTCGTGGATGCGAAGGCCCTTCAAGAGCTCAGATTACGATGGATTTGGTTACGACAGTAGGTACGAAAAATTCAAGGATGACCCATCAGCTTATCGGGAAAATAATGAGCCTAATGTCGCTGTGCCAATCGCATCGCTGAAATGAAAAGAAATTTGATTTTGCCCACGGCAAAATTCATTTTCTCGGCGGCGATGCGACTTTCGATGCGACAGAGTGCTCATTATTTTCCAGGCACATTTATATTGCATTTCCAGATACCATATTGCTGTAGTTTCTACTTTCACTCACTTTTTTCCACTCTATGTTGATAAACGAATTTTACGGCCTTCTCGAAGTGCTGATGAATCGGGGCGAATGGCATGTCGTCGATCGGCAATTTCAGGTTGTACCGAACACATATCGGCTGTTTATAAAATTCGTTGAGTGCTGTGACAATCGCCTCCACCTCACGCTTCTAAAAAAAGGAATGGCGATTATGTTTCGACAAAAAATTTTATTGAAAAAATGAGTTTTGAAGCCATGGATAATGTAAGCGGAAGGAAGTGTGGAAAGTTCAGTGTTTTGTCGGGGAAATGGCCGATGTAAACACCACCGCTATGGAGGTTCGCTGCTAGGGTCTATTGTTGGAGTTTGCATAAAAAATATTTGATTGTCTGTTTGTCGGGAAAATAATGAGAAGAATGCCGCTGCGCTTATTGTGTCGCTGAATTTAAAAGCAATTTGATTTTGCCGCGACACAATTAATTTTCTCGGCGGCGATGCGATTTTTGATGCGACTGAGCGCTTACTATTTTCCCGACAGGTATATATAATACATAGAAGCATGAATAAAACATGTATTTGAAAAATATTGGAAAGGCTCACAAGGGAAGTCGTTCAGATCGCAAATGAGTTGAGCCATGGGACCGGTATATTCTGATTCTCCATATTCGAAAACGGTAAGAGCTAAAACAAATTTTCCGTCTGGGCCCTGGTTTTCGAGAAAATCGACCGTAAAGTTTGACCGGAAAAAGCCCCGCTAAATAGTCCTCGTTCTAAAAGACCTTTGGATCAAGAGCCAAATGGCACAGGGCGAGTGAAAACGCTCTCAAAATTCTTTTGTCCGGGATGCCGGGGAAGGTTCGAGTCCCGCTAGGAGCACACCCTAATTCATAATGGTTGCAAAGCAAACAAAATTATTTTTCCTTTTATATACTTTGGAGAAAATATTGAAATGCATGTCAAATAGGCATATGTGAACCCACGGCCGCAATAACGACATTGGACCCCGACCCGCGCCCTGACACGAAGAGATTGAGAGCCTTGGCATTCCGCCACAATGATCGAGAGAGAATAGGAACGATGGGAATGAGGACAATTGGTGGAAGAAGCAGCACTGTGAGCGGTTGGCTACAGTTGCTAGAGGATTTTGATTATATTGTATTGATCTTGCGGCCCTTCGTTTGGCCATATTGTGAGGAGAGGTGTTTTACTGAGGATAAACGTATTTGCGGTTTATTCGGTGATTGTTTGTATTGGCCTTTGGGAGATTGTCCCTCTGGTATTTGTAAGGGGCAAGTGGTTGAATCGGTTGGAGGAGACCCTTGTTCCCAATTGGCGACCACCAAGGCGGCCACATCTGAAAGTTCGTGGAACCGATTGCGTGGAATATTTTCCGAGGAAAACGAAGAAATTCCCGGAAAATCAGATTTGAGCCTAAAGAACTAACGGCCAAATCTGAGTCGATCTCTTCCGTAAGAATAAGGTTGAGATTGACACTGGTTTTTCACAAGCGTTTGTGAAACTCCAGACCTGAAGAGTCCCTAAGAAGCGGCAGTACTCTGAAGGAACAGCGTTGTGCCTAAGAATAGCGGCCAAACGACTGTAGATCTGAAAGAATTAAAAAGATCTAACGTGGTAAACGAAAATATACCCGTGTTGAACGATTTTTCAGTGAAAATATCGAAAAATCTTTGTCTCGACCTAGTATAATATAAGAACTAGCGTCCCCATTGAACCAGTCAAATAACCCGGTTCTCTCGAGCTGCTTTTGGTCTCACTCAGTCGGTAGATCAAAGCCAATCGCGTGCCCTTTCGCAATTGTTGAGTAATTTTGATTTCGGACCTTATTTTAGGTATCTACACGGATTTGGTCGTGAATTATTTTCAAGGGCGAGTTGAACTGTGATTTTTCTGTCAATTTGAAGCTTTTACTGTGGAGTACGTGAAGCGTGTTGTATTTATCGTGGAATTTTCGAATTTCCCGCGAATTTTTACCCGATCTTACACTTGATATTTCAGGTCATAAAGCCGGCAAAACTCGATCCAGTGGCCAATCAAGAAACCCATCGGTCCCCAGCAAGCAAGAACATCCTTCTGCGGCAACTCAAGAAGATTCAGGTTAGCTTTTGAATATTATTGTTCGATATTTAGGCAAAACATGGCAGGCGGGGATAAAAAACCGGGCGAAGACGTTGCGACCAAACTTAAAAGTTTTATTGAAGAGACTAGGGCGAGCGCAGAAGCGGCAGAGCAGCGACAGGCATCGATAGACAGCAGCCTGAATAGATTAGTTGAATTGTTAACCAAAACAGCGGCCTTACAAGCAATTGCGCCGTCTCCAAGCCCGCAACCTCCAGCTGAAAATGCAGAGGACAATAGACAAAAAGTCGATTTTGCTGAACTCATGTTCTTGGACATGCGTCTACCAACATTAAATGGTCGTGAAAAGTCGAGCGAGGTTTCGAGCTTTCTCTATAAGTTCAAGACTGGAACTAGAAACATGTCTTCGGCCGAAAAAAGAGATCTTTTGGAGGCCAAATTGTCTGATCAGGCATTAAGAATTTATGAACACTGCAAGCGCTCTGCAACCAGCGAAAACTTTGAAGAAATATTTGAAAACTTTGAGAAAGAACTAAAAGGTCGATCAGCGGACAATCGAGATTGGGCTTCAATCTTTCTGAAGCCTTACTATCGGCGGCACGACATGTCGATGCGGGATTATGCCGATAAAATTTCGGATATTACGATGCGCGCGTTTGTGGGGGCACCGAAAGAGATCATGGAAAGGCAGCTGATAACCAAGTTCATGAGCGGCCTCAATCATAGAGAAGTAGGGAATGCTTTAGCGGCCGAACGACACAAGAACCTGCCATTCGAAGACATGGTGAAGATTGCCATCAATGTTTTGGACCATAATCAAGGCAACAGATATCGGCCACAAACGCAACAAAGGTCTTTCGGAGCGAATAACAACAACAATAATAGTCTAGCTGCAACAACCGGACATCAGAATACCAATCAAAATACCAATGCGAGTGTCCCAGCGCAACAAAATCGGCCGAACCCTCCGTTTACTGGCGGAAATAGAAGCCCATTGGGTCAGAATCAGGGTTTTCGCCGCCCCGGCCTGGCATAAATACGCGCTTACCAGAGCCGGGAAACTACAACAACAGCAGTAGAAATGCGCGAACCCCATGTAATTATTGTAAAAGAGGAACTCATCGAGAAGAGGATTGTTACAAAAAGAAGAATGATCTTCAGCGGCAAATCATCAGACCATCCTCCAATCCGGCCCCTCCAGATAACCGACCAAGTCAAAGAGCAGTCACAATATCAGAGATCACATCATTTGAACCCTCGGAAATGCCGTCACCAGACGTGGACCCTCAACTAATACTTGGAACGGACATGTTGATCAACCATCTGAGAGAGACAGAGCCTTTACCATGGCAAGAAGAAAAGATACTAGGAACAAAGAGACTTCAGGGCACCGAACTCAGTGTAAATGGTGTCGAAATGTTTGCACTCATCGATTCAGGCAGTCAGATCACCACGATACCAATTAACCTTTTCCTTGATGCGGTGAGAGGAAGAAAAGAATTGTTAAAAGAAATTGATTATAGACAGACACACATGAAAGCTATAGTGGCGAACGGGGAATCATTGAAATTTTTGGGAACTTGTTTACTTCCGATCAAAATTGATCAAGAGATCCGAAATTGCAGAGTTTATGTTGCGCATCTGATCTCAAATCATGTAATATTAGGCCAACCTGCCATGGAAGTATTTGATTTTCGATTAGTTCAAGGAAAAATTGATAATCTGAAAGAAGAAAACACCAGAAACATTATGAGAGCTACAGCACATAATAAAATTTTTTGTATGCCGTTAACGTCTGATCTATTTGCAGATATGGCCGAATTCCTTGATGAAGAAGAAGCAATGTTATTGGGAGAAGAACAGAATCACCAGAATGACCCAGATCAACCTGAGTTGAATGAGCGGCCAAACGTTCCAAACCAACCACCGGCCAATCAAGTAGAGCAACAAGGAGGTCATGTCAACCAGAATCTATCGACTTTTGCTGACGGTAAGCTTGATTCTTGTGGTATTTCGGAAAGAACAAAAGAAATTTTTGGCCAAATAACACAAAATTGCCCAGAAGGACACACAAACAAATTCATAAAACTGATCGAACAATACAATGATGTCTTCGCTTTAAGCGATCGCGAACTAGGAACAACAAATGTGGCCACTCATAGGATAGATACCGGGGATAGTGAACCTAGGAAACTAGCGCCTTATCAATCTAACCCTGTCACAGACAAAATTATCCGTGAGACCATCAATGACTGCTTAGAAAGAGGGATAATTAGACATTCCCAGAGTCCTTGGGCGTGCCCGATCGTGCCGGTAACCAAGAAGGATGGGACGATACGCTTTTGCGTAAATTATAAACCATTGAATGCGGTCACAAAATCGGATGCTTTTCCGGTCCCCAAAATAGAGAATATCCTATCATCATTAGGCGGCAAAACATGTTTCAGTTCTGTAGATTGCCATTCCGGGTATTGGCAAATTGCCATGCACCCCGATTCAATAGAAAAAACGGCATTTAATTCTAAATATGGATTGTTCGAGTTCACGGTAATGCCGTTTGGGGTAAAAAACGGCGGCGCTACTTTTCAACGAGCGGTCAATCATATATTAGAAGACGGACTGGGAGAAAGTTTTTTCGTCTACCTGGATGATATTTTAGCGGCCAGTCAAGACCCCGACAAGCATTTGGCAGATCTCGAGAAATTATTTGAAAAATTAAGAACGGCCAATCTCAAATTGAAACCGAAAAAATGTTCGTTTTTCGCGAAAGAATTTGAATTTCTCGGCCACACAGTTTCAGCAAATGGAATTAGGAAAAATTCGGAAAAAGTAAAAGCGATGTTAGAGTTACCTTTACCGCGGAACCTCAAAGAGTTAGAAAGAGCAATGGGGTGTTTTAATTTTTATCGAAGGTTTGTACCAAACTATTCGAAAATAGCAGACCCAATGAGAGTAGTCCTCAAAAATACTAGACAATCAAAGGCTACTCGTACTCTAAAAATGACATCAGCAGAAGAACGAAAATTCAAAAATTGTTTCCAAAGAGTAAAAGAAATAATGGCCAAAGATATTGTCTTAGCTGTTCCGGATTATGAAGCGGCCCTAAAGGATCCAAAAAGAAGGTTAGTTTTGATCACGGATGCGTCCTCTTTCGGATTTGGAGCGGCCTTACATCAACCAGACGAAAATGGATATCTGCGGCCGATCGCTTTTGTCAGTCGACGATGTACTCCGACAGAATCTCGATTACACTCCTCAGAAGTTGAAGCTGTCGGAATGTTATTCGCTTGTTTGAAACTGGAATATATTCTTTTCGGAATTCCCACATTGGTGTTAACAGACAACAAAGGAATCATTCCTCTGCTTAAAAAAGGGTCAACGAATCCCAGAATCGATGCAATGTTTGCCATTCTGGCTCAAAAATTTGATTTGGAAGTAAAATACATCAAAGGTACGGCGAATTACGTCGCTGATACCCTATCAAGAGCGTTCGAAGAACTGAGAGGGCCAAAGATATCCGAAAATGACCAAGAAAACCCTGAAAACGAGGCAGACCCTCAAGAAAACACAGAAAATGCTGAAAATTTGGAAGATTGTGAAGAATCTTTCCACATAAAATCAATGTCGGCAACACAAGCACCCGTTGACATAACGGAAATTGACAATAACAATCTCCAAAGACCATGGATCGAACCAGAGAATTGGACCAAAGAAATCATGCACGATGCTGAGATCAGAGTGATTTACATGTACCTTGTTGATGGAAAACTCCCCCCAGATCCTCGAGAATCAGAAAAATTGAGAGAACTCGCGTCGACCTACACCTTGAAGGACAATGTCTTGTACAAATTAGTCGAAAATACACTTAGACTCGTGATTCCGGCCTCTCTAATCGATGAATTGCTGACTAAATTGCATGCCACGCCGCTGACTTGCCATCCAGGAAGGAAAAAATTGGTTCCCCTTTTATCCGGCTATTATTTTTCGAAAATGACTTCAAGAATCGATCGGTTTATCGCTCGCTGTCTAGTCTGCAATAAGACAAAATCTGCTCGTAATAATCAGCAACCCTCTGGAAACTTTGACTCCTCGGAACCATTCGAAATTGTCCATATAGATGTTCTAAAACTTGGATTATCGGCCAATGGATTTGTCTACGTGTTGACAATGGTAGACGATTTCTCCCGATACCTCATAGCGGCCCCAATGAAATCAAAATCGTCAGAAGAAGTAGCCAAAACACTCTTGTCGAATCTCTTTCTGCGTTTTGGTGCTCCAAAAACCTTGCACTGCGACAAAGGCACCGAATTTTTGAATCAAACTCTAGATACTCTTCGAATTCTGACAAAAACGGCGATAAGCACGACCCCAGGTCACATGCCGTCGGCAAACGGCGTCGCCGAAAGAGCTAACAAGGATATTCTGGATAAACTTCGGAAAATCGCATCGTCGGGGGATGATTGGGATGATCATTTGCCCTTTGTCACTTTTGCCCATAATTCATTGATTCACTCAACGACAAATTGCACCCCCCACAGTGTAATTTACGGCTCAGAACCAAGATTCCCGGCAGAATGGTCAGAAAAATGGACTCCGCCAAACCCACTCTACAGAATGGACGCAATGACGTATAAAGACTGGATCGGAATGAAAATTAGAGAAACGATCGCGGAAATCGGGCCATACTTGAAAGAAAAGAGGAAAGAACGAGCCGAAATCCAACAAAGACAAGCTGGAGTCGACATCGACAAGTACAAGGTCGGAGATCTCGTATTCGTGGACGAAGACCATTTTCCTTCGGAACCGGCCAATCGAAAAATTGAAAAATTCCGATTTGGGCCATACAAAATCATTCAAATCACAGACACTTCGGCACTTCTCGCGCCCTCAGAAGAAAGGTATAGATGGTTTTGGAGAAAAAAATCGACCTTGTGCCCATGCCCAAGCGATTTTAATATGGAAAATTTCACACCACATCCACATCAACCAATTTATATGCCAAAACCTCCGTATACGGAACCACCGCCAACGAATTCGCGGTACAACCTCCGAAAAAGATAAAACCAATCAGAAACATATTTTTCTAGGTATCTTATTTAAATTATCGTAATCAAACATGTCAAAAACTATTTAATTTATCGTAAAAATGACCAGAGCGTCAAAACTTATCGTAAAATTACCCCTTGATTAAAACGTTATTGTAAAACTAAAATTCTATTCTATAATTAGCCAAAAATTTGCTTATCCCTCAACCTCTTAAACCCAGTATCTAAAGAACATTATTTTCAGAAACTGGCTTCTACCCATCCATGAAATGTGAAGGCCCCAACCACGAAAACTGCACCCAGATTTTGTGTGCATCGCTCACCACGCTCCTGGAAAGTCGTAACCCCAATATGGTCGTGAACAACGCAGTATCCTTGGCCCAGCTGTTCCATATTTTGTCAATGGACAGACCCCAGGCGTTCAAGTTGGAATTAGCGGTCAGACTTCTGGAACGGCACCGCCCACCACCCCAAAAAGATCTCACCACGGCCGAAATCAGAGTGGCTTTGTCAACCATCCTGGCCAAATGTCGAGTAGCGGCCGCACAAGTTTCCCAGCAACCACTAAATGCTGTCGGCACCACATGCAGGGAGCACCAGTTGTCAGCAGATTGGTCCAAAGAGTACGAAGTGATCAGGGCCGAATTAGCCCACCTCACACCCCTCAAAAGGAAATTCGTGTTGATTGGGGATGAAGCGATCAAAACGCTGTACGAAAGAGTGGTCTTTGCGGAACGTAGCCAGTGCCAGATGATACTTATCCGGAACTTCGGAACATTGAGAACCGAAATCGGCCAATGGATCGCGCTGAACAATGTGGAGAAGATAGTGCTTTTCTTCGACGGCATTCTCGGAAAAGAAACGGACGCTCAAGACCTGACCTCAAATTGCCGAGCAATAATCGACGGCCTTAGAAGATGCTGCACGAATGAAGAAACGGAGATCATATTCCTCCCACCACCGGCCACAACCAGCAATTTACCACGCTACCGGCAACTTTTGACCAGTGGAATTTTTACGGCCACTAGAGACGACAGATCGTTGTGTGAAGCCCTTCGCCTCGGATCAAGCCACCACCCCGACAGAGTCAGCGAAAATGGAAAGCTTTTGAAAGCCGGAGCAACCGAAATGGCCCCAATACTTTCCGAAGTTGGAATCTTGCCGAAGGTCGTTTCGAATACGCCACAAAATGAGCAGAGAGCAGTCCGCGGTCGTTCAAACCACGTCAGAGGACAAGCCAATCGCTATCAGCCATACCAACGCGGAAGAGGACAAAATCGCCGTTAAGATCTCAAACTTTAGGCCAAACTTAGTTATTTATTTTGTTCGCTTATTTATTCCAAAACGGGTTATAATATTGTTTTACGGGTTCCCCGGCCAATCACGATGATTCGTAGCGAAAAAGATAGTTTGTTAATTAGCTAAAATAAAGTAAATCAAAGAATTATCGTTTACTTTATTTTGAAGCCGAGGACGGCTTCAAACAGGGGAGGGGGAGATTTGGGTAGTTTAGGGAATTTAGGGACTTTTATTTGACTTTAACTTTTATTTGATTTCAGATTTTTGTCTTTGCCTTGATTTGCCTTTTATCCGCCTTGTTCCAAGTCAGAAAAACGCCACTCCAAGCCCTCCAACGCCAATCCAAACCCACCAGTGCCACGTCCAGCAAGCCGATCAAGAGAGAATCCTGTCTGCCCATCATACACCGGCTGAAATCAACCAGAATTGAATGATGAACTTGGGAAGAAGCACCTTGTTGACGTCGGGACGCCGTCTATCTAGAGGAGGGGCGTGTGAACCCACGGCCGCAATAACGACATTGGACCCCGACCCGCGCCCTGACACGAAGAGATTGAGAGCCTTGGCATTCCGCCACAATGATCGAGAGAGAATAGGAACGATGGGAATGAGGACAATTGGTGGAAGAAGCAGCACTGTGAGCGGTTGGCTACAGTTGCTAGAGGATTTTGATTATATTGTATTGATCTTGCGGCCCTTCGTTTGGCCATATTGTGAGGAGAGGTGTTTTACTGAGGATAAACGTATTTGCGGTTTATTCGGTGATTGTTTGTATTGGCCTTTGGGAGATTGTCCCTCTGGTATTTGTAAGGGGCAAGTGGTTGAATCGGTTGGAGGAGACCCTTGTTCCCAATCATATTTCTGCGCTGAACTCAAAAATGAAGTGTTTATTCCTAAAAAAACTATTTGATCTGAAATTATTGGGGTACACTTCACCACAAAAAACTAAAAAATTTTTATTTTTTATCATTTTCAATATCAGAGCTCTTTGAACATGCGTTTTAGCCTAGCGGGACTCGAACCTTTCCCGGTATCACGGACAAAAGAATTTTGAGAGCGTTTTCACTCGCCCTCCGCCATTTAGCTCTTGATCCAAAAGTCTTTTGGAGCGAGGACTATTTAGCGGGGTTTCCGGTCAAAATTTACGGTCGATTTTCTCGAAAACCTGGGCCCAGACGGAAAATTTGTTTTAGCTCTTACCGTTTTCGAATATGGAGAATCAGAATATACCGGTCCCATAGCTCAACGCATTTGCGATCTGAACGACTTCCCTTGTCAGAAATTTCTTATTCCCGCGCTTCGCAGGTACGGCCGAGATTTTTAGGCCAAAAGAAAATTTTTAGGCCACGAAAAAAGCAACACTTTTTTTGCAAACTTTGGCCTAATAAGTTTTGACCCGACAACTTTCCTGCAACCGTATGTTATAAACTTTTGCAGGAAGGACGAAAATTCTACAATAAATATATTCCCTAAACACAGTACTTTCATGCCATATATACCTTCTCTCACAAACTGTTTCATGGCAGGAAAAGTCGAAGAAAAATTAACGTCCATTTTTTTGGCCCACCCTGTATATTTCTACTGCAGAGAGTGACGTCTTTACAGAAAAAATATGTTTTTTTAAATCTGCAAAAAAATGGCAAGGACACGGGCAACAGTGACTTTATCTCTGACCGAACTCCGCCTTTTCCGTGCTCTCTCGGCGGCAAAAATCGTTGAATATCTTGGACGCCCCTGCAAAGCGGAAGCTGAAATTTTCAGGAATTGCTATATGGAATATGTCCAACGTGTGTGCAAAATTTAAAGAAAATCTGAGCCTCGCACATAGGGTAATTCCTTGGTTAATAACCGTTGTTAGCAAAATTTAGACAATTTTTTGTAAAATATTTTCAAGGCTCCTGACTCGCGCTTTGCAGAAAAAATGAAGATTGTGATACTTTCTTTGCTAAAAATATTTGAAAAAAGGTTTTACCTTCAGCAACTCCCGATCCGTCGCCGCTCTAATCCCGCCCAAATACAGGTTCGGCAGAATCTCATCCATGGGGTTGTCGACGTAGGATATTCTATCCGATTGAGGGTTAAAAAGTTGATTCAGAAAGCGCAAAATCGGCCAGGTTTTGTAGATTCGCCGAAATTTTGGTTTTCTTTTCGTGTCGTCGTCCAAATCCAGGGTCAGCTTGTGGATTTCATTGCTGACTGGAATGGTGGTTGAGGTGCAGGGTGCGGTGGTTTCAATGACAGGGAATTTTTGAGGTTTTTGCATTTACTACTGAATTTAGATGGGTGGGAAAGATGAAAATGACGTCATTCTGAAAATTGGGAAATTTTTAAAAAGTCAAAAAAATTTTTAAAATAAATAAAAAGAAAGAAAAAATTAATTAAAAAAAACTTAGTAAAAATTAAAATTTATATTTTTTCAACCGTGTTATGCAGAAACATCTCAAATTTTTAAGTCGAAAATTACAAAAAAAAATTTTTTTTACCGATTTTTTTGAATTTTTTACATCAAAAAATCATTTTGTTTCATCCAAATTATCCCCAAAAGTCTACTTCCCCAAAAAAATTTTAAACTCCACAAACGCACAAAGTCATAGAAATAGAAAAGAATTTGGGAACGCTAATCACTCAAGCACAGTAAACCCCCCAAGACCAAAGTGCAAGTTTAAATCTTTCGGAAAAAAAGAATTTTGTTTTGGCAGCTGGAACGCTGACCGCACGGTGTGACGAGTCGAGCGAAAAGCCCGGCTCAACCGGTTGTTTATGGCCAGAGAAGGCGTTGGAAATGGATAAAAGTGGAGGTGAATTACAAACAAGGGGTGAACGGACTTTTAGGGGTAAATAAGCGGTCACAAAGGTTGAAATTAGGGAAAAATTTGGGGGTGAAATTTTTGAGAAATTAGAAAAATTGGAAAAATTTTTAAAAAAATCGAAATTTTTTTGGCAAAAATTTAAAAAAAAAATTAAAAAATCCCAAAAAATTTTTTTCCAAAAAAGTTATAGAAATCCCAAATTTTACCTCGAAACGCCCCAAAAAACCATAAAAAGTTTTAAAAAAATCAAAAAAAAAGTCTAATTTTTTGGCAAAAATGCAAAAAAAATTCAAAAATCCCAAATTTTTTTTGCAAAAACAGTTCTAAAACCTCAAATTTAACCTTCAAATGTCCCAAAAAGCCATCAAAAATTTTTATCACAAAATATTTTAAATTAAAATTCCAAAAATTTCAAAAAATCCCAAAAATTTTTTCCCCCAAAAAAATCCAGAAAACCCATCTAATTTATCCTGTAGACCCATAAAGAGCCATCTAGATCGTACAACGACCACTAAACTAATTGTTTCTCCAGAGAAAATGCCCCTAAATTGCTTGAGGCAGCAATGATTAACGCCGAGAAGGCGTTAAATTTCAAATGGCCATGCAAAAATGGCCTGCGGGCGAGAAAATTTAATTGGCGGGAAAATTGATTTTTGAGCCTGCGTTGGGTATTAAAATAAAAAATTTCAATTTTACTGGAGCTTTTTCGCCTAAAAATTAGATTTTTTAAACTTTTTGCGGGCTAAAAATTGTCAAAAAAACGTTTTTTTTTTCCGAGTTCACATGACCTCAGTTTATACTTTAGAAAGAAACGAGCCCAATTTTTTTTGTGTCTAGTTAAAAAAAAAACTCGAAATTTCTCCTTATTTTACCCTAACCAGCACTTCCAAAAACTCAAACTAATCACCAAATCATATCAAAACCGCCCTCTAAATCCCCCCTCCCACAAGAAATAAATAAAAATTCTTGTGGAAAACAAATAAAAAAGTGCAAGAACCCACAATTGTCGCTCATTTGAAACAAAAAAAAGGCGAGTTTTTTCTCGTCCCGAACCGCATGACTCCTCTCTTGCCCTCTTCGAGGGAAGGACCGGCCCTCGGAAATTCAATGGACCAAAAAAAGGACGGAGAAAAAGGAGGGGACATATCCGTTCCCATGTCCAAATATGAAAATCGGAGCAAAGGTCGGGCGCGATTTCTCAAGGGTCACCATTTGCGAGGGAGATCTCGGAATTTGAAGGGAGTTTGAAGCTGATGTTAATTGAAGAGCCTATAAAAAATTTTTTTTGAGAGCTGAATAGAACTGGCCCGATTTCCCTCTCCCAGCCCGGCCCGAGTGCCACCTCTACTCCATCGACCATGAAAAAAAACCATTTATGACAGACAGGTTTTTCATGGAATTTTTGTACAGGCCGCATATCAAATCCTGGAAATTTTATCGGGCGCTTTGCAGGGAACAGCGGAGATATTCAACAATATTTTTGGCATCTTTGCCAGTTTCGTTCAGAAAAAAAATAATAATGTAATGTAACAGCAATACTCTGTACGGTAAAAATAAGCCTTGTAATATAAAAATCCGTAAAAATGTCACACTGTCTCCAACAATTAACCTTAAAGTCTCGGTCGTTTCTGCAAGCCCGACCGAGATTTATAACTGGAAACTCTACCGCTGTAACAACTAACTGACCCTTATTTTAATATCTCACAGGCTCACTGCGAAGCCAGTTTCTGAAATGCTAAAAATACACTCATTTTTGTTGCTATGACCACCGTATAAAGGTTCCAGCATGCGTCATCAAAAGTCATCAGATATTTACGTTCAATAAACCGGAGTTTAGTCCGAAATGACTTTGTAAAAACCTGACAAAACAAACAATAACAGGCTCTGTTTGCCAATACAGAAAGTTTACTCGAAAAAGTTTTGGAATGGTAAGGAAAACTCGGTAAGCTCTTCGTCCTAACGCCCGCTTGAAGGGTGTTCTTCAGTTTTCCGGAAAGATCTTCGAGCCGAAAACACTTGACAACGCTATGCCTGGCCTAGACATGACTATTGGGCCGGGCCGAAGAAAACTTTAAGAGCCGGGCCGGACCTCTTTGGCTCGTAAGCCGGAGCGCCGGTTTCAGCCCGACTTGGCCCGGAAAATTTTGTGTGCTATGAAGCAAAAAACTGCAGTACTATGTACACATATAGTGGAAGAAAACGGTGGAAATCCTTAGTATAAGTCTGTCGGGAAAATAAAAAATGTAGCTGTGCTGACTGCGCAGATGAATTGAAAAGCAATTTGATTTTGCGTTGACACAATTCATTTTGTCGGCGGCGGTACGATTCTTGCTCATTATTTTGCCGACAGATTGGTAAATGCACCAAATTATGATAAATTGAAGACTTGACAGTTTTGCACCCTTTTTTATACCTTTTTAAAATTTCAGCGATTTTGCAAGCTCATATCAATTATAATTCTTACAGGGGAAGTACTCCAAGTGCGACGCTCAGATTTTCTTTAAATTTTGCGCACACGTCGGGCTTGGACTAAATCTGAATTCCTGAAAGTTTTAGCTCGCGCTTTGCGGGCGCCGCTGAGATATCGAACGATTTTTGCCGCCGAGAGAGCACGCTAAACGTGGAGAGCGGTCAGAGAGAAAAACGCTTTTTGGCCATAACTTTGGCAGTATCGTGCGGAAAATTTTGATTTTTTGTCGAATCATTATCCTTTACGGTAGAAATAGGCATGAAACTTTTCGTGCCGAAATTCGGCAAAAAGTCCGAAATTTTCGCCGACTTTCGATCTAAAAATCTCGGTTGTTTCTGCAAAGCGCGAGTGAGGATTCTCGCATATATCTTATAAAAAATTATTCTAAATTTGTGCCAGGTTTCATCAAAATTTGGAGTACTTCCCTGTTAGAATAAACCAACGCGCCTCAAAAGGCTATGTCTAACGGGCTCATTCGCCAAGAATCCACTTTCGGCAAGCCGGGAGTGTGGCTGACAACAATCAAGAGCCTATTCCGTGAGGCACGGCGAGGATTGTCCAAAAACTTAGGATTGTCCAAACCAGACAACGCCGAAAGGCCCTGCTTTTCAACCTTGATTTGTACGGCTTGCAAAACGAAAGCCTAAAAAGCTTTTTGTATCCAGAAAGGCCTTTGACAGTTTCTCTCGGAACCAAAATCCCCGTTCTCTGCGCTTCAAGGAATCTGTGTCGGCGAAATTACAAGTTAGCGACCAAGAACAATATGTGTAATTTTCTCCTCGCCCTCTCGCCCCCACATCTCGAGGGGTCTCGATGACATAAGATGGAGATCGCGAAGGATGCCGACCGAAACACCGTGCTCTCGTTTCAAGAGGATCACCCGCGCCGTCCCGCGCTTGATGATCCCCGCATACGAACACAAAAGCGAACTTTGAGGATTTTCGCTTTTTATTTGTTATTTCTTCAATCGAGTTTTTTTAGGGCAGGGGTGGATTTCTGAAACGTATGTGGGTGTAATGTATAATTTGAGTTTCTTTCCCCGGATATTCAGCGTTTCTCTAGGGATTTTCATCGACTGTAATTAGCATGTTGTGGTCAAGAGAAGGGATATGCGGGTGTTTTTCAAATGCTATCTCTCTTTTCGAGGCGTTGCGGCAAGATTTTTGGTTCAAACAAGCCGTTGAACTTTCATTTCTTGTCGGGAAGTTTCTGCAGCGTGCCTTACAAGGTTCAGGACTTCTTCAAGGTATAAGTCTGTCGGGAAAACAATGAGCGCAACGTCGCTGCGAAAATCGCATCTCTGCGGAGAAAATTATTTGTGTCGCGGAAGAATAAGTTGCTTTTCAATTCAGCGACGCGATCGGCGGAGTCACGATGCGCTCATTATTTTCCCGACAGAATGGTGGAGGAAGATCCATCATTCTGTCGGAAAAGTAAGCCTTTTGGACGTATTATATTTTTAGCGGCTATATTAAACATTCAACGCGCTAGATGTTATCGTAATGCCTGTTGAAGCGGCCGACATGAGCCAACGACCAGTCTTTACAAACTTTTAAGATGTTTTTGGCTTCTGCCAGTACATTGATGACGTTGCCGTCTATTTCTTTGGCAATTTATCCCCTGACAAGACAAACCTCTCTACAACGAATTGCTAGAGGCGGAACATTTATTCATCACGTAATTGTTTTATTGTACGGAGGTTTATTTTGACTTCCTCGCTTAGCATCTAAATTGCTTGTTTTTTCAGTCTCTCAGGAAAATAAAGAGAACAATGTCGCTGCGCCGATCCAGTCGCTGAATTTTTCCGCGACACAATTCATTTTCTCGACGGCGATGCGATTTTTGCGACAGAGTGCTGATTATTTTTCCGACAGATCAATAAACCTTGTTATGTACTAGCCTTAAAGTCCGTAGAACTTTTTCGGCGACGCACGTCAAACTGAGGAGTCCGGTGACCGGAATAGACTCTTCGCTATCGGTTTTTTACATTTCGTCTTGATTTCGCAGAGAAAGAGAGAAAAAAGACAGGCAAAAACGTACTCTCTCGCCCCAAAAATTCCCCATTTCTTCCCCGACAAAACGTTTTTTCGCGTCTTTTTTTGGCAAATTGCCAATCTATTCACCGGACTGTTTAGCTTATCTCAGTTTGACGTGCGACGTCGCGGAGTGCGTTTGCAGATTCATGCCACTAGTGCAAATTTGATCTTGGTTTTTAACAGGAAGATTCTATGACCACCGGGAGCCGAGTATCCACTGATTACCTTCAATAATCTCCGTTTTTGACCCCATGTATCGTTGTACGTGTATTTGTTGTGCAAGGGGTTCCCTGTAGTCTTAATTTTGCCCAATTCCGTACGTATTTCCAAGTCGGGCACAGGACAGAAATCGAGCCAATTGCCATTAAAGAAGATCACTTCTGCGTGACCTGGTCGCCTGTCCGCAGGCTAAACGGTCATTCTGCTCGCCCTCCCCGTTGCCCACCGCGCAATAAATCAGGGATCCGCCCCATTGCTCCACATAATCTGCATAAAACATCTCCCACAGCGCGCGATGTAAACAACAGCCCGAGGGGGGCGCGAGAATTTGTGTTGGGGAATTCGGCGAGTCATAAAAAATCAGGGCTGACGAGAAGCGAAAGGGTTGGGGGGAAGTGAAAAAATGAAAATCCTGAAAAACTTTCGTTTATTCCGGTTGGCGTCGATTAGCGCATCCGGAAAACCGCCGCCGCCTGTTTCTTTCCGCGGGGGGTGGGTTTCAACCGGCTAGCGGGTCGGTTGGGATCGGCGTTTCTTGAATGGGGAGTTCAGAGGGTTGACAAAAAAAAAACTCGACCTTTTCGCTTCCGGACTCGCTGCGGTTGGAGGCTAAGCCGACGAAAGAGGATGACTTTTTCGTTGCAAATGACGGTAGCGGACCGAAAAACGTTTGAGAAGCGGGATTTGCAAGTCGTTGTTTTCTGGGTTAGCGCGAAAGGAATTTCGGAACGCGTTGATTTTACTAAGCGGGTTTTTACTGTTTAGCAAAAGCTGTTCAAGGCACAGATTCTAATCGGAATTTTGCTTATTGGTTCTGCAAGCCATAAATTTACTGTTTAGTAAGTGCTAGGCCTTGATTTCCATGAAACATGTCATAAGTTTGCATTGATTCTTTTCTGTAAAAAACAACCTTATTTTCACAGGGGAAGTACGCCAAGTGCGACGCCAAGATTTCGATGAAACTTGGACACATTTTTCTAGGAATTATTTTTTTTAGGACCTGTCTGAGACTTCTAGCGCGCGTTTTGAAGAAAGGACCGCGATTTTTAGACAGAAAGTTGGCAAAAATGGGATACTTTTTAGGGAATTTTATGATGAAAAGCGTTATGCTATATACGTATAATATTTAATATTTCTATTGTAGAGGGTAATGTTTCCATAAAAAACATCTTTTTTGCCCTGAAACCGGCGAAGATATTGCCAAAAGACTTTTTTTTCTGGCCGTTCGCGCTTTGCGGCGAGGAAGATACATTGAATATATTGGCTGCCTCTGCAAGCATAGACCAAAATTTTCAGAAGTTGATATGACGGCTAATTTGGCAAGTTTAGCTCGAAAATTTCAAGGTGTGTTTCTACCGCAGAGGGCATAGTGAACATGGAAGCTAAAAGCTATAAAAAATTTTTCGTTTTATTTCTTTGTTTGAACAAAAAACTCGGCAAGGTGTTCTGCAACTCGGTCCTTGCAGTCATTTCTTTCACTACGTCTATTCTAAGGATTTCAGTGCTATAACGCTGGTTTTATGCACCAAATTTTTCAACAACATCACTCCGTTGCAACGAACCATCCTTCACTTTAAACCCCAACCTCTTCCTCTTGAAAGTTTTTTTTCAAAGTCTCCAAACCTTCTTCATCCGCTCACGGCTTGCTTCACGGAGGAGTCGGTAACGGAGATCCTTCGCCAATTCCGAACGCCCGCTTTCACTCCGAATGTTTTGCGAAGAGTTTTCGGAAGCGAGTCGGAAGGAAGAGTGCCGAAGACAGGTACCCTCATTCAAACCGCTGAGTGGGCTAGGGAAGATGCCACTCGAGGCGGGCTGGATGCGCCGGTGCGCTGCTGCATTTATACGTTTCTGGATGTAGTGTGTTTGATGTAAAAGTTTGCGCGCATTCTTTGCGAATTGAGCTGATTTTTCGCGACATTCGACTATATTTCTGACAACGTATTTTACCCCCAAAAATCTTTGATTTCAGGTCATGAAGCCTCAGATTATTCTCATATCACTACTGGGGCTATCATTTGTATCGGCACAGAACCTGTTCGACACCGGTTATGGAGTCCAAATCCCCTATAGCGGAAATGGCGCATCGAGTGCCTACAACAGCTACGGTTATAACAAATACAACAACAATCAAGAACCCGCGGAAAGCGGCTCCGGAGATCCGCTACGACAAGCGTTGGGGCTGTGGGGAAGGCTGTTGAATAAGGTAGGATAACTTGAGATTTTTGCAAGACTTTTGTATATCTTTGAGCACCAAGAATAGCTTATATTATTATAGTTAAAGGCAAGAAAAATACAAACGTATTTTACAATTAAAAAATGAGCCTATGACCAGCGAAGACAACAATTTCCTTGTTGGATTTAAAAAAGTCATCAAAATTTTGGGTCTCACCACGAAAACCTCAGAAGAATATTTTTTTTTCTAAAATTTTCAAAAATTCTGCAACGTATTTTAAACTTCCAGATGGCCCAACCCAGCCCTCCCACGGACGATGAGCTCCGTCTTCGAGCCTTGAATGCCAACCAACAAGTTGATGATGGACTTGAATATGAACAACCTTATCAGCAACCCTATCAACAGCCAAGTCTTGGCCAACTTGGTGCCGGAATTGCGGCCAAAGCTATCAAAAATATCCAGAGTGCCGGACTTTTGAATGGCCTGTATAAACAGGAGAATAATCAAGAGATCCCGAACAGTCTGTTGAATCGATTAGATGGACCAGGGAGTTTGATCGACCCGAAGAGGCTGGAACAGATTTTGCCGAGAACTATTGATGATGTGAAGAAAACAGAAAGCACCACTACTACTACAACTGAAGCACCAACGACAACCACGACTACTGAGAGTACCACGAGTACTAGTACTACTACAACAGAGGCTTCTGCGACGGAAGAGCCGACAACGACAGCGAAGCCGGAGAGGACTACTAAAAGTAGGATATAACTTTTGTGCGGAGATAATATATGTATACAGTCAAAGCGATCTATACAAAGTATTGTAAGGGACCAAAAAAGTCATCTGTTTTAGTATAAGGGTTTTGTTGTACAGAGGTCTATTTTGTTCTATGGACCTCAAGACTTCTATTATATGAATATTGTGTGTTATAGACGGGTTTCGTTGTTGCTTTTGTCGTGCAGAAATCCATTGTGTCATTTTTTGACAAAATTCCCAAAAAATGCCTCTGGCCATTTGAAAAACGATCTCTTTTTGACACGGTGTATTGAGGCGCCGGACGTACTGATTTGCGGATACGGTGGGCACCTCACATCAGTGTGGTTGAAGCTATTGACTGGCCAAGGTTAAATCGATGTGGCGCTTAGTCATAACTAGAATTTTGGAGATGATGTTTGGCTGTTTTCTCTCGATTATCCGGGACCAAACGTTGCTTTCTGGTCAGAGAATAACGCTCAAAAATTTTCTTGAGTCCTTATGACCAACTTTGTCCTTTGAAAATTATTCCAAAAGAACTTTGATATATGAAATCTTTTGGTCTATATCAGTCTGTCGGGAAAATAACGGCGGGTCTTTGCATCAAAATGTCTCGTCTCACCGCCAAATCTTCAGCTGCGGACGCCGTAGCAAAGCGATGATGGGCGATTCCGAGATGATCCACCGTTATTTTCCTGACAGACTCATAGTATGTGGACGAAACGTCTGAACGGTTCAGGAAATGCGCCAGATGGCCGCTAGCTCATGGTCCCGTGGCCTAATGGATAAGGCGTCTGACTTCTAATCAGAAGATTGCGGGTTCGACCCCCGCCGGGACCTAGTGTTCTTTTTGGACTTGAAATCAATTTTATGACATTTAATTTGTCTAATTTTTGCAGAAGCGACTAAGAAAACAACAACAAGTACCGCGGCTACCACTACCATCACTGAAGAGCCAAAAGAAACTGAGAAACCGCGCAAAAAGTCGACAAAAAGAGCAAAATCAGTGGAAAAGACGACAAGACAGCCCAAAAGTGAGGAGTATATGGAAGATGAAGAAGAGGAGATGCTCAAAAAATCTCGGTTTTCGTTGAGAACAACTGTCAGAACAGAAGATGAGGTTAAAACTACCAAAAAAGCGAAAAGCACCACTACTGTTAAGCCAACAACTAGTAAGCCTAAAGTAAAGGCGACAGAAGTGACTACTAAGAAAACTACTACTACTAATGCTCCCACAACTACTCCTAAGCCTCGCAAGGAGTCCAAAAAAGAGCATAAAGGACTGGAGAAGATCAGAGAAGAAGAGGAATACGATGACGAAGAGTATTCGGAGGGAAGCGGCGAGGAGTACGACGAAATCACAACCACAACTACTGTGAAGCCAAAACACAGCAAAAACAGATCAAAGGAGAAGAGAAAGTCAAGTGAAAAGAAGGCAAAGCCAAGTGAGGAGAAGAGAAAAAAGGAGGAAAAGAAAGCAAAATCAGATGAGGAGAAGAGAAAGATGGAGGAAAAAGAAAGCGATTCGGATGTCACGGTGCTCAAATTCATCGACGAAAATATCCCAGAAGCCGAGGAGGAGCAGAATCGTAAGTAGTGGAAATTGTAGGAAAACCTCTGTAAAACGAATTGCAAGAGAAGAAAAAATGTTGTTACAGAAAAGCTTCGTTGTATGGAGGCTTACTTGCCTAACTTTGAAAAAATGCGGATTTGACTTTTTAAAGTAAAAAAACTAAGGCGTATCAGGACATACTGTTGCAGTTAGTGATGATTTTTACACCAATAGAAAGCTACTTATGTAATTAACAAGTTCTGTAAATTTCATCGTATTGTGGTCACCGACTCAAAAGTTATGGCTCTAACTTTAAGCCCTATTATAATACTTTGGGTGTTGTCTCAACAACAGCGGTTTTCTCTAGGACCTTCCCGCTACTCTGAGATCTTTTCGTAATCTTTTCGTATCCTGATCAAAAAACGACGTAAAAAACTTTGACTTTCTTCCAATTAGTCAAACTGCTTCCTGGGGGTGAAATTGTTTGCTATAGACGTTATAGACAGTCTGTGTTGTACTGGTGTTCGACGTGCAGAGGCTCTACTGTATGTACTATTATATGTCTACAGGGTCTTACAAAAAACGTGAAGGAAAGTGGAAGGCTATAACTTCCGGCGGAGGCGGCGCAGAGACTTCATATTTGAAATATGTATTTTTTAAAGACATAAGTTTTTGCCTACGAAATAACAAGCTTTTAAAGTGCAAACTGAGGTCGCTATAACCTTCTGAAGCCGGGGCATCTCTACCCCGAAAACCAGGTTTTTCCGGTTGAAAATGACCGAGAAATTTCGGACTTTTTCGGTTGAAAATCACCAGGAAATGTCGGATTTTTGGGGGTTTCGATATGGGTGATGTTGAAAAAGAGGAGGAAAGTGCCAACACTTGCAATTTTTTCGACGTTCTCTTAAAGACTATATCAAGAAACCCCAAAAAATCCGACATTTTCTGGTGATTTTCAACCGAAAAAGTCCGAAATTTCTCGATCATTGTCAACCGAAAAAACCTGGTTTTCGGGGTAGAGATGCCTCTACTTCAGAAGGTCGTAGCGACTTCAGTTTGGACTTTAAGAGCTTGTTATTTCGTAGACAAAAACTTATGTCTTTTAAAAATACATATTTCAAATACGAAGTCTCTGCGCCGCCTCCGCCGGAAGTTATGGCCTTCCACTTTCCTTCACGTTTTTTGTAAGACCCTGTATATCTGTGTGATATAATAGGGCCTTTAAATTAATTTTTATAGAGTTCCAACGAGACGAAGTGCCTCAAACAACAACTTTGGCGCCAATTGAAATTCCGACCTTCACTTTGAATGTAAGTTTAACAAAGTTATAAAATACGGAATACCAGCTGCAAGCTGTAATATGAAAAATAATTTTGTCCATTTGTTCGCTCGTATTTTACAAATTTTAATTTTTTATAAGGAAGGTGCATCTCTTATTAAAAAAATTTTACAGCCCAAAGCCTTTGAAATGTCGGACTCCAAACTGAACAATGTTATTAGCCAAGCCGGCACAATTATCGACGGAGTTGGCCCGTTGATTCTACCGCTCCTCGGATTCAGTAGGACTGCTGCTGGCGCTGCCTTTGCTCAGCCCACATTTGGAGCGGCGGCGGCGGCTGCGGCTCCAGCAAGAGTTGCGGGAGTTCGCAGTTACAAACCGAGTGCGAAGAGTGGTAAGTTGGAAAAATATTGGTGTTATTGAAGGTAGAGTTGATAAAGGTTGGTAAAAAATTAGGATTACAGTATTAGCTGATAGGGGAAGTGCTCCCCGTGCGACGCTCGGATTTTGAGGACATTTGGCACAAGTTTGGATTCATTTTTTCTATGACATATGGGAATTTCTAGCTCGCGCTTTGTAGAAACGATCGATATTTTAGATCAAAGTTTTTTTGAAATTTTGGCAATAAAAGTGCTATGGTTTGTCTACCGTAGTAAAGCAATGTTTCCATAAACAATCAATTTTTTCCACGCGAAACTAGCAAAGTTATGGCCAAAAAGTGCTTTCTCTGACCACACTCCGCCTTTTGCGTACTCTTTCGGCGGCAAAAATCGTTGAATATCTGCCCTGGAAAGCGTGAGCTAAAACTTTGTTTTTCAAATTAAGAACACTCAGAACTGAGTACTATCCTTCTCAGAAACTCATCAATTTTCTAAAAATAAAAATTTTCAGAGGCCCTTCAACCTCTGCCATCCGTTGAAGCGCCCGCTGAAGTCGAGCAAACCGGCTTCCAGCACACTCAGCCTTCCGAGCCATCTCGACCAATTCCATATCGGCGAAAGGCCGAGAAAATGTATCCAAAGTCCAGTACGCCGCCTCCAGTCAAACTGCCAACCGCCGATGAGCTGCGGCAACGTCAAGAATTCGAAAATTCAATCATTGATGGAGAACGTCAACGGCTGTTGAAGCAAAAAGCGGAGTTGGAAAAGAGAACGCAACAAATCGAGGAGCAGCGGCAGCTGCAACTTCAGGTATTTTTTGAGAGTCTGGTGGGAGGTTGAATTGGCCATCGGACATGGTTAGAAGGCCCGGCTATTTGTATTCCCGGGCCGCCCTCGAGTTCGGGCCGGCCCTTTTCAAAATTTTCAAAGTAGTCCGGCCCGTGGGGATCTATAGCCCGGCCCTGAGTAATTTCAGACTCGGCCCTGTCTCGCAAAAAAAAATTTTTTTGAATGCGAATTTTCCCGCCTTCTTGGCAACATTTTGGCATTGTGTTTTTGACTCGTTTTAGGGCGTGTTATCGTTGCCAGAAAGATTTCGAACAGCAATGTAAAAAAATCTATCCTAATAGAGGCACAAGTACATATTGTTGCATAATGCCAAGAACCCAAAATTGGCATCCCAATTTTTCGCTTCAAGGCGAAAAAAATATATTTTTTTTCTGTTTTTTAAGGGGGCCGGACCTAAAATTTTCTATCTCGAGCCCGAAGCCCGGTCCCAGAAATGTCGGCCCGGCTCTTTTCGAATTTTGCGAAGCTTGGTTCCTGCCATGTCTGTTGGCCACAAAAAATGATTTTTTATCCTGCAATTTTTTCTCATCCACAATGCCTTATTTTTCCAGCTGCAAGAAGAGCACAGAAGGCTTCAAATCCAAAAGCAAATCGAGCTGATGAAGCTAGAAGAAGAAAGAAAAAGACTTCAGGAGGATCAAGTCCTGCCTGTGGGAAATAAACCGAGTTTGGATAGGCTGGTAGCTTCGGACACCGCAACCGGCCCAATCCCAAGATATTTGGGTGATAGTGCGCCGGAGGTCAATGAAGGTAAGATCGAATGATTTTTTCTTTTTTTGGGAGACATTATGAAGGGTAAAACACGTTTTTTCAGCTAGAATATCAAAAAAATTTCTTCTTTTAGTCGTTGATATAATTTGGTATAGTTATATTAGGCAAAGTAATTTTCTCGTCATTTCGTTCCACGTCGTAAAAATCGCGAGTCAAAAGTACAGTGAGGGGCCTGATCCAGTGGCAAAAAGCGTCCATTTTGCATCCGGGAAGCATCAAAAATGTGGCAAAGTGCTTCCCTCTCCAAGTGAAAAAAAACTTCGTTTTGAAGGGCGCGCCCTTTTCCTCACAAAAAGAGCAAACGCGCTTTTCAAATCTGAGTTTTTTCACTTGTAGAGGGAGGTATTTTGCCACATTTTTTGATACTTCCTGGATGCAAATTGGTACGTTTTTTGCCACTGGATCAGGTCCGCCACTGCAGCTTTACTGGCCCTTTCCTGGTCCGATTTGGACAGTTCTTGGATGTAGCAGTAGTAGACCGCATAGACTTTAATTTAGGGTGATGTCTCATTGACATCTCAAAAAAAATTTTATAGGAGTTCTATCACCTGGGGCACTTTTTGGGACATTTTTGCCACAAGTCCCGAATAACACTTGGATAGAAAGATCCACTATTATAACATTATTTATTATGGTACCCCTTTTCAATTCTACATGTAGGTGTTACAGTTGAATGTAGCAAAAGTTACAAATTGAGCGAAAATTTTTAACATACGAAGAAATATGTCTCATTATAACAAACTAAATTTTTTGTTTTTTTTTTATTTTTAACTTTACTAAAATTAACAAAAACAACATTTTTACATGTTTTTTGTTTATATCTCCCCTTCTACAACTTTATTTTTCAAAATAATTTCTTGTAATTGCGTAATAATCTTCGAAGCCGCTAACCGTTTTGCTTCTTCTGTTTCAGCCGCCTTGCTCGAAGCGTATCGGACGATCTTCGAGCATAACCGACAGAAAATCATTAATCCGGATGTGGTGGTACCGCCGGCGGAGGTTCAGGAAAAGATCTCGGAAATCCGAAGACAACCGACGCCCGACGATCCGGGCTACAAATTGGGCCGGAATCAAGTTTCTAACATGTTTTATGAAGACAGCGGTAATTTTAATTATTTTTTATTTATTTTTGATTTATTTTTTTTTTTTTTTTTGGGAGTATTGTAACAGTTTAACATTTTCAAAAATTGATTATTTTTTTAATTAACATTTTTTATTTTTATTAACCAAAAAAAAATTTTTTTTGAGTTACAAGGTATTACTCTAAGTGCGACGCTCAGATTTTCTTGAAATTTTGCACACATTTTGTGCATAGACTAGTTTTCAATTCCTGAAAATTTTAGCTCGCCTTTTGCAGGCGCTGCCGAGATATTGACAGATCTTTGCCGCCGAGAGAGTACGCAAAAGGCGGAGTGCGGCAAAGAAAAAAAAAACACTTTTTGGCCATAACTTTGACAGTTTCGCGTGGAAAAAATTGATTTTTTGTGGTAGTATTGCCCTTTACGGTAGAAATAATCATGAAACTTTTCGTGCCAAAATTCACAAAAAAGTGCCACATTTTTGCCAACTTTCGATTAAAAAGTCTCGGTTGTTTGGGTAAAGCGCTAGCTAGAAATTTGGCATATATGTTGGAAAAAATTATAGTAAATTTGAGCAATTTTGATCTTAGCGTATTTTACAATAAAAAAAATTTTGTTTGAGCCCACGAAAAATAACAAATAATATATTTTCTTTAAAATTTGTTCAAAAAAATCAATTTTTCGATGTAAAAATGTAAAATTTCAGATACAATATTAACAAAAAAATAATTTCAGGTCTAATGGTGGGAACCCAGCCCTCGGATTCTGGAGTAATTGCCCTGACCAACGCCGTTGGCGGCGGTGGATTTGGCAATGGCCGTCGGCCAGATACTGTTCCATTTGCGTAGACAACCCAATACTGTCTAGATTAATATCCAAATCACCATATTTGTGCCTCATATCCAAGATTTTTTTTATTTTGTCTTTCACATTCCAGAGTTGAATTCCAGCCGAGCTTTACGGGTATTTTGTCATCATTTTCTTTCTATTTCAATTTTTTTGTTTAGTTTTTGGTATCTTAAATAAATTTTACAGACATTCCGACAAGGAGAGATTGAATTTTTTGCATGCATTCTGTTTATGAAAAAGACAATTTTGGATCATGATTTTCGTCAACGAATGACATCAGGATAAATACATGAGAATTCGTTATGACGTATTTTACATATCTTGATCCTTCGTCGCCAGAACGAAGCTTTTTGAGGCCTTGTTTTACCATTTTCAGACTCACAACACACTGGCTAAACATAGCGAGATATTTCGTGTAGCTTCTGAAACTTTCGTGCCCTGGTTTGGCTGTCTCAAGATGGCGGCATGAATCAATTTATTTTTTTATAATTTTGGAGCTAAATTACTGCAAATTGATTCAAATATGTCAAACGGCACCTCAAACGAAAGCTTGTCATCTCGGCTACAAAACGATGCAATATTGCGAAATTTTATTGTCATCCAGCTTTTTTATAGACTTTGGAATCAGACCTTGTCAAAAACGACATTACTTATTGGACAACCTAATATGCATATACATATACATATACATATACATATTCATATACATATACATATACATATACGTATACATATACATATACATATACATATACATATACATATACATATACATATACATATACATATACATATACATATACATATACATATACATATACATATACATATACATATACATATACATATACATATACATATACATATACATATACATATACATATACATATACATATATATATACATATACATATACATATATGCTCACTTTCATTAAGATCTGAGCTTCGCAATTATCGTTCCGAGATATTATTTCAAATTTCACCTGAGACACTTTACAAATGTGGGAAAACGAAGAGTTTTGCATATGAGAGGGCCCTCATCTTTGTCGTTTTTTTTATCGGCTCCGAAAGGGTTTGGACGTATGTCGGCGGGAAAGCAAAAGGAACTTTATACCCCTCATCCAATCAAAACCATATGAAAATGGCTGCGAATGCGAACAGAAATTGGAAGTATGGGCGAAAAATATCATACTTTGCCGGTAGTTTCTTATTTGTATTTATAGCAAACATTTGTAGAATAGTCGTATTTTAAAAAATGTTTCTTTTTTGGGGAGTGCTTGCCCATATTTTGTCAAGCTTAGCAAATTTGCGAATAAATTTTTCTAAAAAGTCTGCGGCATTTCTGACTCATTCTTTTGAAGAAATTATCGAGATTTTTTACGTCAAAAGTTGGAAAAAATGTGAATTGTTTTGCGAATTTTGGCATGAAAAGTTTCACGCTGATTTTTACCGACAAGTATAATGTTTCCACAAAAAATCAATTTTTTCCGCACGAAACTGGCCAAGATATGGCCAAAAAGTGTTTTTATTTTAGAGCGGTCTCCGCGTTTCGCGTACTCTCTCGGCCGCTAATGTTGATGAAGAAGGGATCGAGCGAGTATTGACATGAAAAGTTTCGGCCTTTTTTCTTCCGTAGAGGGTAATGTTTCTACAAAAAATCAATTTTTTCCGAGCAAAACTGGCTGACAGGGGAAGTACTCCAAGTGCGACGCTCAGATTTTTATGAAACTTGGCACAAATTTAGAATAATTTTTTCTAAAATATATGCGAGAATCCTAGCTCGCGCTTTGCAGAAACAACCGAGATTTTTAAATCGAAAGTCGGCGAAAATTTAGAACTTTTTGCCAAATTTCGGCACGAAAAGTTTCATGCCTATTTCAACCGTAAAGGATAATATTTCTACAAAAAATCAATTTTTTCGCACGAAACTTCCAAAGTTATGGTCAAAAAGCGCTTTTCTCTCTGACCGCTCTCCACGTTTAGCGTGATCTCTCGGCGGCAAAAATCGTTCGATATCTCGGCGGCGCCCGCAAAGCGCGAGCTAAGACTTTCAGGAATTGATAGTTAGTCCATACCAGACGTGTGTGCAAAATTTAATGAAAATCTGAGCGTCGCACTTAGAGTACTTCCCCTGTGAGGTATGGCCAAAAACTGTTTTTCTTGCTGCTGGTTCTCCGCATTTCGTGTACTCTCTCGGCAACAAAGATTGTTGAATACCTCGGCTTTCGCTGAAAAGTATAAGCTAAATATTTCAGGGACTTATGTGCGGCCTAGTCGCAGATCGTGTGCAAAATTAAAGGTATATAAATATATCCGTATGCCATCAGTCTGTCGGGAAAATAATGAGCACTCTGTTGCATCGAAAATCGCATAGCCACCGATAAAATGAATTGTGTCGCTATAAAATCAAAGTGCTTTTCACTTCAGCGACACAAACGGAGCATCGACATTTTGCTCATTATTTTCCCGACAGACTGATATGTCCATTTTTCAGGAGAATTGCGGACCTTTTAGCTTTGATTGCGATATTAACCGTTCTTTTATCTTCATACTTTTACAACAAATTAATTTTTTTGCCCATTTTTTGATGATATGTATGTATTTTACCATAGCTTGGAAGATAATTTTTTCAAGTAAATATATGCATATTTACGACGAAATAAGGTTTTTCACTCCAGCGACACGATCGCCGCAGCAACTTTGTGCTCATTATTTTCCCGACAGACTGATACAAGTTCAATTTCCCCCGCACAATATTCAAATTCCCTCCATTTTCCGTCTGTTTTTCTGTTTATTTTCGAACTCGCCAACCTCCTTAAGTCAAATAAATTTCGGACCAGATTGCTTATTATAGCCGAATGTATCCGATTACAAATTTATTTTTCGAAAAAGTTTTCCGGGTCAAAAGGGTTATATTAGACGGGGGGCTGGGGTTTGATTACTAATACTTCTTTTCGAAAGAGTTGATTCGATCCCTGGCTTGGACATGGATTTAGAGGGGCTGAGGTCGAATTGTGACAAGAAAAGTTTGTTTTATGGAGATTTATTTATTAATATTAGGTTGGATTTTTTTCAAAAATCGTTTTTTTTCCGCATATTTATCAGTTTGTCGGGAAAATAATGAGCACAATGTCGTCTGCGCCGATCGCGTCGCTGAAGTGATAAAAAAAATTGATTTTGTCGCGACACAATTGATTTTTTCGGCGGCGATGCGATTTTCGATGCGACAAAGGCGCTCATTATTTTCCCGACAGACTGATATAGTGTTTTCTGCGCTTTGTTGCTTTTTTCAATTGCTTTTTTGCTACTTTTTGGGCTACATTTTTCCACGGTAAACTTCGAATATTTGAGCAAAAGTAGGCTGAAAAGGATGATGATGGACATTTTTTACGATTTTTTATGTCCCAAAAATCCGGTAAAATACGGCAAAATTTTCTTTCCAAAACAACTGTTTTTTGGAGATTTACTAAAGACAACTGTTTTTCCGGAAATTTACAGTGTTTTCTGTCGATTTTTGGCCTTCCAAAAATCTTTTTTTTTATATCGGAAAGGTTCAAAATGCACTGTGCAAAAGAGAACAAATTTCCATGCACTTTATGAAAATACTATCATAATAGAAGACATAATTCTCCCATTCTGAAAATCAATTTTTTCGAATTCTTACATCCCAAAAATCCGCTTAAATACGACTAAAAAGGAAAGTACCCCAAGTGCGACGCTCAGATTTTCTTTAAAATTTGCACACACGTCGGGTATGGACTAAATATCAATTCCTGAAAGTTTTACCTCGCGCTTTGCGGGCAACGCCGAGGTATCGAACGATTTTTTCCGCCGAGAGAGCACGCTAAACGTGGAGAGCGGTCAGAGAGAAGAGCGCTTTTTGGCCATAACTTTGGCAGTTTCGTGCGGAAAAATGTGATTTTTTGTAGAAACATTATCCTTTACGGTAGAAATAGGCATGAAACTTTTGGTGCCGAAATTCGGCAAAAAGTCCTAAATTTTGGCCGACTTTCGATCTAAAAATCTCGGTTGTTTCCGCAAAGCGCGAGCTAGAATTCTCGCATATATCTTTGAAAAAATTATTCTAAATTTGTGCCAAGTTTCATCAAAATCTGAGCGTCGCACTTGGAGTACTTCCTCTGTAAATATATTCATATATTTATTCCACATCTCATTATCCCGCATCCTTCTTCCTGCAAAGCAGAAAAAACGCCTGGCCGCCAAACGAAATTGACCCATCCTGATCTCATAAACTTGGGATTGGAAGTGACTCGCGCGGCCATCCCTCTTTGATCTTTCTTTTCGCCCGAACGCGACATTGGAATAAATTAACAAGATACTAAGTTGTCAATCCGCAAAAAAGACGATCTTATCCGTCTTTGGAGCGAATTTTTGGTTGCAGAAATGAAGCTTAGGGGGAATGCGGTGGGATTTTCTAATTTTCGGTTACAAGGGAAGTGAGCAAAGTGGAATGCACTGCTTTTTAGTGAATTTCGCAAAACGTATGGTTTTTAGGCCACATAGTAATTATCATATTTTAAAAAAGAAGCTAACATGGAAAGTACTCCAAGTGCGGCGCTCGAATTTTTATGAAACTTGTACAAGTTTCGAATAAATTTTTCCAAGACATATGCGAAACTTCTAGCTCACGCTTTGCAGAAACGCCCAAGATTTTTACTTCAAAAGTTGGAAAAAATGTGACGCTTTATGGCGAACTTTATCATGAAAAATTTCATACGTATTTCTACTGTAGAGAGTAATGTTTCAAAATTTTTTTTCCTTACGAAACTGGCAAAGATAGATCCAAACCCAGTTTTTATTTCTGACCGCACTCCACCTTTTGTGTACTCTCTCGGCCAAGAAGATCGTTGAAACTCTCGCCTGCGGCTGCAAAGCGCGAGCTTAAATTTTGAAGTAATGATATGTAGCCTATCCCCAACATATGCAAAATCTATGAAAATATGAGCGTCGCACTTCAAACACCTCCCTTGTAAGATTTTCTACAAGTGACGTGGTCTCCATTCGCAAAGTTAACTGTTTGCTTTTATTTCGTAAACGGCTTTACTATCAGTCTGTCGGGAAAATAATGTGGATTTTGTCACAGCAAAATCTCTCGCCTCGAACCAGAAACACACCAAATCTTCGCGGCTAGCCATCGCAAAGCGATAATGGGTGCCAAGGTGCTCCCCATTATTTTCCCGACAAACTAATACCCCCATTATTTTCCCGACAAACTAATACCCCCATTATTTTCCCGACAGACTAATATCCCCATTTTTTCCCCGACAAACTAATACCCCCATTATTTTCCCGACAGACCGACAAATATCCCCTCGAATCCCCCTCCTTGCGCAACCGCCACACTCATTTTTCTTTGCGGATAATTGAGACAAACCCCACAACCTTGCTTTTGGCGTCACAATGAAGATCGGAAATGGAGGAATCTCGTCGCGCGGCGAGCCATTCCATCGACGGACGGGAATTTCGGTTCGAAAAAACTTTTTTTTTGGAAGGAAATGGGCTCTCGATCTTCCAGTTTTTACAATCGAGAGAGTAATAGCAATTTGTATTGTGCGGGTTTTGTGGTTTTATAAGCGCAGATCTTTTGGGGGGTTTGATTAAATTTTTGGGGGTTGATTCAAGTTTATTGATATTGCAAAAAGTCTGAGTAATTCTTCGAAATTTCCTTATGGGTTTGGTTTGAAGAGAAAGAGGAAATTTTTGTTCAACTTTTGGTCGATTTTTCCTCGTCGGTCGGGCTTATTTTGCAGCTCGAAAACTACTGTTTTTACCAAAGGTGACCCACTTTATCTAGCTATTCTAGTAACTCTCTCAAACACTGGGAAATTTCAGACAATTTACTTGTGAGAAGATTTATCAATCTGTCGGGAAAATAATAAAAAAAATTTGAATTTTCACCAAACTTCGGATAAAAAATTTCAGAGATTGTTGCATATTGCTAGCTCAAAATTTCGGACGCGTCTTTGAAGAGATCAATGTAAATTTGTGCCAAGAAATGTCAATAGTCACCACGGGTGCCTCTGTGAATGTAGACATATCATACTTGGTGTGCAAGAAATGGGGTGTCTCGGCTTCATTTCGCTGTAAATTTTATAGAAATTGAAGCATTGCTGACGGAGGAATACCTGAAATAAGGTCGGTAGTTTTGAGTGGCCCATCCTGTATTTATCAGTCTGTCGGGAAAATAACGAGCACTCTGTCGCATCGAAAATCGCATCGCCGCCGAGAAAACGAATTATGCTGCGGAAAAATCATTTTTTCACTTCAGCGACACGATCGGCGCAGCGACATTGCGCTCATTATTTTCCCGACATACTTATCTGACCGTTTTTTCAGGAGAATTTTGATTTTTACCCTTGATTGTAATATTATACCAATTTTTCACAGCCGTATTTTACAATTTATTTATTTTGCTGCTCATTTCTTGATGATATTTTACCATAGTTTAAAAGATCATTTTTTAGGCAATTATATTCAACTTTACCGTGGTATGAGGTAACGAAAAAAGCCTTCAAAATTTATGGGACCTGCATCAAGATCAAGATGAGCTTCCAAATTTTAACACTTGCCCTTTTCTTATTGATCTCATCAACTTTGTCGCAATATATCAGTCAAAGTAAGTTGAAAAATTTTATGATTTGGCATTTAGTAACTTTAGAGAAGTTATCAATCTGTTCGCAATAAATTACTGCACGTATTTTACCTTGATTTTCAGACGGCCCTCCCCGATTTATCCAGAATTCCCGGAAGCATCAATACACATACCTCGGAGATACGATCAAACTCAAGTGCACGGCAGTTGGAAGACCTCACCCGAAAGTCCATTGGTAAGAGTTGAAGGGCTGAAAAACCTTGGCTACTACCAGCATAGCACGGCAGCTTCTGGGGAAAATTGAAAAAAATTGTCATTTTTTTACAACGGAAGTATGCCACGTGCAACGCTGGTTTTTTTTTTTAATTTTCCGTACACGTACAGCGAGGGACCGGATCCAAGGGCAAAAAACGTCTCATTTTGCATCCCGGAAGGGACCAAAATGTCTCCAAACCCTTCCCTTCTCTAAGCTAAAAAATCCCGCTTATAAGAGCTCGCCTTGAAGGGAAGGGCGCGCTTTTTAAAGCCGAGTTTTTTAGCTTAAAGATGGGAAGGGTTTGGAGTCATTTTGGTCCCTTCCGGGATACGAAAGGAGACGTTTTTTGCCATTGGATCAGGTCCCTCACTGTAGACACATAAGTGACATATCAATGCCGAAAAAATTTAGCTCATGCTTTGCAGGAGCAGCCGAGATATTGAACAATCTTTTTTCCGAGAGAGTACGCTAAGCGCGGAGAGCGGTCAGAGAAAAAACACTTTTTGGTTATATTTTTGATAATTTAGTGAGGAAAAAATTAATTTTTTGTGGAAACATTACCCTCTGCGGTAGAAATAAACGTAATACCTTTAATGTCAATACTCATAAAAAACTGTCGCAATTTTTCCAACTTCCTACCTAAAAACCTCGGTCATTTATGCCTAGCTGGGAGTGTGACTTACATGTATGTGTTAGAAAAGATTATTCTAAACTTTTAACAAAATTTCATCAAAATCTGAGCGTCGCACTTGAGGTACTTTCCAAAAAGTTATGTGTGAAAAACTGGGTTTTTTGTCAAGTTGACTTTCTGTATTATAGCGCTTCAAATCTGATGACATCAAAGCCTCAAATTAGCCTCAAAGACCTTTAAAACTAACATTAATTCCTTGCAGGTACTTCAATGGAACGTACCTGAACTTCACCTTTTTCCACGAGCATCCCCGATTTCAGGACAAAGGAATGGAATTGGAGATTCGAAGAGTTGAAGTTGAAGACAAAGTAAGTGGGAATTGTCATATTATTTGCTTCGAATTTTAGGGCAACTGGGCCTGCAAGGTGTGGAACAATGAAGGCTCCATTACTCGAAATTTTACCTTGCATATAATCGGTAGGTCATAAATTTGAAGTGATTTTGTTGTGGTGTGAATCCTGCACGTTTGATTGCAAAAAATTTTTCGGCCGGATTTGAATTGGCTATAACTTTTTTAGTTTCTGTCCAAATTGTAAAATTCTTTTTTTTCCTGCATCCCTAGGCGTCCCCATTTTGTTTAATACCATATATGTGATGCCCATTTATTAGACTACAGCAAAAATTGAAGACAAAGGAAAAACTCTAATTTTCATAGCCGACAAGGGAATTGCCCCTGGTGCGACTCTCAGATTTTCTTTAAATTTTGCACATGGGTATAAACAAAATTTGGACGTCTGAGGATTCAGGGGAAAAAAGAATTTTAACATTTGGATAAAAAATAACAAAGTTATAGTCAATTCAAGTCCGGCCGAAAAATTGCCGCACCCTCTATATCTTCCCAATTTCCTCCCCAATGTCTCCCACTTTTTTGCCGTTCCACCCCACGCACTTTTCAGACTTTTGCGACTACTTTCTCTCCGCCGACACTGAAGCCGTTCCGGTCAAAACGTCCGAGGCCTGTCTCTGCGAATGGTTGTCCACAAAAGAGCCGACTTTCGACGGCGAATTCGACTCCTTCTACGACGCCTACTGCCTGGAGTACGCCAAGGACATCGAGGTGACCAAATTCCGCTCCACGGCGCATTTGATGGCCAATTGCGAGGGTGGGAAATGCCCCGAGAAGAAGCTGATCCACTACGACTCCGCCGAGAGCGACACGTTTGCCGTGAACACACCGCTGGGTACTGTAATTTTTTGTGTTGCGTTTTAGATCCGGTCCGCTTCTTCGACGAGCTGAAGCGGTTGGGCGTCCCGGACGTGCAGACCATGTTCCCGGGCCTCATCGACGACGCGGAGATGCTGCGGCTTCGCTCGGCGCTGAACTCATACGATCCCAATTTAGATACCGAGGAGAAGGTGGAGCGGGCGAGGAGCATTCTGCGCGAGCGCATACCCGAGCTGGTCCACGAGCACGAGGCGGAAAAGAAGAAGGCGGAGAAGAAGGAGATTGAGTATCTGAAGAAGGAGGCGCATCAGGATGGGAAGAGCAGTGAGGTGGTGTACGATGAGGAGGAGGAGGACGAAGAGGGAGGGTAAGTTGAATGTATATGTATATGTATATAAGGTGGGTTCCGGGTAAATTCAAATTTTTTTGGGCCACGGGACTCAGCCACGGGTTTCGGCCACGGAAAAAAAAATTTTAAAATCTGAAAATTTCGTGAGACATGGCCCAAAGTCGCGTTTTACTCTGCTCCGTTAACTCCGCCCATTTTTTTTACACTCTCGACTTCAAACTCCACCCATTTTGTATTGATGATACTGTAACAAAATTCGAATTTAGAGACCATGGCCGAATGTTGAACGCTGTGAAAATTGAACATCCATACTTCAGCCATGTCCAAATGTGTAGCCATGTTCGGCCACGAGATCGGATTCGTGGCCCATTTTTTATTAGTAGATTTGGGATTCGGCCATGGCCGATCCCGAAAGTTTCAGCCATGGCTGAAACTTAGACGTTTTTCGAACACATTTCGGCCACGAGATCGGATTCGTGGCCCATTTTTTATTAGTAGATTTGGGATTCGGCCATGGCCGATCCCGACAGTTTCAGCCATGGCTGAACTTAGAGTTTTTAGACGAAATTTCGGCCACGAGTTCGATTTCGTGGCCCATTTTTTATTCGTCGATGGGGGATTCGGCCATGGCCGATCCCGACAGTTTCAGCCATGGCTGAACTTAGAGTTTTTAGACGAAATTTCGGCCACGAGTTCGATTTCGTGGCCCATTTTTTATTCGTCGATGGGGGATTCGGCCATGGCCGATCCCGACAGTTTCAGCCATGGCTGAACTTAGAGTTTTTAGACGAAATTTCGGCCACGAGTTCGATTTCGTGGCCCATTTTTTATTCGTCGATGGGGGATTCGGCCATGGCCGATCCCGACAGTTTCAGCCATGGCTGAACTTAGAGTTTTTAGACGAAATTTCGGCCACGAGTTCGATTTCGTGGCCCATTTTTTATTAGTAGATTTGGGATTCGTGCATGGCCGATCCCGAAATTTTCAGCCATGGCTGAAACTTAGACGTTTTTCGACCGCATTTCGTCCGCGAGATTTCAGAGTGTGCTATGAGTTCAGCCATGGCTGTGCAGTAAAACGGAAAGTATCATAACCGCAATGTAAGTGCAGTAAACGGAAAGTATCATAACCGCAATGAACGGTGGCGAGAAAGCTTTCTAAAAAACAAAAGTTTTTATTTCAAAACCTAACATCAAAAATATTATTATATCCATCGGGTTAACGTCGTCGGCATCGATATCCGGTTCGTTGAGGGGGTTGTTCAGTTGTGTCTTCATAGCTAAACCAACGTAAATAGGGCTGAAGAAAGGCTTACCTGCCCAGAATTTCGTCGCATCTTTGGATAAATTCATGGTTTCGATCTGCCCCTTCTTCAACACCATCGATTGAGTCGTTTTCACCATGTTTTTGAACAATTTCTTCGATTTCGGCACTAAATCAACATAAATAATCGCAGAAAGGCTTACCTGCCCAGAATTTCGTCGCATTTTTTGGATAAATTCATGGTTTCCATCTTTCACCTCTTCAACACCATCGATTGAGTCGTTTTCACCTTGTTTTTGACCCGTTTCTCCAGGTATCGAAACACCAATTTTGCCAAGCGGAGAAAAAAACGCCGCCATCATTGTTCCCTGACGAAATTCTGGACAGGTAAGCCTTTCTTCAGCCCTATTTATGTTGGTTTAGCTATGAAGACACAACTGAACTACCCCCTCAACGAATCGGAGATCGATGCCGACGACGTTCACCCGATGGATTTCGACGAATAATATTTTTATTGTTAGGTTTTGAAATAAAAACTTTTGTTTTTTAAAAATCTTTCTCGCCACCGTTCATTGCGGTTATGATACTTTCCGTTTACTGCATTTACGTTTCAGCCATGGCTGAACTTTCGATAGAACACTCTGAAATCTCGTGGCCGAGATTTCGTCTAAAAACTCTAAGTTCAGCCATGGCTGAAACTGTCGGGATCGGCCATAGCCGAATCCCCCATCGACGAATGGGATTCGGCCATGGCCGATCCTGAAACTTTCAGCCATGGCTGAAATTTAGACGTCTTAGAGGAAATTTGGGCCACGAAATCGAACTCGTGGCCGAAATGTGGTCGAAAAACGTCTAAGTTTCGGCCATGGCTGAAACTTTCGGGATCGGCCATGGCCGAATCCCCCATCGACGAATAAAAGATGGGCCACGAAATCGAACTCGTGGCCGAAATTTCGTCTAAAAACTCTAAGTTCAGCCATGGCTGAAACGTTTGGGATCGGCCATGGCCGAATCCCCCACCGACGAATAAAAAATGGGCCACGAAATCGAACTCGTGGCCGAAATTTCGTCTAAAAACTCTAAGTTCAGCCATGGCTGAAACGTTTGGGATCGGCCATGGCCGAATCCCCCACCGACGAATAAAAAATGGGCCACGAAATCGAACTCGTGGCCGAAATGTGGTCGAAAAACGTCTAAGTTTCAGCCATGGCTGAAACTTTCGGGATCGGCCATGGCCGAATCCCAAATCTACTAATAAAAAATGGGCCACGAATCCGATCTCGTGGCCCAAATTTCCTCTAAGACGTCTAAATTTCAGCCATGGCTGAAAGTTTCAGGATCGGCCATGGCTGAATCCCAAATCTACTAATAAAAAATGGGCCACGAATCCGATCTCGTGGCCGAACATGGCTACACATTTGGACATGGCTGAAGTGTGGAAGTTCAATGTTCTCATTCGACCATGGCTCTAAATTTTGACTTTGTTACAGTACCCCAGTGGGAGGAGCCTCTTAAGTCGAGAATGTAAAAGTGGGCGGAGCACAGTAAAAAACTCGTGGGACATGGCCGAAAAAAAAGTTCGATTTTTCACTTTTTTTCGTCCATGGCTCTGGGCCACTGGCCCAAAAATGGTGGCCGAAACCCGTGGCTGAGTCCCGTGGCCCAAAAAAATTTGAATTTACCCGGAACCCACCTTATATGTATATGTATATATATATGTATATGCATATGGGTTTGTATATGTAGTTGTATATGTGTATGTGTATGTATATGTATATGTATATGTATATGTATATGTATATGTATATGTATATGTATATGTATATGTATATGTATATGTATATGTATATGTATATGTATAAGTATATGTATATGTATATGTATATGTATATGTATATGTATATGTATATTTATATGTATATGTATATGTACATGTATATGTATAATATACTATGTATACGTATATGTATATCAGTCTGTCGGGAAAATAATGAACATTAACTTCGTCTTGGAACGGTATACTGTGACATCAAAGATATATGATGGTTTTTGCAGTATATGTCGTCTAAAAACATTTTAATTTCAGTTTCATATCCACTGTAACTGCCCTTCCCCTGCACGGAACAACCCCTGCCCATCCGTTCGCCGAGATCGGCGCTCGCGCTTTCATAACGAGCCAAAGGCGCGACGAGAAAACCAATGATGTAGTTGTAATAGACGTCAAAGAAGATCCACTTCCAACGACAACTACACGCTCCTACACGAACATCTGGACCACCAGGAAATGGCGGATTCCTGTGGTTCCAACAAAAGTCGCTCCGTATTTCAAGCAGCCCGAGGAGGAGAATACGATTGTCTTGCCGTCGGGAAGAACGCTGAAACTGAGTTGTAAGGCCGGTGGAATCCCAGAGCCTCAGGTGATTTGGCGAAAGGATCACGAAGAGGTCGGGTCGGAGTCGGAACGGAGAAGTGGAGCCGCGTACAAGGTGCGGAAGTGGTCGTTGGAGCTGGAAGACGCGTCCGAAGCGGATTCAGGTGAGTTGGAAGGCTATTGTAAAGCAGTTTTATACTATTTTTTAGCTCGCTTTTTGCAAAAACCATATTGATTTTTTAACACCAAAAGCGAAAAAATGCAAGATTTTTCCCCTTTCTTCCGAAAAATTCGGGATTTTTTTTCAGAATTTTGAAATAGGACGGAAAATTTGGAACTGCTCGGAGCCATGCCTATCTAATTCGACGATCTTTGCCGTCGAGGCAGTAGGCGCTACGCGGGGAGCGGTCACTGAGAAAGACTCCTTAAAAAACCTTCTCTTCCATGACCGCTTTTACATAAGGAGGTTTTCTCATGCAATGGTCTATGAGAACCTTTAAATTTTTATTTTTCAGGCCACTACTCCTGCGACGTCTTCAACACCGCCGGCACGATTCGTCGCGATTTCCGCGTAGAAGTCAGAGATCGCATTCGTTCGAGGCCAATCATCTTGCCCAACGTCCTGTTGAATCAAACTGTAAATGCGAACGGGACCGTCAACTTTACTTGTCAAGTCCTCTCCGACCTCATTCCTCATGTGGTTTGGATCAAGTTGATCAAACTCGATGGAAGTTATATTCGTTGGGATGAGAAGCAAAGTCGGCATGTCTTCAACTTTTTGGACATGAGCAAGGTTAAGGTAGGCGAAAATACAATAAATGAAACCAAACAATTTCCGCGGTCGCAAGAGCAACTTTTAGGGTAAAATGAAAAGTTTCCCATGTGCGACGCTCAGATTGTGACAAAATTTGGCATTAATTTAGAATACTTTTTTCTAAAAAATATGTGAGAATCCTAGCTTGCGCTTTGCAGAAAAGACCGAGATTTTTCGGTCGAAAGTTAGCAAAAATGCAAAGTTTTCTATCGAATTTTAGCATGAAAAGTTATATACCTATTTCTACCGTAGAGGGTGATGCTTCCACAGAAAAACGTTCTTTTTTTGGGCAAAATTGACAAAGATATGGCTAAAAAGTATTTTCCTCTGTGACCGCTCTCCGCGTTTTGCGTGCTCTCTCGGCCGCAAAGATCGTTTAATATCTCGGCGGTGCCTGCAAAGCGACAGCTAAAATTTCCTGAAATTGATAAAGGCCTATTCCCATTCCCATTGCTTGTACGGAGTTCCAGCTGTGTAAGGCCGGGAAATAAAAAAAACAAATAAATTTTACAGTCAATTCTTGAGAAAAATTCATCAAGTATTTTTGCGAAAACGGGTAAACGAATTGGGAAAACAAGTAAAAGAACATCTGAAGACACCATTCCCACGACGCGTAAACTTTTCACAAGCGAAATTCGCTGAGATATGGCTAAAACACAATATATAATGGGGGACCTGATCCAGTGGATAAAAACGTACCATTTTGCATCCGGGAAGTATCAAAAATGTGGCAAAATGCTTCCCTCTCCAAGTGAAAAAACTTCATTTTGAAGGGCGCGCCCTTTTTTCTCACAAAGAGAGCGGGCGCGTTTTTTTGGAATCTGAGTTTTTTCACTTGGAGTGGGAGGTATTTTGCCACATTCTTTGATGCTTCCTGGATGCAAAATGGTACGTTTTTTGCCACTGGATCAGGTCCTCCACTGTAGCTAGTCCCAAAATTTGCTCGTTATATCAATTGGTCGGGAAAATAATGTGGATTCGTCACAGCCAAGTCTTGACTCGTCGCAGTAGCGCACCAAGTCTCCAGCCACGGCTGGTCATTGCAAAATGATGACGGGCATTTCAAGGCGCGGCAAATCCTCATTATTTTCCCGACAGACTGATAGATGGGTCTCACTGTCTAGAGATTCATTCTGGTCGATAATTGATTACAGTGACGGACCTGATCTAGTGGCAAAGAACGTACCATTTCGCATCCGGGAATTATCAAAAAATGTAGTGTAGCGGCTAAAATTTTCGACTCTCCGCATTTTACGCTCTCTCTCTCGACGGAAAAAAATTTATTTTTTCCTCCTTGCTTTTATTTTTTTCTCCTTGCAATCTATTACCTTGGTACTTGTACTGGATTTTTAGAAAGCCCGAATCTTCCACGATAATCTCAACAAGCGCTACACTTTGGTCATCTTCAACACCTCTATTGCCGATCAAGGAATCTATTCCTGTGTGGCTGGCAATACCCTTGGCATGGTGAGTTACTACGGCTCTATATTCCAATAAATCACAAAAAAAAATTGCCATAATAATCTATTTTCAGTCCATGGCAAACGCCACGTTAACAGTCAACGAATTCCGAGCGATGACATTGCCCACCGACAACCCGTATCCGGCTTGGCCATTGGCCTACACAGTGCTGTTGATACTGTTTATTTTAATGTTGCTGCTTTGTGCCGGACTTGCTGCCTTGTATTACTTCTTCTCGGATCGAGTGCAGAAAAATCGGATTCAGAATTTGGACAAAATGGCTGTGAGGAAAAAGGTAAAATTTTTGAGAAAAAATCAAAAATTTTTTTTTTTTTTTTGAATTTTTCAACATGTGAAAATATTTGATTTTTTTACGTAGAGCGTATATTTCTGAAAAAAATTAATTTTTGGACTGAATTGTGCGAAAATTTCGGGTTTTTTGGGCTGTACTCTGCGAAAAATTTCGACTTTTTTGGGTTGCACTGTGTGACAGAAATCAATTTTTTTGATTGCACTGTGCGAAAAAAATTCGACTTCTTTGGACTGCACAGTGCAAAAAAATTCAATTTTTTTGGATTGCACAGTGCGAAAAAAATTCGACTTTTTTGGACTGCACAGTGCAGAAAAAACCAACCTTTTGCATTGCACGGTGCAAAAATAAAAATTTTTTGGGCTGCACAGTGCAAAAAAAATTCAATTTTTTGAGAGTGCACAGTGAAAAAAATCCATTTTTTGGACTGCACAGTGCAAAAATTTCGACTTTTTGGGCTGCACAGTGCGAAAAATTTTTTGGTCGAAAATTTTTTAAAAGCCTTGAAATTTATTCTACAGGCCCTGCACGTACTCAAAAAATTTTTTTTGATCAAAAAGCCACCCCTTTTCAGGTAATAATCACCAAAAAGCCGCAAAAAGAGGATGTTTGGTCGGACCTTGCATCCAGCTACGCCATCACCGTTGAGCCGGTCATCAACGGCGACCGAACACGTCGTCAGCACTCCGAAGAGTCGGGGGTCAGCGAATACGAAGTCCCGACCGACATGGCCTGGGAAATCGAGAGAAATCGGCTGACGTTGAAGGATATCGTCGGCGAAGGCGCTTTTGGCGAGGTGTGGAAGGGAACAATGGCGCCAAAGCCCAAATCCGATGAGGTTGAGACAAAAGTGGCGGTGAAGAAGCTGAAGCCGGCCGCGCAGGAGAAGGAGCTCATAATTTTGGTCAGTGAAATGCAAATCTTCAAGAGCATTGGGCAGCATAAAAATATCTTGAAGCTGGTCGGTTGTTGCACTGGAACTGGCCCATTATTGGTGGTTCTGGAATATTGTCCGCATGGAAATTTACGGTAATGGATTTTTCAATCATTTTACAGTATTTTTTATGTAATCTGGTAGGATTATCTGATTGCACTGTGCAAAAATTCAAAATCAAAAATTTGCACTGTGCTGCTGGAAAGTGAGTCTATTTGGAGGTAAAATACGACTAACCAACAGAATATTGTACTATAAGCTACATGGTTTTATATATTCTCATAAGGCTCAAAAAAATTGGCGAAAAATCGACCGCACAGTGCGGAAATCAAAAATTTGTTTTTTGCACTGTGCTGGAGGAAAATGGCTATGTTTGGAAAGTAAAATACGGCTATCCGGTCATACCTAATCGGTTTTTTATATTCTTGTATTTCTCACAAAAAAAATTGGCGAAAAATCGACCGCACGGTGCAAAAATTTCAATATTAAAAATTTGCACCGTGCTGGAGGAAAATGAGTCTGTTTGGAAAGTAAAATACGATTAACAGATAGATGATTAAGCTGCAAGCTACTTGGTTTTTAATATTCTCATAGGTCTGAAAGAAATTTTGCGAAAAATCGACTGCACGGTGCGGAAATCAATAATTTGTCTTTTGCACCGTGCAAAAAAATCAAAATGAAAAATTTGCACTGTGCTGGTGGAAAATAAGTTTCTTTCAAAACTAAAATACGGCTGAGTGTTAGGTGATTCAACTAGAGACTACTTGTTTTTCCATATTTTCATAGGGTTAAAAAAATTCGTCGGAAAATCGACCGCACGGTGCAAAAATCAAAAATTATTTTTTCGCACCGTGCAAAAAAATCAAAATCAAAAATTTGCACTTTGCTGGATGAAAATGACTCTTTTTGGAAAGTAAAATACGATTAACAGATAGATGATTAAGCTGAAAGCTAATTTGCTTTTCATTTTCTTACAGATCTCAAAAAAATGACGAAAAATCGACCGCACGGTGCGAAAATCAAAAATTTGTTTTTTGCACTGTGCAAAAATTTTTTAAATTTTTTAAAAATTTTTCAGAGATTTTCTCCGGAAACATCGACCCAAGACGTTGAGTATTAACACCGAGAACTCTGAGAACCCGGAATCTTCGAATTATCAATACACCAGCACTCATAAAGCATCAACTGTGGAAAAACAATCGTCTTTGGACTGCCTGACGCTCAAAGATTTGATCCGATTTTCGACGGAAATTGCGCACGGCATGGAGTTTTTGGCCAGCCGAAAGGTAATCACAGCTTTCTAAATTTGTATTTGCAACATGATTTTATTCAAATTTTGCTAATTAAAATTTATGAATATTCAAATAAAATTTTTTTTCAGATTATCCATCGAGACTTAGCCGCCAGAAACATCCTTGTCGCTGAAGATTACAGTATGAAAATATCTGACTTTGGCCTTTCTCGCAACATTTTCTATCAAGATTACTATCGGAAAAAAGGCGCTGGCCGACTTCCCATCAAATGGATGGCTCCAGAAGCGTTGGAAGCCAATGTTTACACCGTCTACAGCGATGTTTGGAGTTATGGAATTGTCTTGTGGGAGATTATGACTTTGGGAGGAACGCCTTACCCGAGTATCGCAATGCCACAACTTTATAATGTGCTCAAGGTAAAGAAAACGAAATTTTTTAAGACGTCCCGACCTTTCGTGTCAGTGATAGTTTGGGTCAGCGTAGAATCGATTGATACGAGAGGTATGACAGGGAGAGATCCAAAAAAATATTGTGGAAAGCGTCTACAAGGCCTGGAAAAGCCGTTGGACCTTAGGCGGATGCTCGGCGAGGGCTTGGCCGCATCCCGACTTTTCTGGTCTTCGACTGTTCGGGAAAATCGACCGATACGGGGCGTAGGGCAGGTGGATACCCAAAAAAAGTTTGTAGGAAATGTCTAGAAGGCCTGGAAAAGCCGTTGGACGCTAGGCCGATGCTCGGCGATGGCCCGGCGGAGACTTGGCCACGTCCAGACTTTTCGGGTCGATGACAGTTAGGGTCGACACAAAAATTGTTTGATACGGGGGACGTGACAAGGGGAGACCCAAAAAAACAGTTTATAAACTGCCTATAAGGCCTGTAAAAGTCATCGGATTCACGGCTGATGCTCGGCGAAAGCTTGGCGGAGACTTGGATACCTCCAGACTTTTCGGGTAGACAACAGCTCGGGACAGCATAAAATCGATCGATACGAGGAGTATGACAGGGGCAGACCTAAAAAATTTTTTAGAAAGTGTCTACAAGGCCTGGAAAAGCCGTTGGATTCTCGGCAGAGCCTCGACGAAAGACTCGGCGGAGACTTAGCGAAGACTTTCTAAATTACGATTTTTTTGAATTTTAGCTATTTTTAACCTTTGTTTTCTTTACCCTCGGTGATCGTAATATATAAAAAACCAAAATTTGTCGCAAAAAACGAAAATTCATAAGTTTTATGTGGATATTATTGATGTGAGGACATGTAAAATACCTCAAAATAGATGGTAAACTAACTACTCTTGGACACGATCAGTCTTGTCATTTTGTAACCTGAGCCATCTCCGAGCCTCTCTCATGCATAACACAACAAGAGAAAGGCAATTCAAAGCATCGTCGACCCGAACTGTCGCTGACTCAAAAAGTCCTAGCGTCCATTTTTGATGACTCATTTGACCTATCTGTCTAAAACCACAAACTCATTAAATTTCAGGACGGCTATCGAATGGAGCCGCCTCACAACTGCCCTGAGGAAATATACGGCGTAATGGTGATGTGTTGGCAGGAGAAACCCGAAGCTCGGCCGCAATTCCAAACCATCGCCGACTATTTCGAATGGCTGGTGGCTGAGGCTATGAAGATGGTAGGTAAAATACGTATCTGATGTGTCTTCCTCTTTTTACAGAATCAAGGATCCATTGATGAGCATTATATGACAACCGAAGAGCTGAAACAAGGAGAAAATGGGAAACGAAAACGACCGTTGAGTGCGCCAGGGATGCTTAGTATTGAGGTAAGATTTGGATAAAAGTATATTATACATGTTTGACTTTGAAGGGTCATAACTCGACGTAGGATTGATCATTGTTAATGACCTTTGTTTAAACCAAATGGTAACTACTAAGGAATAAAATGAGCTATTGCTTATAAAAATTGAACAATTCTATAAAAAGTTATAAGCATTTTACATCCGCGAACTTAGCTAAACCACCCTGTATATTAGTCTGTCGGGAAAATAATGAGCACTCTGTCGCATCGGAAATCGCGGAGAAAAAATTAATTGTGTCGCGACAAAATCAAGTTGCTTTTCACTTCAGCGACGCGATTGGCGCAGCGGCCGTGTGCTCATTATTTTCCCGACAGATTGCTCTAATATGTATTGCAAAAAGTCTTCAAAATTTCCTTGTGTTTTTGGTTTGATGAGAAAGACGAAATTTTTGTGGTCTTTCGGTCGATTTTTCACGTCGGCCGGGCTTATTTTGCTGCTAGAAAAAGACTGTTTTTTACCCAAAGTTGGTCTGCACTATCCACCCACAATAATTTTCCCAAATGCTGGCAGAAGTTTAGAGCATTCCGTTGTGAGAAATTTATCAGTCTGTCGGGAAAATAATGAGCACTTTGTTGCATCGAAAATCGCATAGCCATCGAGAAAATGAATTGTGTCGCTACAAAATCAAATTGCTTTTCACTTCAGCGACGCGATTGGCGCAGCGACATTGTGCTCATTATTTTCCCGACATTAATATTGACGGTGACCTTACAGTGGCGGACCTGATCCATGCCAAAAAACGTACCATTTTGCATCCGGGAAGTATCAAAAAATGTGGCAAAATACCTCCCTTTCTAACTAAAGAAACTTTTGAAATTGGAGTCCCTAGTTGGAGAGGGAGGTATTTTGCGACATTTTTGATACTTCCCACATGAAAATGATACGTTTTTTGCCACTGAATCAGATCCACCTCTGTAACTTATCACTTCATTCAATTACAAGACGATTTGACTCAAAATTTCGGGTATTTCAGACCTTTGTCAAAGAATACGTCAAGTACAACCCTAAGCATGGAAGTGTCCCAAACCTTCATGACGATCCCGATACCAAAATTACATTTTCCACAGTAAAAAGTAACAGTCGAGAGCGAGGCCGATCTCATCAAACAAAGGCCGATGAGAAAGAGCCGTTATTGGATAGCGCTTTTCAAGTAAGCAAATTTAAATGAGACACCTTTTTTGAGTCCGTATTTTACCTTAAAAATCTCAACTTTAGGAGCGAAAATCTTATGAAAATATCCATGAATACATGAACAATCAAGAGGAAGTTAGTGAAGCGCCGATAAGAAAGTTTTCCGAAGCCAGAAGAGCCAGATTTCCCCCTTTGAGACAGCCGAGGATATCAGAATCTTCCGGGGAATTCAATCAGAATAATATTCAAGCTGGAACAAGTAAGCCGATTTTCCATTTTCCATAGCTGTCTCGCAAATTTCAGGCCGTCTAAATGAACCGATTGTTCATGTCCCCACAACCTTGACAAATCATGTTGTTCGAAGCCCTTCGGTAGAGTCCAGCTCCTCGGGACATGGTGGCTCTAGCGCGATGAGCAGCGCAGAAGGCTTCGGAATCAATGAAATATCGCAGATTGTGTACACAACAATAGAAGATGCAGAGAAAGAAAGTCTCACCCCGAAATAATAATCTCTCGCCTTTGTAAATAGTCTTAGTTGCAGTTTCGTAACGTATTTTCGTTAATAAATTAGTTAACTATGTTGATAAAAATATTAATTTTAAAATATAGACCTAGTACTATAAGATTACACTAGCAACCAAAAAATCAAAAAAAAACCGGTTACATACCATGGAAACCTGGTCAAATCATCAGAAAAAAGAAAAAGTCATTTTGAAGCAAAAATAGGCCGAAAAGAAGTCGCCGAGCATACCCAAACAGCCGTTAAGGGAAAACTCATCAAATTTTACACATTTCTGTGATTTTAGAGAGAAAAGGCTGCTTTTACAAAAAAAGCCTTGTTGTTTGCACTTATGGTAACATAATTAAGAGTAAAATACGATATTTCATGATCAAAACTAAATTTGTCGCAAAAACACGAAAAAAATCTTTCGACCACGGCAGGATTCGAACCTACAATCTTCGGTTCCGTAGACCGACGCGTTATCCATTGCGCCACGCGGCCACGTCTCCCATTACATTCCGAAAGAAAGAAGAGAGAGGCCCGATTACGCAATTGAAGGGACGCACTTCAAAATATCTGTTTTTTCGGCCCTTCAGCGAAATATCAAAAGGATATTTCGTTGAGAGAATCAATTTTGGCACTTCGTTCACGTTTTTAGTGACAAATAAAAGAAATTCTCTTAATAAACTCTCTTCGAATTTTTTACGTTTCGTAAAGGGACTTTCGTAAAATTTTTACGGGCTGCTTATGGGATTTTAATCGATATTTGCGGAGGGTTTTGTTTCCAAGCACTTATCAGTCTGTCGGGAAAATAATGAGCACTCTGTCGCATCGAAAGTCGCATCGCCGCCGGGAAAATGAATTGTGTCGCGGCAAAATCAATTTTTTTCACTTCAGCGATGCGATTGGCGCAGCAAAATTTTGCTCATTATTTTCCCGACAGACTGATAATGACCACTGGTCGCGCATACGCAGTTGCGACGGGCCCTGTGCGAAGACCAAAGTGCATTTTGCACTGTGCACTTTGTTGCTTGTCGCTCGCATCCTGGCTTTATCGGCACAGTGCAAAGAAAGCCAAAAATTACTCGAGCGACTTTACGAACGGACTAGTGTCAGTCTGTCGGAAAGATAATGACCGTGAAGAGGAAAATTTCTTTGCGAACGCAATTCTATTTTCACAGCGACGCGATGGTCGTTGCTACAACGACAAAAACTGATTATTCATTATTCTTATTTATGTTGGTCCGTCAAAGTAATAAAATCAGTCTGTCGGGAAAATTGTGAGCATTCTGTCGCATTGAAAATCGCATCGCTGCCGAGTAAATGAACTGTGTCGCCAAAAAATTAAAAAATTTTCACAGCGACGCGATCGGCGCAGCGAAATTTTGATCATTATTTTCCCGACAGACTGATATACGCGAGTTTTGTCTAAACATCTTTTTCACCAATTCAAATTTCGATTTCCTAGAACATGACCGAAAAAGACCCCAAGCCGACTTCCGAGGAGTCGAAAAAGAAGGACAAAGTGGAAGTTGACACAGTCCCAATTGAGACCGATCAAACGGCCGAAGAGCAATACCACAACTACGACGACGATGAGTTCGAAGAGTTTCCCGCTCACGAAGAGCTTCTTGATCTGCCAACGGAAGAAACTAACGATGTAAATGTGTGGGAGGACAATTGGGAAGATGAGAATGTTGAGCAGGACTTTTACAAACAACTACGGGAAGAGCTGCAGTCCGTTGGGAAGAGGATTTAGAGGCCAAGCTTCTTTCTCAACCCGATTTTTCGATAACTAAGTCTTTTATTTATATTTCTTTTCAATTTTAGACAGTTGTTGATGTTGATGACGAATGAAGGTGCATATGGCTTGCTAATCAATAAATAAGTTGGAAAATAGCTTCCTTATTAAAAAGTTTTTAGCCCAGTTTCAGTCCAGACTAATCGACCACAGGTCTTTCATTGTAAACCCGGGCTTCAGGCACTCCACAGCCACTCCGAGCTCTTCCGAATACACGATCGCCCGTTGCTCTGCAGTGCCAGAGTTGTCGGAGAAGTAGGCAGCAAAGGCATCAACTCTCATTGGTTTATTGTCGATGACTACATCGTCTTGCTCTGGTTTTTCTTCTAGGTCTTCGATTGATGTAAATCCAGCGCCCTGGAAGTTAAAAAATAAATTTTCACCGTCAAGTGCTCTGCAGAAAGGTTAGCTATCAGGCTGTCGGGAGAATAATGAGCATTCTGTCGTCAAAAATCGCATCGCCACCTAGAAAATGAATCGTTTCGCGGCAAAATAAAATTGCCATTTATACTTCAGCGGCGTGGTCAGAGCAGCTATATGGTGCTCATTATTTTCCCGACAGACTGATAAAACAAACAAATAAGCAGTATGACCTCTGTACAACAAGTAGCAAGTGAAAAAAGCTTTACGCGTTATACAAGGATTTCGTTATTTGGAGGGTCATTTTTTGGACTACTATTTTACTTCTGGGATCTCAGAGATTCCTCACTTTAGAAGGGTTTTGCTGTATAGGGGTTCGTTCTACAAGGGTTTCAGTTTATTATCACTCTATCGGGTAAATGATGAGCACTCTGTTGCATCGAAAATCGCATCGCCGCCCAGAAAATGAATTGTGTCGCGGCAAAATCAAATTGCTTTTATTTCTGCGACGCGATTGGCGCAGCTAAATTTAGCTCCTTATTTTCCCGACAGACTGATAACTTTTTGTATACATATCTTTTCCCACTTACAACAAAGTCCTTTTGATATTGCACGCCAAACACAGGAGCGCTCATGTAGCTTTGATGGAAAGTTTGGACCTCCTTGCAGACAGTCTTCAGCCGTTCTTCTGGGTCAACTCGGAAGCCCAGAATATACTCTCCACTTTGTACTGAGGTCTCCAAAACTAAAGCTGGGCCAAATTTTGAGTCACGGATTCGACAACTCCGCAGTTGCAAGAAAGGCACACTGCAGTTGTACAGCGGGTTCATAGAGGCATACCAGACAATCCGAACGTTGGTTATTATCATCACACCGAGATTTCCCTGGAAAAATAATAATAGATAAGTTTAGCGAGCTTCAGGTGGGCTCAAACTTGCGAGCAACCATTTTGCGGGCAGCCAAAAAACCACGGAGATTGTAGGGATATGTTTGGAAATTAGCCAACGTTTGCTTACAACAGGAAATTCAAACGATCGATTTGGCAGTTAGATGTTGCGGATTAAGTTTCCTGGTGTATAAGTGGCTTGAAAAGCTATCATAAAGTTAACCAGGCATTTTTAAAGGTTCAGAAACTATTTTTTGAAAAAAAGCTTCCATTACTTTGAAAGCGGTGGATGAATTGAATAGATTGGTGTACTTATCAGTACCAGTGAGTTAAAAATGCAAAATTTCTGTCATACTCTGCAGATTACGGTAGGAAAATCGCAATTCTAATCGGAAAATGTCGGCTGCAGCAAAGTGGTTGCCCGCAAGAGTCGTCACACCGGATTTGATGACTTCTTGGCCTCATGTGGTTAATTTGAAGCCTACTCTTGGCCTCGTATGGCCTCTGGTTGCAACAAAAATGACTTACTTGCTCGCTGCTCAAATTCCAAACCCCATCCAGCCGTTCAATTTGCTGCTCCAACGGCAAAACCCTTAGATTTTCCTGTTCATCGACCAATGCTCCGCGCATTTTGAGTTCACGATACAATTTTGTCGTCTCGAATGCTCGGTGAATGCCAATTACCGTGGTAAACAGTTTGGTCTAAAAAATCGAAAACGAAAATTAGCCGTATTTTACAACTCACATGTGTTGGATTAGCGCAGGTAAAGACGAATTCAAACCGAGTATTTGCATTCCTGGCCATGAGATATAAGCTCTCAGCGTGGCCTCGGACTTTCTGAAGTTTAAAAAGGCTTGCAAATTAATTGCGTATTTTACAACTTTACTATAAAAAAATAATGAAAGAGGTCTTACCGACTTCAGAATCCTTGTCGTAACTCCATGGATATTGTTATATCCAATGCTCAAATTGATTCTTGGCGAGTTTACCGCATGCCAAATTAGTCGTATATTGGTTATCCTCAGAATCCCTCGATCTCCATTGTTTCCTTTCGTATCTTCCACATTTTCGATTCTCTCAACCAGGTACTCGCCGGGAATCAGCTTGAGTTGTCTGAAAAGACGGAGAACTGGTTATGCAGCAAACAGGGAAGTACCCCAAACGACGTTCAAATTTTTTTTTTAAAATTTTGTACATACGTCGGGCATAGATTGAATATAAATTACTGAAAATTTTAGCTCGCCCTTTGCAGGCGCCGCCGAGGTATTGAACGATCCTTGCCGCCAAGATAGCACGCTAAATGCGGAGATTTTAGAGAGAAAAACACTTTTTGGCCATAACTTTGCTAGTTTCGTGCGGAAAAAATTAATTTTTTGTGGAAACATCACCATTTATGGCATAAATAAGTATAAAACTATTTGTGCCAAAATTTGTTAAAAAGTCTCAAATTTTCGCCGACCTTTCGATCTAAAAATCTCGGTTGTTTCTGCAAAGAGCTTGGATTCTCGCATAAATTTTAGAAAAGATTATTCTAAATTTGTGCCAAGTTTCATCAAAATCAGAGCGTCGCACTTGGGGTATTTCCCAGTTTTATATGATTTTCTAGACACAGCTGGTTTTCTGACTCTTTTTTCCGCCGACAATCCACCTACCTCTGGTCCACATCAAACTGAATCTCACGGTCCTGCCAAATTCCATCGGACAGCGCCATTTCGTCCTTCTTTCTGCCTAGCATGTTGTTTTCCTTCGTTTATATAGAGCGTGGATAAGCAATTATGGTATTTGCAGGAGGAGAATTCTACTTCTTTGGGCATTTCAATATTTTTACGGTTGTCATGGCAATGCCCGACTTGGACTTTGCAAAAATAACGCAAGATTGTTAATGATTACAATAAATCAAAGGTTATAGTGAATGCACCAGTCTGTCGGGAAAATAATGAGCATCCTGTTGCGTAGAAAATCGCATTGCCGCCGAGAAAATGAATTGTGTCGCGAAAAAATCAAATTTCTTTTGACTTCAGCAACGCCATCGGCGCAGCGACAGGGTGCTCATTATTTTCCCGACAGACTGATAGGTCATCCTTGAATTTTTTGTACCTGGTATCATAAACAAATCCCCCGTAATGGGAGCTCATGAAAAGCCTTCGTATCCACGCACCTCTCGGCGGATGATTTTTCAGCTTTCGTATGCGCATAATCATCTTTGTCGCCTCAATATTTCCATCCTTTCTGAACTTGATGTACGATCTGTACTACGAATAATTATACTCTCATCCTCCAGGAACTTGAAAAATCACTCCAGCGACTTTACGAAAAGACTAAAACACAGAGAACGGGACAAAATAAAGACTACAACATTGTGCCTTTGCACAATGAACTCCCGTAAAACAAAACTAGATGGTGTTTTGTAGTGTGAAGCTCAGATATGGGCCAGATTTTGCACGTCTTCTCTAGAAGAGCTAGTTATCAATCGCCGAGAGTAGTAGCCCGCTCGTTTCCGTCACAGCCATTTCATGGCTATAAAAATCCATCGTTTCGCAGAATGCGCATGCTTCAAACTTCGCCAACTTCCTATACCAGCTTGATTATATGTCTGTCGGGAAAATAATTAGCTCTCGGCCATCGAAAATCGCACCGCCGTCGAGAAAATGAATTGTGTCACGGCAAAATCAAATTTCTTTTCACTTCAGCGACACGATCGCCCCAGCAACCTTGTGGTCATTATTTTCCCGACATACTTAACAATAAGTCATAAAATCTCAATCCCAAATGACCATCACATTGTCATCGACTCGCCCTCATATTTTTCGCTGCAAAGTCAGGTGAAGCGCGAGGAATGCGCACGAAATAATAAACGGCGCAGCGGTAATTATTGGATATCCCTTACAATAAAGAAGGAACGAGGATTCAACCTGAATGCAAACCTCGGAGCGCTGTCTTCACCAGGTGTTTCCGAAGTTTCTACCTCGAGGATTTTTGTGCGTGGATCTATAACATTCTACATGAGGATTTTGTTGATGCGCAAGGAGAACAGTGGATGAATGAGTTTACATCTGGCGGTCTCACAATTTTTTGAGGTGAGTTTTAAGGTGGTACTTACTATACAATTATATTAAAAAATTTAGTGGGAAACTCGTGTCGTCACTAAATGGCCATTACTTTTCATTTCAATCCCGATCATCTTTACGGTGTCGATCGTAGCACTGGCGGCGTACGATCCACAAATCAACACCTCCAAGCAGAGTTTGGAGATGTTCCTACCGGATCAAATGGAATCGTTGCTGCATTTGCATGAGGTATTTAATTTTGAACCATATTTTAATTTACAGTGAAAAACTGTATACCACAAACTTCCGTTTAGCAAAACTGGTTTATAAAAAATGTTGTTTTTGTCCAGGAAAAAACCTTTCAATAACAAACGGATTCGTTGTACAGAGGCTTGGCTTTCCTTTTTTTGACAAGTTTGCTGCTTTCAGTTAATGAAATTATTTCCTCCTCGTAACGCTCTTCGCGACAGTTATTCTTTATTTGGCTCCAAATTTGTTTATGTTATATATGAAGACACCACCGAGGATGGGAATATCTTGACCGAGAAGAGGATGAAGGATATTGCTGATGTGCATAAGAATGTGAAAAATGTTGTTACAGTAAGAAATTATTTGTTGACAAGCAATGTTTTTTTAAATTTAGGATAAGTATCTCAAATATTCTGACTTATGCTACCGAGAAGAGCCAAATGGAACGTGCTTGATTCACCCAATTTTGTATGCATTGGAGGATTCTCAAGCTTTGTTGGCGACTCAATTCTTAGCAAGGTGAGTGGCGAATTGTTGAAACTCTCAACGATGCTATTATATTTTGACAAAATTCAGCAAGTAGGATTTTGATGAAACTGATATACAGTGCTGGACAAAATGATATGACCACCTCAATTTTGCGCTGGCAATTTGTCCATTGTAAATGAATTGCTGTAATATTTGGTGAAAGTGAGTATGGAGCAATGTAACATGTACACAAAAAGTATCAAAGGATTTCAAAAAGTGCAAGGTGAGTAAAATTTGGAAAAACGTGAAACCGCCAAAAAATCGGCTGGACAAAATGATATGAACACGTGGTTTAATTAAATCTTTTACTAATCAACACAATTTAACAAACAATCCTAGTAATGAGTGAGTCCTCCACTGATTACTAGGACTGGTATGGGGACACGTTCGGCCAGGTTTAGACGGGTTTGAAGGCGTTAAACCATGTTTGATGCAGAGCTACCCAAACTGGTGATTATCTTCCATTAACGCTCTCCAAAAGTTTTAAATGACGTTTTTATCATGTGATCTAGACGTGTAATATCCTGTACAAGCCTTCGCTTTTCGCACGAACTCCATGGTGGTCTGGCAGTGCCGATTCAGCAAACATCCGGTTACCACGTCCAGCTTTGGCGACCCATTTGCTATTTGACCCTGGGGATAGATGTGCTCCTTAGGTTTATAATGCAACCCTGAGGCTCTTAGAAAGCTGAGAAACCAAGAAAAGTAACCGCTGAAACGATCCCTGCCTTCCGGATGCAACTTTGCCGACCTTCACCTTAATCAGAAAACCCGAGTTTTTCAAATGGATTTTGAGCGATGCAAAACGGCTTTCATTCGATGGCCTGTGTTATTTTAGAAGCTACAGCACATCTCATGCAACCTGGGCCATCAAATGAACTGTTTTTTTGTCGCTAACGATCCCTTTGAAAAACTTGGTTTTTCTGGTTAAGGGGCACATCGGTGCAGTTGCATCTGCAAAGCTGGGATTGTTTCAGCGGTTACTTTTCTTGGTTTCTCAGCTTTCTAAGAGTCTCAGGGTTGCATTATAAACCTAAGGACCACATCTATCCCCAGGGTCAAGTAGCAAATGGGTCGCCAAAGCTGGACATGGTAACCGGATGTTTTCTGAATCCACACTACCAGACCACCATGGAGTTCGTGCGAAAAGCGAATGCTTGTACAAGTGATTACACGTCTAGATCACATGATAAAAACGTCATTTAAAACTTTTGGAGAGCGTTAATGGAAGATAATCACCAGTTTGGGTAGCTCTGCATCAAACATGGTTTAACGCCTTCAAACCCGTCTAAACCTGGCCGAACGTGTCCCCATACCAGTCCTAGTAATCAGTGGAGGACTCACTCATTACTAGGATTGTTTGTTAAATTGTGTTGATTAGTAAAAGATTGAATTAAACCACGTGTTCATATCATTTTGTCCAGCCGATTTTTGGCGGTTTCGCGTTTTTCCAAATTTTACTCACCCTGCACTTTTTGAAATCCTTTGATACTTTTTGTGTACATGTTACATTGCTCCATACTCACTTTCACCAAATATTACAGCAATTCATTTACAATGGACAAATTGCCAGCGCAAAATTGAGGTGGTCATATCATTTTGTCCAGCAGTGTATGCAAAACCCTCTTTGCAGAAACGTCCGAAATTTTTAGACCAAAAGTCGGCCAAAATATGACATCTGTTGCAAAATGAGCCATGAAAGGTTTCATGTCTATGGTAAAGCAACTAATTTTTTTATTTTGTAGTCCTATTGCCTTTATTTTACAAGGAAAGTACTTTTATGGGGGCTCCTACTTTTTGACGGGACATATCTCGAAAAATCAGAAAAAATGTGCTGATCAAGAATATATAGATCTTAGCTGCCCATTTTAGGTTTTTAGGGGTGAAAACTCAGTCGGAAGTTGACTTAAAGTCCTATATAAACCCCTTTTCGCTTAATTTTTTCAAAGGTTTGCAATTTTTATTTTGGCTTAAAATGGTGTTTATTGAGTTTCTAAGACGTAATAAGACAGTCTTGGCCCAAAAATTTATTTTTCCGACCTTCAACTTCAAAAAAGTTGATTCAGCCCAAAAGGGAAACCGAACCTGTGCGGCGTCCCCCTCTTGATTCCCAGACTACGGCACTAACCACTCGGCCACACCGCTCTCTTCCGAAGGAAGAGATCGAGTGCTCTTTTTATCGTTTCGAATGTCTGCCTTTTGTAGGGAAATTAAACCAGTTTTTGGGCATTTTCACCCTTAAAAAACTAAAATGGGCAGCTAAGATTTATATATCCTTGATCAGCGCATTTTTTCTGATTTTTTGAGATATGTCCCGTCAAAAAGTAGGAGCCCCCATAAAAGTACTTTCCTTGTTAAATGGGTGTTTCTAGGCATTGGGAGTGAAAAGTTATGGCCAAAACGCGTTTTTGATAGTCTTTCGCCTACTTCTATTTCTTTTTTATTTTCTTCACGTGAGTGAAATAGACCCCTGATTCTAGAGGCATAAAACTTTTTTAAGGCCACAAACAAACTCTCTAAAATTTAGACAGTAATTTTGCTGACAAAAGACGTTTTAATACTGTGAGTTGCCCTCTCAAAAACTCTGCCTTCACCATTACGGTTAGGCCTCTTGAAACATCTCTAAAGTCACCCTTTTTCTCTGCACAACTATTACTAACATATTTCCCGAGTGTTTTACACATTTCTTTCGCTCTCTGAATCCCAAACTTCTTCTATTCCCGACGCTGCTGGTCTCAGTTTTAGTCTACCCGTCTCTGTTTCCATGTTTCAAACAGTTTCTCCGGCTGTTCGCCTTTCGCCTTGACACAGCGCCGCCGCGTTTTTTATACGCGCGCTCCGCAAGTGTCCTTTGCACTTTTCTCGCCCAAACTTCGTTCCATTGCACTCTTACCGAGGCGGAGTGTCCTTTAAAATAAGAGTACAGAAGTCGCGGTTAATAGTGCATCGCCAAAAGTACAACGCCCGATCTAAGAGTGCGGCGGAGAGTGCGGGGAAAGGACGGATACAAAAAAATGTTGGGCGAAGGAATTGCGAGGAAGCATTGTTAATTTGGGGAGGGCGGAAAGGAGGGAATACCATATGGAAAGATGGAGAAATTAAGAGGAAAGGAGAGGGATAATGCGTAAATTTTTAGGGAGAGAAGTCAGAGAAAATTGATGTGATATTACGGTAGATGATAAGAGCTACAAAAGTACAGTAAAAGAGAAATAGCTTCAAAAAAATAAAACAAAGAATGTCTGTCGGCAAAATAATGAGCACTCTGTCGCATCGAAAATCGTATCGCCGATGAGAAAATGAAATTTGTCGACACATACTCAGATTTCATTTCGCCTCAGCGACGCGATTGGCGCAGCGATATTCGCCCCATTATTTTCCGGGCAGACTGATAAGATCAAAAGTTTGCGATCCTTTCAGACAGCCTCCGAGATGACGTTTGTAGTAGAGCCCTCGTACAACGAACTCCCATACAACGAAATCTAAGAAATTCTCTGTATACATATACCAGGGAATTTCTGAGATCCCAAAAGTATATCGTAGGCCAAAAAATGAACCTCCAAAAAAGAAGACTCTTCTATAAAAAATAGATTTTATGTAGGATCACTTGTGATTTTTTGTAGGTTTTACTGTATATTTATTTGTTTTTTCAGTCTGTCGGGAAATAAAGAGCACCATGTCGTTGCTCGGATAGTGTCGTTGAACAGCTTGATTTTGCCGTGACATAATTCGTTTTCTCGGCGGCAATGCGATTTTGGAAGCGACAGATTGCTCATTATTTTCCCGACAGACTGATATAGAAGCGTTATTGGTAACGTTATTTCCGTTTTTTAGCTCTTCTTCCTTGATGTGAGCTGTACAGAATCTTCTTTAATCCGATAACACTGTCAAAATTATCGATTACGAATGACTAACAAACCAATTGTCTTCTTGTGTTTTATGCCTGAAACTTCTCAACTGTTTCCTCGTTCCGAAGCCCGTTGCCCTTCGCCCTCCTTGTTTCGTATTGTTCTCTCGCCTTCTTCTAATCTCGTTTCCCCCATCGCCCCTGTCTGCAATGAAAAAATTCGTTTTTTATACACTCGCACTTTTCGCATGCACTTTTAAAACCGCCGTCTGCACTTTTAGTCGCGACTTTGTACTTTTACATAAGAGTGCAAACGTTTCGATAAGAGTGCATGCACTAGGATAAAAGGGCAAGATTAGGGTGCGACCAAAAAAAGGGAGAAGGCGTGTGCAAAAAAACGCGGCGAGAACGAAAAAAATGTTTCAAAAATAGAAAACGGAAGGCGTTCGAAAGTGCAGGAAAACGATTCAATTGATCTTCGGAGAGGCGGGGCAAACATTGGGGGCTATAAAAGCGGCGAGGAATGTGGCGACGAGCTGATGTTCAACGTTTTTTAGATAACTAGAAGAAAGTTTCTCAAAAAATTTCTCGGGGCTTATAAACTTGCGTGTTCAGAAGATAGGTCGCGATCACACCGGTATAAAACGGCCAGTGGCATAAACAACGACTGTATAGGGTTAGCAGCACTTCCTAAAGCATTAACAAAAATTTCGGGAATTGTAAAAGTTCTCGCAGCGGAAAAAATCCAGAAAATCCGTCATCCGAATTGCGGATTGCAATAGCTCGGAACCTAATTTTTTATGCGTACTGTAGGAAGTGCTCCTAGCCAAATACAGCCACTGTTTATACCGCTGCCACCTTCTAGACGGGTGTCATCATGACATATTTTCTGGACACACGAAGATTTGTAAATCCCGAGCCATATACGTGTAAAAACTGCAGATTCAAAAAACAACAATTTATCGAAAGTTATTATATTTAATACAATACCACGGCAACCCGACGTATTTTTTGGATCTTTTACACGATATGTCGATTAAGTATCCATTGAAATCAAACCAACGTCACAAAAGAATGTTTCGTGGGGGGTTTTCAGTGGAAAACGTTTTTCTCGAAATTCTTTTTTTTTGTCAATTGTGACACTTCGTTTGGACGAAACTCCAAAGCGGGCGGGGCATGTTTCGTCAACTTCAGGTTGCCATGCAAAGGGATCCTAAAAATTTCTTAGTTCTTTGCGATTTGTTGCACATTTGTTCTGCTCCATGAGCTCAGTGAATTTTGCAACCATTTTTCAGATACCCATTCATCAAAATCTCAAATGCTACGATCGACAATGCCGTTGTGTTTGGTGGTGTTACCTTATCCAATAAAACCGCCGATAAATACGGGAATCGGCCGATCGAAAGAGCTCGAGCAGTTAGATTGGTTTACGTTTTGTCTCCGGTAAACGAAGCGGACGAATGGATAAATCAGTTTATAAAGGCAATGCGAAACTTGCAGTATGAAGACGCGAACATATTTTTTACAAGTTCGAAAGCATTGCCCGACGAAATGCAACGGAATGGAGAGGTAAATAATGGTTGAAATGGAATAAAAATTCGGTAAACATCAAAGAACAAAAAACCTCTGTACAACAAACTTTTATGCAACAAAAACGGCATGTAACAAAAAATTTCAGAGGCTATAAAGGCAAATATTAGGCAGAAATAAGCATCCTTACAACAAAGGCTTTCCAAAACAAAAAAATTTTTTTTGATCAATTACATTTCGCTGTATGGAGGTTACACTGTACTTTATTGCAGCTCTTAATCCCCTGGATGCCGTGGATGGTAACAATTTTGATTATTTTCTGCGCCTTGATTTGCTTCACATCTGATTGCATCCGCTCTCAGCCATTCATTGGATTATCAGCCATGTTCAACGCCTTTCTAGCGGTTTGTGCCGCAATTGCAACTCTAATCTACGTGCAGTATCCATTCCTGCACATGATACTGATCATGCCGTTTTTGATTATCTGTAAGTCATCGTCTAATGCCTTGGTTTGGAAGCTTAGACATGCAACAAATATACATATGATAAAAAGTCAATGCCCTTTTCAGCCATTGGTGTTGACAACATGTTTCTAATGCTCAAGTCTTGGCGGCTGACTTGTGATAGCTATCATGGTCGACTCTCCAAGGCTTCACAAAGCGACGAAGTTTTGGTCTATTCTATTACCGAGGTGTCTGTATCGTTAATGATCACTTCTCTCACTGATGGCTTCTCGTTTTTAGTTGGAAGTTTGTCAGATTTCATCGCAGTCCGTAAGTCCTTCCTAGTTCTATTCAGCGGAATCTCTGTACAAAGGACTTCCGTGGGAAAAAACCTGTCTATTACAAACAGTTTTTAAGACCCCAAGGGTCAATTTTAGGCCATAAGAAACCTGCTTACAACAAAGATTTTCTAAGGCGTTCTATCGCTTTAAATTCGTTATAGAGGGGTTTTACTCTTTGTCACGTTGATTTTCAGGCGTCTTCTGCGTCTACTGTTCCCTGGCCATCTTATACATGTTCCTCTTCCAAATCACCTTACTCACCGGACTAATGGTACTTCATGGTCGCCGAGAAGTTGTTCAACGACATTGCCTAACCTTCCTCAAATGCAAATCTACTCCGTTGAAACATGAGGATGCGTATAAACAAATAGGAAACAGTAAATACGACGATGGACTTTATACAGCCATCAGTAAGAAGAAACATGTCGAGCTTGATCATTTGGAGAGGAGTGATGTTTGGAGCCGGCTGACGCGATTTTATCAAAAACCACAGGTCAAATTCCTGGGATTGGTTTGCTACATTGGATATCTTGCAGTGGCGTTAAACTTTCTGCTACAGTTGCCATTAGGTAAACAAGACTTTTTTATGCGTACAAGGAAAGTGTTTGACTTTGGGCCAGCATGATGAGAATTATTAGTCAGTCGAGAAAATAATGTGGATATCGCCTGTAATCGTTTTGCGACGGCAAGCCGCGACTAGGAATTTGATGCGCTTTTGCAACGGCATTTTTTTGCGACAAATCCACATCATTTTACCGACAGACTGATATGTCTTTGGTTACAATGCAAAATTTTAAGAAAATCTGAATGCCCCACCTCAAGGACATCCCTTATTAAACCAACGTATCTTCAGGCCTCGACCTAAAACTTCTAACCCCTGACAACTCATACGCCGCTCTCGAAATCCGTGCCCAAGAGCGGCTATTCGCTGACTACGGCGCCTTCTGTTTCGCTGTGATCAAAACAAAAAAGTTGGAGCTCCACAAAAGCAGTGAACGTCAAAAACTGCTCAAATTCTACAGTATCCTAACAAAAGGAGGGCTGGTTTCGCCGGGCGAGTTTTGGCTAGAACAGTTCGCAAATTTCACAGAAAATGGCGATTTCCACACCGAAAAGCTGTTCATGAAGACGGTGATCAAGTTCTTGGAGGATGAGAGATATTCCAAGTACAGGTCGGACATCAAATTCGGAAAGGATGGAAGTATTGAGGCGATCAAGATGATTATGCGGATACGGAAGCTGGGCGCTGAAAATGATCCGCCGAGAGCGGCGTGGATGCGAAGGCTCTTCAAGAGTTCGCATTACGATGGATTTGTTTATGATACCAGGTACGACAAAGCCGTAGATGACCTATCAGTCTGTCGGGAAAATAATGAGCACAATGTTGCTGCGCCCATCGTGTCGCTGAAGTGAAAAGAAATTTGATTTTGCCGCGACGCAATTCATTTTCTCGGCGGCGATTCTTTTTTCGATGCGACAGAATGCTCATTATTTTTCCGACAGACTGATAATTACCCTATAATTGTAATCTCTAACCTTCCAAATTTTAGTTTCCTCCTGGTTGATCAACAAGCCACAACCCTTCAAAATGTCATAGCCAATGTTGCGATAGCGGTTCTTGTTATGCTTACCGTAGCGATTCTCCTGATCCCTCGACCGATCTCAGCACTGGCAATCGCTTTTTGCATTATTTCGATTAATGTCGGGGTTGTTGGAGGGCTTTCGGCGGTTGGAACAAGGCTTGATATCATTTCTATGATCACAATTGTAATGAGTATCGGGTTCTCGGTGGACTACGCTACGCATATCACCTTTCACTACCTGATTTCACAAAATGATCGGCTAAAAGTGAGTTCACAAAGAGATACAGAAACGGACCTGATCCAATGGCAAAAAAGCGTACCATTTTGGATCCGGGAAGCATCAAAAAAGTAGCAAAATACTTCCCTCTCCAAGTGTAAAAACTACAATTTCAAAAGCTCTTTTTATGAGTGAAAGGGCGCGCTCTTCAAAACGAAGCTTTTTAGTTGGAGAGGGAGGCATTTTGACACATTTTTTGATACTTCCTGGATGCAAAATGGTACATTTTTTCCATTGGATAAGGTGCGTCACTGTATCTGAGTTCTCCACTGGACATCATTAACGACATCTAACTTTATTATCAATGTAAATTTACGTATTCCCCTTTCAGCAAGCCCTAGAAGTGGTTGCCTTTCCAATCATCCAAGCTGCCACCTCCACCTTGGTCGGTGTCGCGATTCTTGGCGTAGTGCCGTCCTATATGATACGGACATTTGTTCTGACCGTCGTTTTTGTTGTGATAATTGGACTAGTCCATGCAATTTTCTTTTTACCGATCTTGTTGGGTACTGTGGTCCCGGACAGTGAGTTCATCCGGCCGTACGAAGCCGAGAAGCCGGTGTTCCATTTTGAGGACCCGCAAGTCATGGAGTTTCAAAAGGTCGGTTATTTTGAAGATTTTGGTGTCTCAGTCTGTCGGGAAAATAATGTAGGTTTGGCGTAGCAAAATGTCTATTAGTATCGTCGTGGGTCGCTCATCAAATCTCCAGCTAGCCGTTGCAAAGAAATGGGCGATTTTAGGGAGGCGACGAATCCACATTATTTTCCCGACAGACTGATGGCAGAGCGTCTCACGTCAAACTGAGGAGCCCGGTGACCGGAATAGACCCTTCGCTATCGGTTTTTTACACTTCGTCTTGATTTCGCAGAGAAGGAGAGAAAAAAGACACACGAAAGCGTACTTTCTCGCCCCAAAAATTCCCCATTTCTTCCCCGACGAAACGTTTTTTCGCGTCTGTTTTTGGGGAATTATCAATCCATTCACCGGACTGTTTTAGCTTATCTCAGTTTGACGTGCGTCTAGCAATGAAAGTTTTTCCTCATAGCCTTTTTACTGTAACTTGTCATTACAGGCGCCATACGCCACAATAAAGCGACTGGACTGCTATATCGAAGAGAAATGGAAGTTTTAACGCCTCAAAAGAGTTCTATCTTTATAATAAACTTGCTACATTAGCCTCAATAATTCGGGTTTATTGACTTTTGCGTTGAATTCATGAAATTCGATTTTAACAGAGATCAAGTGACGAAACAATAAGAAAATGGGGGGAAAATCCGATGAATAAAACGTGATGAAGTAATAAATAACAGGATGATAGAAGCTATGTGTGTACCTATACTTGCTAAACTTGAGTTACAACCGTGTCTGGATTTGAGTATGAAAAGCGAAGCTAACGCGAAGCACTATGTGGGTATGTGGACAACGAATATGGTTACAGGCAAAGTTTGGTGTGGAAATACCCATTCAAAAGAGGAAGCTAAGGCAGATGCGGGAGAGTTGCTATACTACGAAAAAACCTTGACAATTTTTTGATGACTTGTGGCAAAGCAAGTCGAATTTTGCCTGAATTTGCCGTTGCATTTACTGCACTGGCTCGGCCACTTCATTAACAGGAGTTATGACGTCATTTTCGGACAATCTTTCCTGGATTTCTTCGATATTTTCAACCTCATGTCCATTTTCGTGACACTCATATTCATTGTCAGTGTAATGCTCGTTCTCGGAGTGACCTTCATCCACATATCCGTTAGACTCATCGAACTGAACAAGCCCCGAAGCGTCGAAAATTTCGTCGCCGTTGTCTTTGGGCTTGTGCTTTCGGGCAACAGTGGAGAAAAGCCGGGATGTCGACATTATTCCACCGGCTGAAAAAAAAGATAATAAGCGAGTTTTAAAATACGAAACCTTCACCACCGTGAAAATTAAAAAATTCTGATACAACCTCTTATAACAAACTTCCTTAAAATAAGCTTTCTCTTTCAGTCTGTCGGGAAAATAATGATTATAATGTCGCTGCGCCGATCGCGTCACTGAAGTGAAAAGCAATTTGATTTTGCCGCGACAAAATTTATTTTCTGGGCGGCAATGCGATTCGCGATGCAACAGGGTGTTCATTATTTTCCCGACAGACTGAACGAACATTTTTGAGATCTGCCTTGAAATCACCCATCAACGCTTTGCGACAGCAAGCCGCGGCTGGGGATTCGGTACGCGTTAGCGGTGAGATATTTTGCTGCGACGACCAGCCGTTATTTTCCCGACAGACTGATAAAAAATAAATATTTGAGTCACTGACGAAACGTTTTACAGAGTTTCTGCTTTACTAGTCAGTTCAGGAAGTCGCCAGAATCATTTCGGCGACATGCACTGTGCGAAAACAAAAGTTCACTTTGCACTGTGCAATTTCATGCTTTTTGCACCGTGCAACAGATTTTTTGGGCTGTCACTCGCCCAAAAAAATCCCTGGCTTTTTTCGCACATTGTAAACGCCAAAAATCACTCCATCGATTTTGCGAACGGACTAGTACTTTTTTTGAAATTCTTTGGATAAACTTACGACTCTTCTGTTCAGCCGACTTGGGCCGTTCACTGTCCGATGACGCAAATGAAGTGGCCAGGTCACTGGTTGCGAATTGATGACGCTGCTCCAGCTTGTACAACAAGATATCATACTTTTGTTGGCATTCAATCTTTTCTCTCTCGGCGGTTGTTACACGCGTGTTCAACTTGTTGAACTCATTCAATAGGTCTCTATAAAAATTTGATATTCATTGATTATTTTTTAATTGAAAATCGCTACGTTTTTTCTCATCAGCAACGGCTTACTTGCTATACAATTTCTGCTGCTCCAACGCATGGTTGACCCTGTCCAACTGACTCTTTGTGGAGCTCAACTGGCTCCGCAGCACTTGCATATCATCCAACTTGAGCTCTAGGTCGCATTTCTCACTGCGAATTGTCTTTGTAATCTCTTTTTGCAGTCCCAAAGCATAGTTGAGACTGGCGATTTCGTTCTCGCAATTGCCATTGCAAACGTTTTCTTTGTTCGAAGCGACCACTGGAGTCACTTGATTGGCCTCTTTTTCTTCGGCCAGTTGCTTTTCCAGCAACGCTACACGAGCCTCAAGCTGATCTTTTTGTGCTGACAGCTGAAAATGATGATATTTTCAAGTCATTTTTGTAATATTTTGTTTGTAAGTCACTGGAGTAATTTTTGGCGATTGCACTGGGCAAAAACAACAGTTCACTTTGCACTGTGCAGTTTTCCGACTTTTTTGCACAGTAAAAGCGCCAAAAATCACTTCAGCGACTTTATGAACAAACCAGTAGTCGTTCCACAAAGTGCGTAGACTTTTAGTCGCAAAGCTTTTTGCACTGTGCAAAAAAAGAAAAATTCACCGTGCGCCTCAAAAAAAAGTCTACGCACTTTATGGAACGCTTTTTTGAACAGCACTTTTTCACTTTTGCAATGTGCAATTCAAAAGTTGCCGTGAGGTAAGCTTTTTTTCAAGCCTTTATTTTGGCCGCGCGACAACAATTGCACAGCGTAAAATGAAGAAAAATACATCGAAAAACGTCCACGCACTTTATGGAAACACCAGTAGTAATTTTTGGCGTTTGCACTGTGCAGAAAAATTCAGGATGCGAGCAATAGCCCGAAAAGCCTATTGCACGGTGCAAAAAGCAAGAAATTGCACAATTCAAAATAAGCCTTTGTTTTCGCATAGTGCATGTCGCTAAAATAACTACAACGACTTTGTGAACAGACGTACATATTAGTACACATTATTTATTATAATATAAACCGCCCTACCTTTTCCTCGTAATACTCCACCTTCTCCTGCAGCTGCTGCTCGGCATTTTTGTTCACTGTAAAAATCGCGAATGTCATTCCAAACACAACAACAGCTCCGATGCAAGAAAAGAAAGGCAAGACTTGGGTTTTGTGGCATTCCGAGTGCGTAAAACATGACACCGAGCCCACCAGGGCGGCGCCCATCAGCAGCATGGAGGTGGCATAGATCCCAACTGCCTTCTTGTTCAAGTTTAAGGCAATTTGCGGCTTGACGAACATGCTATGGGAAGACAATGGGTTATTTGAATTTTTGAGATTTTTTGACCAAAAATGTCAACTTCTGGAAAAAAAACGGATATTATTTTAGTCATCAAAAAATGTCACGCGAAAAATAACTATTGAAACTTTTGTAGGGCATATTGGATTTCATCAAGTATTATACTACAAACAAACCTCTGTAAAACGCATCGCGACGGACCAAAAAATTAACCCGTTGAGTTCGATGTATGTATAAAAATTAGACTGCAATACAGGGTGTTTCAAGAAATATTGCAGAAAGTTTTTTGCGAATATCTTTGTGCTCTTTGCAGGTATTCAGGAAGCTTAAATTGATTATAAAATCTGAAGTTTAGCGAATTTAGAATATGCAAAGGGATTTTTTCTCACGCCGGCGGACAGACTATTTTTCGGCGGAGACATTCGACGTCTTTTTTTTCAAATTATATCTCATTACAAAGCCCAGACATCATAACTATGGATGAAATTAGGCTTGTTATGTCTGGTATATCCTGCAATATTTGTTGAAACACCCTGTACTAAAATAAAGAGTGGTCACCAAAAATTTCTAGACCCCTTGTCCAAGAGTTTACGTACTTCATGGAACTCACCAGACCTATTGTTTTTGTAAAAAAATCCCCAATTTCTCCCCAGAAAATAAAATCGCCCAATCAATAAACATCTAGAGGCAAATAAACCCAGATTTTTTGGCGCTTCCGACACTTGAAATTACTGAAACTCAAAAAAAACGCGATTTTATGGCATGTTTCGGAGATAACGCTGAATCGACGTCAAAGTTTCGAGGGATTTCACGTAGATAACCTTAGGCAATTAAATACCTTTACAACAAAATATTTAGTCTTTTAGAAATACAGTTTCTTACAAGTCGGCTTCCATTTTTAACACAAACTTTTTAAAATAAAATTTTCTGCACAACGCAAAAACTTCTATCATTTATTGCCTATTTCAGAGCAGTAAAAAGTGGGAGAATACGGTTAATTAAAATGGAAGTGTGACTATTTTACGACGGTCATAAAGATCACCCCTTTCTTGGTCATTTAATGCCCAATCAACCCAGATTTCGCACATCATCGCGAGAGGCGTATTAAGTATCGAAATACCAGGAAAAAAGATGATTTTTAGGGAAATAAAGGGAACTTTAGGGGAGCACAGGTAAAATACGTCGTTTTAAATTATTTCGATGTAAAATACACCGGTTAAAATATCCGCAAACTCCGTTTTGACCATAAAAATTAAACCTAAAGCTCCCGGCGTAAAGATCTCTTCAAAACCTTGACTTCTGAGGTACCCTCAAACTCAAAACTACTTCTAACTCCGAAACCCGACCGGACCTGCCAAAAAAAGACGAAATGAAGAGCCGTTGACGCTTCTTTATTCCATTATTTCCATTTTTATTGTGTTTTAGGGAAATCTCGACTTTTTTCGCGCATCTTATCTGATCCACGCCCTGCGGGGTCTAACCGAAATTTCATGGGGAAATTTCGCGAAATTCTTAAAGAGGCTTTCGGAAAGTGCCCTCAAGGTAAATTCGGAGATTCGGGAAAGGCTTTGAATACTGTAATAATCGATTTGAAAACACCAGGTATCTTCAAATCCGCAGGACAAAAAAATGTTTAAAAATGGCAAAAGTAATATCTAGAGTTCAAACACCTTTCCAAAAATACGTTACACAGGCCGAAACCAGACGGCTTACAGATCAAAAGGCAGGTAATGTTGCATAACCTTTTCTATTACGCCTGTTTTTTTATGGTAAAATGAGAGGCGTTCAGGATGGAAACGCCCGATGAATCAAAGCGATGGGAACCCATAAGCCGAATCTAATCGAAATCTGAGGAAATCAGGTTCTTTTCGACGGTGATTTGACAGTTACCTAGCGACGAATTCGTATTTTAAAATATATTTTTTTTTTATTTATGTTATACTTGATGGAAATAAATGTCTAAATTAGATCCCTGGGATGCGAAATCTGACAAATACTCGAAAAAAAGCGTTGTTTGAGAGCTGTATGGCACTTATTTTGACTTCCGAGAATTTGAACCTCTTACCGTAATAAGAGAGAAAAACTTGACTCAAGGTTCCAATTCTGGGTCAGCTGTTTCGTTTCCCAAGAAAAATAATTTTTTCAACAGATCTTGTCGGTTTTCTCGATCTACCTGGTTGGAAATACAATTTGTTCATGAGGTTTTCAAGGTTTAGCAGAATATCAACGAGAATACCAAGGAATTCAAAAATTTCATGAATAAAACAAGGTAAGATCACAATTTTTTGTGTTTTCTTTGATTTTTAGGGTAAGAAATGCGAAACAGCAGTCAAAATGGGTCAATTAGACTGCATGGTCCAAGCTTTAGAGGGTGTTAAGCTAGGATAAGGTCAGTTTTAACTTTTTTTGGCACCCACGTCCATTTTTTTTTGGATAGTTTACCTCTAAAATGCCACAAAGCCCGAAAGACGTCAAGAATAATGTTGGAGAAGAAAAAACTAGCAAGTAAATTGCACAAAATTTACTTACATTCCTCGACAGCTCGCTGGTTTTGCTCCATGAACTCGTCCATGCATTTTTTCAAGTTTTCGTTTGCCTTGTTTGCCGAATTTAGTTCTTCGCTGATTCGGGCGTTGGATTTTTGATGTTCTGCTAGCTAAAATTGAGGAATAAGAGTGCTATCTCGCTATGAAGGGTATTATGAGCATTCTGAGTGAAAATTAGGAAAATTTGGGGCATAATTGGGAATTGGTGCCATGTGCAATATAATTTTTGTCGAATTCATGTCTAAAACAACTTTTTTTGGTTAGATATCGCTACTAAAAGCCTTATTATGTTAGTTTGAGATAGATAATTTATCTTAAAGGTTCAAAAAATCTTTATTTTACCTTGCAAAAACAAAGTTTACAGCTCAAATATCGCTTCAGGAATCTCATTTTCCCTCAAACTTGGAGAAAATTGAAGTTTACCACTTCGTTTTCAATGGTAAACCAACAATTTTAGGCCCCATTAATCTAACTTTATTGCCATTTTAGCAAATAGATCTTTTTTTGGGAAAATAAAGTCCAAATAATGGATCTAGGCCTCTAATTGTTGTGTATAAGTCCTATTCGATATAATTTTGCTATTATTATATGGTAAACTTACTTGTCCGGCCATTAGATCGAACAATTTGGCGACTTGGTCGAATCCTCGGGCATTTCTCAACGTTATCGTCTTGATCCGCTCAAATTCGGTGTGAAAATCCTCCGGAGTTTGCAATTTTTCCGCATCGATCTCTACTGTAGGCCTTGTGATTGGGACTGGTTGTGATTGTCGTTTCAATTGAGTAGAATTGTTCGAATTGCTATTCAAATTGTGTGAAGAAACGGACTTTTTGGTCTGAATTGGCGCATCTTTTGCCGGGAGATTCCGGAATTTCGCGACTCCAGCACCCGCAGAATTCGCTGGAGGGCATCTTGGCTTGATTGGCGTTCCGCCCGCTTGGACTCGTAGTTTGCTGGCCAATACTCGATTGTTCACCGGTATAGAGGCATTGAGATTTTTGGACTTTAAGGCGCTGGGTTCTGAGAAGGAAATTTTTGTGATATTGGTGGCTTACCTCGACTAACGGCTTTCGGAGTGGGCGCACTCTTCAAGGTTTCCGCCAATTTCGATTTGATCTCCTTTTTTGGTGTCTTCTTCTCTTCGGCGATACTTTGCTTTATCCTCAACATGATCTCCTCGTGTTTTGACATTTTCTTTGGCTTCGGTTGGACTGGCTTGACTTCGGCATTCTTTGGAGGGCCCTAGAATTGATTATTATTATTTTTTCTATGGTTGAGATTCTGATTAGCACAATGACTTGAATTATGTGAGACTTTGTTTCAAGTTTGGGTCACTTTTTGCCGATCTTTTCTCAAAACAAAGGAAAAGACTTGATAACAAAGAGGAATCGAACTGTGGCCGCGTGGCGCAATGGATAACGCGTCGGTCTACGGAACCGAAGATTGTAGGTTCGAATCCTGCCGTGGTCGAGAGCCTTTTTTTCACATTTTTTGTTACAAAAATTAATATTTCTTGCAGGTACAACGTATTTTACTCTGAAGTATGTTTTGATTAGAAAACTACAAGTTTTTTTTTGCGTAAAATCAACATGTTTGCCCTAAAATCGCAAAAATCCGAAAAATTTGATGACTTACCGGATATAACGGCTGTCTGGGCTTGCTCGGCGACTTCTTTTCCGCCTCTTTTTGCTTCAACATTGCTTCCTCTTTCTGCCGTAGTGATTCGGCAAGGTTTCTATTGTATGCAACCGGGGTTTCGAGCTCGTCGTCGCCGATTATTGGCAACAATGAGGGATCCAGGGTGGGTCTTTCAAGAACAATCGACGAGTTCACTGAAATCAGGGTTTATTAGACTGGGGAATGGACTTTAGAATGTAGCTCAGATAGTGAAGAGCCTAGCTAGACTGTTTTAAAAGGCAAGGTTGGTCAGAAAATTGTTCAAAATCTCGAAATAATGAGATTTTTTACAATTTTCCGCAAGAAATGGCAGAAAAAGGATTTTTTTGGTAAAATACGGTACTTGGTAACTCCTATATGTTTTTTATAGCTCTTTTACCCCCTGTACTTTAGCTAGGTCGTCTAAAAATCGCATAAACCGCGCCATTTTTCCTCAAAAGCCTTCAAAAAGTAAAAAAATCCCTCGGTTTTCTGGTGCTACTTGAGAATTTGTTTGTTTTTGCTCCACTCCATGCATAAATAACGTTTCGGTTCCCCCAAAAGAATGACCGATTGTTACGAGTACTCGAGATTTTTTCGAACTAAATCTGTTTTTTGATGGATTTGGGAGAAAAAAGCAGCGGAAAATGGACGAAAATTGCAGCGAATGGTCGTAAATTACACATGTGCAGCGGATCAAAAGATGCGAGTTGTAAATCAGCGTGTAATTTGAATAGAATGGAGAGTGGGAGCGTGGTTTGTGAGAGCTCAAAAAAGAATGGGAGCGAAAAAATGAAAAAAATTGGGAGAAATATCATGGATAATAAAAAAAAGTTACCCGAATTGTGATTGCTGATGTCCAATTCGATTAGACTGGAGTCCAAATCGCAGAAATTGGCCAAATCCTGAAAAAACAAAGGTTTTTATGGGCTTTTTAATCAAAGTTTGCGAAAATTTTAATTTTTTGTCGGAAAATTGATGATTTTGCGAAACAAAGTTGATTTTTTCGTCGCAAAAATAAATTTTCAAATCTTGGCAATGATCCCACAATATTTTACAAGTGTCATAATAATTGTTTAACACAATTACAGGACTTTTTTTCAATTTTGGGTCCTACCACGAAAACCTTAGATCCCGATAAATCCCACAAATCAAAGCTGTACTAAATCTTGGACCCATCCCAAAGTCATAACAACAAAAAGAATGCCAGCAAACGTTTCCTACGGACAAAAAATCGAAAAAAATTGGGCTTTTTCCAACTTTAACCCCTCAGGGCCCAAGGTCTTTTTGTGGCACAGAGATGATATAACTGGAACGTTTCTTCTTTCCAAATCTCTTTTGACATGTGATTTTTTGCTATGCTAACATGTTTGGAACGAGAGGGAATTTGAGAGAAACATGAAAGTTGATAGCCCAGAAATGATTTTTTGGCTAAAAAATTGGAAAAATGTTTGTTACAGTAATAAAAATTGAAGAAAATTTTACTGGAACGGCTGAATTCGGATGTAAAAGATGATAGGGAGTGTTTTTTTTGGCGAAAAAATGAATATTATTGGTAAAAGTCATCATTATTAATGAGATATTGAAACAAACCGGCGCTTTTAGGAACTTAAGGACCAGAAAAGTCCCTATATTTTCATGGAGGCCCACAATTGTGCTCTATTTCGCCCAAAAAATCTCTCAAAAAATCCCTTTCCCACCAAAAAGCAATAAAAATCAAAGCCGAACTCACGGATGCATTGCCAATAACATATGTCATGTTGGAGGTCATCATGATATCATCAGTGGAATCGAACATCTAAAAAGCGAAAATAAATAAAAAGTAATATTAATGGGAAGCCCCGCTTTTATTGTTATCGCTCATTCCTTCACCTTTCGTTTGTCTTTTTATTTGTAAACAGAAATTAATTTTCTGTTGGGAAAGCCAAATGATTTGGAATGAAAATTTGAAATTGGCTCAAACGTTTTGCGATTGACCGATTTTGATATAAAATTTGGGATAAATTAAGACGTGAATTTTCTAACTAGGGATTGTACAAACTGACCATCGCTAAATGACAAGTCTTGTACACCGTTGGAAAGCTCTTGAGAAGTAGTACTAAAGCCCATTTTAAATTTTTGCAGAATACCTTTCCGTATAGGGTTCATAACTTTTTGCCCTGAGGCTTTCTGCAAAAATTTGGAGTAGTTTCTAGTACTACTTTTCAAGAGCTTTTTACCGGTGTATAACACTTGTGATTTGGTGATGATGAGTTCGTAAAAAAATGATGCACATGCGAGATTTCTAGCTTGCCGTTTGCAGAAACCATTGAAATATTTAGGTCGATTTTTGAAGTTTTCGACCTAAAAATTTCGATTGTTTCTGCAAAGCACAACCTAAGAACCTGGCATATTCCTGCAAAAATTTTAATCTGAATTTATCCGTAATGTCATCAAAATCTGAGCGACGCAACTCGGGATTTGCGAGGATTTAGTGGACCCTAGGAGCGGAATAGAAAACGAAGCACATACCCTTCCACTTTGATCCATAGTTATCGACCTTGAGACTGAGCTTTCTCCTTTTTGTTGCACTTGTATTGTCCTTTAGTTTCGGCTAAAGGACAGTTCAATAAATTATGTGGCGAAACTGCAATGATAGATAGGCTTATCAGCAAGAGAGGACCGTTAAATTCGTAGGCAGCGCCAATCGGTCTAAATATCATGAGATTAGAACAAAACTTGGGGAAAATTGTAAAATACGCGGGAAACGAATAATAAATATTAGTAATGCCGATGATAAAAATACAGTGGAACTCCTTGTACAAAAAAGCAACTCTTGGGACCTCTGAAATTATTCGTTATAGCAAGGATTTCGTTGTACAGAAATCCTTGCTATAAAGAATGCCCTAAAAGTAACCCATAGGACCTCCAAAATTATTCGTTATAGCAAGGATTTCGTAGAACAGGGGTTTATTTTTCCCTAAAAGTAACCCATAGGACCTCCAAAATTGTTCGTTATAGCAGGGATTCGTTGTACAGGGACTTATTTAAAGCAACTCTTGGCACCTCAGAAATGATTCGTTACAGAAAGATTTCGTTGTGGCAAGATGGCTCTGTACAACGAACCCCTGCTATAACGAACAATTTCAGAGGTCCCATGAGCTACTTTTAGGGCAAAATGAACCTCTATACAACAAACTCCTGCTATAACGAACAATTTCAGAGGTTCCATGAGCTACTTTTAGGGCAAAATGAACCTCCGTACAACAAACTCCTGCTATAACGAACAATTTCAGAGGTTCCATGAGCTACTTTTAGGGCAACATGAACCTCTGTACAACAAATCCCTGATATAACGAACAAATTTTTTAGTAACTTCCAATTCGTTGCAACTCACGGCAAAAAGTCCTTGGAATTCCTCGCGGCCCCCAAACTCTGTCGCACGCCGAAGGAATGATTTGTCCCTGCGAAAATGGCAATCCCGCGCGACGTAGTGCAAAAAAACGAAATTGCACTGTGCAGACTCACTTTTTGCGCCGGATGCACGGTGCAAACTGGGTTTTTCTGAAGAGCGACGGAATTATCGAATAAAATGCACAGTGCAGAGTCGCAGAAAATTCCCAAGACTTTTTGCTACAGAGGTGCAAAGATTGATCGTTATTGAAAATAATTTTTATCCCCAAAACCCCTCTGAAAGCCCATCGAAAGCCCGGAATCCCTCATTCGCATGGATATTCCCCACCATTTTCGCTCCTTATCCGCGTTTTGATCAATCCGCTTGTTGCGGATCGCATGTTTTTGGACGTGAGATCAAAGGAATTTATGTTGAACATGGGCTATACTTTTTTGGGGGATTAAAAGATGGAATATCGCTGAAATAATTGAATTCCCTCGGTTTTTTGGGGCTGACAAATCTTTTGACCGTAAAAATGATGGATAGGTAATTGAGCTGCCGCTGGAAAAAGGGCTAATGAGGAAATTGGGGGGCATTAAAGCGGAATAAAACGATTTTGATAGGTTTTTTGAAAAATTTTGGGGTAAAATACGGATTTTTCAAAATCAGATTTTTTGAAAATTTTGAGAAAAAAATGGTAAAATACGGTGCGTGGTCGTCATGTGGTATACCGTTAAGCCAATTGACCGTAAAATAGCTGCTAATTGACCTTAAACTGAAAAAAAAAATTGCATTAAAAAGTCGAAAAACCTCTGAAAAATCGCAAAAATTTGCTCCAAACCCCTCATAAAATAACAATAAACCCCTTTCGTTTGCCTCGATTAGGTTAAGCACCCAGAAAATGCATAGCCCGACCGGTTGCGCTCCGAAAATCCATGCCCAAGTCGCGCGCTAAACGCCCATAATTATCACTTTCGGGGCCGGTCATGCGCTATAAAGAAAGGTGGGAAAAAACAGGCGAAAAGTGAAAACTTTTAACTACCTTTGAGAAGAACTTACTTATAGTCTCCCGTTGACACAGGTAATTTACCGCAGAAGCGTTTTTTCCCACTTTTTTTCACGTTAACGCACCCTCCGAGAAATTGTAAAAATTAGGGGGAAAAAGTATCAAGCTGAGTAAATAAAAGGGTAAATAGTGAAAAGGGAGATGGGGATGGAAGGCGAAGGTAAACAGAAGCCAAAAAGAAACAACTTGGGGTGTTGTTTTGTAGTTTCACAGGGTGTAAAAGTGCAGTTAGAAAGTGAAAGGAAGAAAAAGATGAAAATTTGATGATTTTTCGAAAGCAGAGTGGGGGAAATGGTCGATTTTTGGTAAATCAGCTTGCTGCAGAGGCTGAAGTTGATTTCTAGATACAATGTGAGACTTGATAAACAATTAGGGACCGTCAAGATTGTTTTTATTTACGAAGTCTCTCAAAATTTTTGAGAAAAATAGAAAAATCGATGATTTTTCAAAAATATTCAAGGTAAAAGTGTTGATTTTAGTTTATTAAGCTCGCTGAGACTTCTTACGTTAATTTCTACATAAAGCATCGGCATTCCTAGACCTCTAGAAACAGCTAAAGTTGATTTTTCTCTCGAAATCTCCCACAATTTCAGAAAATGAAAACATTTTGAAATTTTCTCCCAAAACTCCTCCGGACACTTCTAAAAGCCGATGTCAAGAAAAAATTTATGCATTGCGCAAGGTCCTCTGGCATAAACTGACGTCCTGTGGGTCTTTGGACGGAGAGAAAGACAAGAAAAAGAACGAAAAAAAAAAACAATGTCTTTTTGATGTTATCAATAAAACAAATCTATAGTCCGAATAGTCGTAGGAAATGGAGGGGTTGAACGGATTTTTTGGGCATTCTAGATTTCAAAAAAGGTATAATAACAAAGAACTAAGAACAAATATCAGTCTGTAGGGAAAATAATGAGCACAGTGTCGTTGCGCCAATCGCGTCGCTGAGGTAAAAAGCAATTTGATTTTCCCGCGACACAATTCATTTTCTCGGCGGCGATGCGATTTTCGATGCGACAGAGTGCTCATTATTTTCCCGACAGACTGATATCTGATACTGATATGTAAGTGTTTTCATAAAGTGCGTAGACTTTTCGTCGCAAATTTTTTTTTCACCGTGCGTTTCATTTTTGCTCTGTGCAGTCGCTGCGACGTAGGCTATTTTTCAACTTATCGTTAGTCGCAGCGCATTTTGAGCCTACGGTAACAATTGCACAGTGAAAAAAGTATAAAAATGCACTGTGCGCCGCGAAAAAGGTCTACGCATTTTCTGGAACGCCTAGTAGGCCTGTCGTAACGTCACTGAAATAATTCTTGGCGTTTGCACTGTGCAGAAAAAGTCAGAGTGCGAGCGGCAACCGAAAAAAGCCTATTGCACAATGCAAAAAGCAAGAAATTGCACAGTGCAAAACGAACTTTTGTTTTTGCACAGTGCAGGTCGCAGAAATCACTCCAGCGACTTTGCGAACGGACTATTAGTAAGTACATAATGCTGACTTCAGAAAGACAATAAGTTATTTTTTCGACCGAAAATTGCTTTTGCCGACCTTCAAACCCAATGACGTGCCTAATTATCCCCCCAAATTTCCCATTCCGCCACCCCCAACTTCAAACTCATTAGCCAAACCACTTGATTTCGCGGAAAAACTCGGGAAAAACTCTTCGAAATCCCTTGAAAAATGTGCGAAAACAGTTTTTGCGCAAGACTTTCCGCTCTTGGAAATGCATTTGCCATGGGCCGAAGCCCCCAAAGGCGCTGCCCTCCGGCTTTTTCGTGGCCCAAAAAAAGAGTTCGTCGGCTCTTTTTAGGGACACTTTGGGGGTAATGGAGGAGGGATTAGAGAGCGTGCGGAGTTGGGAGAACGGGGAGAAAAAGTTGGAAATGGATGGAAACCGGAAGTAAAAAAAAGATGGGGAATTTTAATGATGCTGGAAGTGCCAGTATTTAAATATGGAGAGAATAGATTTTGACGTCTTTAGAAAGCACTTAGACTAAAAGGTATTCAAGTGGGATTTACAGAATTTGGTAAGGTTTGGCTCGAACCAAGAACGAACTGTCCCAAGTGCAGCGCTCAGATTTTCTTTAAATTTTGCACACGCGTTGGGCATGGGTCACATATCAATTCCTGAAAGTTTTAGCTCGCGCTTTGCAAGTGCAGCCGAGATATTCAAAGATCATTGCGGCCAAGAGATTACGCAAAACGAGGAGAGCGGTTTGAGAGAAAACGGCTTAGGTCGTATCTTTGGCGCTTTGGTGCGGAAAAAATGGTTTTTTTCTTCTCCATGGTAAAAATAGACAAGAAAATTAACATGCCAAAATTTACAAAAAAAGCGTCACATTTTTGTCAACTTTCGACCTAAAAATCTCGGTTTTTTCTGCAAAGCGCGAGCTAGGAATCGCGGATATGTTTTATACTATCAGTCTGTCGGGAAAATTATGAGGGGAATGTCGCTGCGCCTATTGTGTCACTGAAGTGAAAAGCAATTTGAGTTTGCCGCAACACAATTTATTTTCTTGGCTCATTATTTTCCCGACATTCTGATAGTTTGTCAGTAAAAGTCGCTGGAGCGATTTTTGGCCACGGACATTGATAAACATGCTCTATAAAAAAATAAGAAAATTTTAAAAAATCTCCCTTGCGCTTTGTGAACTTCCCTTGAACACAAAACATACTGCCACAACGAAACCACTTGACCATTCTCAAAAGAAAACAGTTAAAAGAAAAACTGTGGGGATATCAAATCACCATTAATCGCAGTCGAGTAGCCATCAGCCCTTTGTGTTTGATGTAACGTGAAACCTTTTTCCTGATCGAGTCGCTCGACGTTTTCCTTCCGCAAAGATACGAAAAAATCAGCGCAGCGAATTAGCCATGGATGTAAATTGGATGACAGGTCAGGTGGAGTGTTTCGAATGTGTGACAAGCGCTTTAAAGGTCGTTAAAATCGAATCGTTTATAGCTAAATAATAGGTTGAATATTTAAATGAAAGATTCCTTGAGCACGAATGGCATTGGCGGCAGTGAGGTGGACATGGGATCCAAATTCTTGGCGAGCGTCCGATGAATCGTATTTGGCGACATGACGTTGTTGTTTCGAACGAATTCTTTGAGCATTTTCAAATTCTCCTCGTGGTTGGGCAGCACCGTACATTCGGATGGGGAGATTTCGTCGGGGAGGATCTGAAAATATATTGTAAGCCAAGATTTTGGAACTCTGTAGTTTCTGTCGCGAAATCAAGGTTTTTTTGAGTCCGTGAGTGTCGTTTGAAATTAACCGATACTGGGTGGGCGAAGTGCCGAAAGGAGGCGGGAGACTCCCTGGGTTGCCGTGCTTGGGTACCCCAAGTGTGAAGCTCAGACGTTACTTAAATTTTGCTCTCATACCGGGCATAGACCACATATAAAATCAGTGAAAATTTTACACCGAGGTTTGTAGGCTAAGCCGACATATTCCACATCTTTGTGGCTAAGCATTTTTGCCTACTTTCGCCCTAAAAATCTCTGTCATTTCCGCAAAGCGCGAGCTGGGGGTCCCGCAATTGAATCTCAGAAAAAAATATGTAAAGTTCTCCCATGTTTCATCAAAATCTGAGCGTCGCACTTGGGGGACTTCCTCTGCTATGGCAAATTGAACCTCCGTATAACAAAACCCTTCTATAAAAAATGTTTTTTTTTGATCTCATGCGCCTCATTGTAGATAGGTTTGACTGTATGGCCTAATTTTTGGCAAAAAATAAATTGGCAACACTTTGAAACTGTCCTCATTAAAACTTTTCTTACCTTTATTCCCTTCTCTCTGCACAACTTCAAGACCTGCGGCGACAACGGCTCATAGATGATGTTCTTCTGATAATACGTGCTCTTCAGCAAATAATCGAGCTGTTGTGACTCCGTCCTGCTCAGCAAATGCCCTCTAACTCGGTAAATTCTGCCTCCGGCAGTTCGAATTATATTAATTCCCTTGTGTTTTATCAAATGCTCGCTTTGGTGGATGCCAGTCATCACGACGCCTCGGGCATCTTCCATTTTCGTGCCCACGTAATGGATCTTGCGAATGTAATGAGTGCCAGCCGTATCTATGCACATTGTTGCGCTGGAAAACACATACGAAACTTTTTTTACATCGTTGTTTTTACTTACAGCGCTAGTCCAAAGATAATATAAGTCATGGCGACAGCGAGGTTCATGTTCATTGATGGAACATAATCTCCAAATCCGATGGTAGCCATTGTAATGAAGCAAAAGTAGAAGGCCTCCAAATATGGCCATCCCTCGTATTTTTGAAAAAGCAGCCCGCCTAACGCGGTGTAGCTCAAGATCACAACCAACACCATCAGAATGGGAATCCGCAAGCTTTGAGCGTCGTTCTGCATGGGCTCTTCTTCATCCTCGTCTTCGGAGTTGGGCGGAATCTCATTCAAATTCATGGAGCCGGCCTGATCCGTGGTCATTGATGAGTTCTCAATCGATTTGGAATTATCGGTCGATAAACGACGGCGAATACTGAACCTCGAGATTCGGTGGGAAATTCGGTTGGTTTTGTCGCGGATCTGAAAATAAATCATAGATTAACTTCACTTGTTAGTGATTTTTTTACAGTAGAATGCATTGTATAATACAATCAACTGTCATACAGTGAGATCTGTCTATAGCAAGCAATTTTGAAGGTCTCAAAAGTCAAAACGAGGTAAAAAAAGAACCTTTGTCCAACAATACTATACTTCCATTAATTTTTTAGTTCATTGCGATTCGTTGTACAGAGATTTGATTGAGGCTCTCTCACCTTTGAACAACGTTTCGCAAGAGCCAAAAAAACTGTTCTCAATCTGTCAGGAAAATAATGAGCACTGTGTCGCATTGAAAATCGCATCACCGCCGAGAAATTCTGCTGTAAAATCAAATTGCTTTTCACTTAAGCGTTGCGATCGGCGCATCGTAATTCTACTCATTATTTTCCCGACAACTGATAGTTATGCACTATATATGGAAGTGACTTATTGTAGAGAGTTTCGTTTTGGCCTAGATAGAAACTTGAGCCCTCTGACTACATGTAGTGAGATTGTTCGTTGCGGAAAGGTCTCCTTCTACTTGAGTTTGTTCCACAGAGGTTTCCTTCTTTGTAAGGTTATTTTCTGTGTCATATTTTCCAACCTACCCTGCTAATAAACTTCCTTGAAGAAATGTGCGCAACATTGAGAAACTCGGACAAAAAACGACCAATATCTGCGATAGTGACCAACAACAGTGGGATTCCAATCAACGCAAATATAATGCAGGCTATTCTTCCGGTCTGTGTCACTGGCACAAGATGACCATACCCTTAAAAACACATACCTGTATCAGTATATAAGACGCTTATATTAAAAAGAAAAAAAGGAATCAGCATATTTTACAATTATGTCGAAAAATTCAGGCCTTTCTTACCTATCGTAGTAATTACAGTTGTCGCAAAAAAGATGCTGTTTCGATACGACCACAAGTTGTCGTCTTCAGAAGTCCGATTAAGTAGGTGGACTTCAGTCACAAACTGATTACGATAGGAGCTAAAGATTTCTTGCACGAGCTTCTCAAAATACTCTTCGCCTAAGGCGTTGAAGGTGGTCTTGGAAAACACAGTGCCTGGATTGTGAGTCAGGTTCCATACCGACTCTTGATAACGATGTTTGAGGGTTCTTATTCGACTGATTTCATTTCGTTTTACCTAGAGGAAATGTGATTTTACAGCATTGAAAGATTGAAAAAGTTAACTGCGTAGTTGTTTAACTTACAATGATCTCGTTTGGCCCTTCAATTCGCTGAAATATTGCGGCTCCAAGTAAGAGGTAGACGAGAAGCAATAAGCATAGTCCGATGTGAGGTAGGATTTGCTTGGCTAGCTGAAAATGGGGTTGAAAGATATCTTTTTCGCATAGACAGTTGAAATTATAACGAACCCCGGTAGTACAAAACCTCTATGAAAATTAGTACTAGGCCTTCCGGAAAGTCGCTGAGGTGATTTTTGACGTGAAACTTTTTGCTCACACTTTGCGCCCGCAGCGGAAATTTTTAGCAATCTTTTTGCGAGAGAACATGCAAAATGAGGAGATCGTCTCAAACAAAAACGTTTTTCGCCTGCGTTCCTGGAGTCGCTAGAGTGATTTTGTGGCGTTTGCACTATCTAATGAAAATCAGAGTGCGAGCGGCAGCCGAAAAAAGCCTATTGCACGGTGCAAAAAGCAAGAAATCGCACAGTGCAAAGTAAAATTTTGTTTTTTTTCACAGTGCATGTCGCAGATTTTACTCCGGCAACTTTCCGGAAGGACTAGTAAAAAGAGCAGCGTACCATAGTAAAAAAAACGGTACGAGGATGATTTTATGCAAAATTTGTTTCATGTGTCCAGCCGCGAAAACCTTTATGTGTGGCTAAATTATTTTTGTATCATTAAAATCTGCGTCTTTTTCTGTCCTAGTCCTCTGATTTTCATGTCCAAATCGGTTAATTAAAATTGTGTTTTTGAATGTCAAACAGAGGGACCTCGATTTTAGTATACAGGGTGTACCAAAAAAATGGAAACTTGTTTTTATAGCTATATTTTTTCGGAGAATCAAAATTCAGCAAAAGTAACGGTCATGATTGGTAACATAGAGCATTGTTTATAACATGTTCAATCTGTTTCACAGTGGCTGCCTGTGGTGGCGATATAGAGCTCCAAACGTGGCGTAAAATTTTGGGCTCCGGGCCGCAGCTTTTCAAGGGGGAAATCGGTCCCGTTCTTGGCGCATCATTTACTTTGCGACTCCAAACTTTTGTGGAGCATAGTACCGGTGCTGGCCTTATATTTAAAAAAAATATATAGTCCATTGGATTCAAATTTGGCGAGCAGGCGGCCATTTCGCAGGCGGGATAAAATCGGGAAAATCGGTCCCATTTCGGGTCCTGAGTCGATTTTGCCTTGTGAGCCGGCGCTGAGTCCTGTTGAAACGCCAAGTTTGCATTGCCAAGGTTCTGCTGAGCTCACGGAAGCACGACAAAATAGAAATTACCGCGGCGCTAGTATTTTGTCCCATTTATTCACGAAAAACATGGAATTCTTGCCGCTGGCACAAATTCCGCCTTAAGCAATGACGACCCGGATTTTGGTGGTATTTGACGATGGCCAACAGGCTAGGAGCCTCATTGAAGCAGATTCTATCATTCTGGTGGTTGTGTATCCGCTAAATATTAAACCGCGAACTGAATGCGCTCACGTCTCGGAGCTGCGGCCCACCCCTTTGACGTTCCGACATTTTTGCGCTGTACGCACTTTCTCTCGACTTTAAAGATCTGAGTTTTTTAGAGCTTGTATGACATGAGGTTGAGCTCGCCCTTGACTATTCGGCCGAGCGATCGGGCGCTGATGTCAGTCTCAAGGGCAAGTTTTTCTTGAAAATCGCGGATTTTGCTGTGGGCGATCTTTCGGTTGAAAGAAGCGCTGGCGGTGCGTTTTCTTTCACTTCCTGGGCGCTTACTATCCGTATCAAGCTCCTTGGGCCTCGTGATTACTTTCGACACAACGTTCTTTCTATACCGGGCAAATTAACTGTTCGAACAGCTCCAAAAACAAGTTCAAAATCGAGGTCCCTTTGTTTGAAGTTCAAAAAAGACAGGTCGATTAATCGATATGGGCGTAAAAATCAAAACACTAGGACAGAAAAACACAGAGAATTTTGTAGTAATAAACTTCTTTGGCTACACCTAACCATTTTCACATCAGGACAAATGAAAAAAAGTTTCCATTTTTTTGGTACACCCTGTAATACAGGGTGTTTCAAGAAATTTGGAACAAATGATTTGCTTATATCTTTGTGTTCTTTGCAGCTATCAACAAATTTCTTTTTGCTTCTAAAAATTGACAGCGTGCGTTTTTAGGATCTCAAAAAAAAATTTTTTTCGTCGGCGGAGGGCCCATTTCTCGGCGGAGAAAATTAGGGCCTTTTTTAAAAATTACAGCGTATTACGTGGCGGAAACACCGTTGCAACGGCTGAAATCAAGTTTACGTAATACCTCCATCGATTTTACGTTATGCTTTTTTTGCGTTTTCGATTTTACGCACTTCCGCGGATGCGCGGCGCAGACCTCAGATTTCGGCGGACGTTGTTTTGGGCCTTTGGCTTTTGCAATTCATGTTGGAAAAGGAGGTTTGGATGATTTTTTGTGGTCATCCGATGCACAGATGGCAAAAATTTCGTGCTTTTTATCCCCGGCGGAGGAGTCGGCGGAGGCTTTATCAAAGGGTAAAAACAAAACTCCGCCGATTTGTCCGCCGGACTAAAAAAATCAAAAATCTTTGAAAGACAATGCTGCTCTGATGGATTCTTGTAGCTGAGATTTTTCCCGGACTCGTAAGACAGCTTTGACCCTTTGATAAAGCCAAAAATCACCCCAACCTCATTTCCAACATGAATTGCAACAGCCGAAGGCCCAAAACAACGTCCGCCGAAATTTGAAGTCTCCGCCGCGCCTCCGCGGTGCGCGTAAAATCGAAAACAAAAAAATGCATACCGTAAAATCGACGGAGGTGCAACGTAAACTTGATTTCAGCCGTTGCAACGGCGTTTCCGCCACGTAATACGCTGTGATTTTTAAAAAAGGCCCTAATTTTCTCCGCCGAGAAATGGGCCCTCCGCCGACGAAAAAATTTTTTTTTGAGATTCTAAAAACGCACGCTGTCAATTTTTAGAAGCAAAAAGAAATTCGTTGATAGATGCAAAGAACACAAAGATATAAGCAAATCATTTGTTCCAAATTTCTTGAAACACCCTGTATTTTGGACGCACATTTCGTATTTTTCGCAGCGACAAATCATTTTTTCAGAGTTTGACGAAATTTGGGGCCGCGACACATTCTCAGGAATTTCCCCCCGCTAGTAGTGCAAACTTATCCATCAATATGCAAGAAGAAAAAGTAATTTTCTAACGTCAAACATCGATTTTCTTCGAAAAAGTCTTTTGTCCCAGACTCAAACAATCGGCCGCTCAATTTTCCGTTCAATTAAAAAATTGAACTGAAAGACCAAGTTCGGGTGAACTTTAAAAGTGCCTCTGTTTCAAGCTCAAAGTTCAGCCTGATCTTGAACTTGGGTTCGTGTCGAGTTCAAAGGGATCAGTCTGTCGGGAAAATAATGAGCACATTGTCGCTTAGAAATTAGCATCGCCGCTGGGAAATGAATTGTGCCGCGGTAAAACCAAATTGCTTTTCACTTCAGCGACACGATCGTTTTTGTTCATTATTTTCCCGACAGGCTGATACCAGCTTTGTAGAGGAGCCTGTACTTGACGAGTTCCCGAATTTCAATTAATAAAAAAATAATAAAAAAAAACTTTGTGGAGCCCTGGTGAAACCACAACCGTGCCTTCAGAAAGCTAAATTTTTGATTTCCAAGGTCTTTCTTCAAAGAAAAATCCGGAACTTTCGGCTGCTTTTCATTACACCCCGCAGGCTTATTTATTACTAGTCGCGCCATAAAGTCCTGACACATTTGTCGCGGGTGTCGCGCGGCAAAATTGGAGCGAGCTCGCGCGAAAGTGCATGTCCCAAGCGCAAAAACGGGGAATTGCCGCGACGGGCGCGAAACGAAAGCAAAAATGCACTGTGCAAATTTCTCAGGACTTTGTGTCGGGACTAGTATCAGTCTGTCGGGAAAACAACGGCGGATCGTCGCAGAAAAATGTCTCACCTCGCCTCTATCGCGCACCAAATCTTCAGTTTCGGCAGCCATCGCAAAGCGATGACGGGCGATTCCGAGGCGCGACGATCCCCCGTTATTTTTCCGACAAACTGATAGGCGGGTTAATAAAACTGCCAGTCTTTTTGACTACATTTTTAGGAAACCCTACACATAAGAGACAGCTCTGCAATTTGCATCAGTCTGTCGGGAAAATAATGATCACAATGTCGTTGCGCCATTCGCGTCACTGAATTGAGAAGTTATTTGATTTTGTCGCGACACAATTAGTTTTCTCGACGGCGATGCGATTTTCGATGCAACAGAGTGCTAATTATTTTCCCGACAGATTGATGATAGAAGTAGTCCGTTCGCAAAGTCACTAGAGCGATTTCTGAATGTCAGGGCTCGAGCAATAGCCCAAAAAAGCCCACTGCGCTGTGGAAACAGCAAGAAATTGCATAGTTAAAGTGAATTTTTGTTTTCTCACACTGCATATCGCAGAAATCACTCCAGCGCCTTTGCAAACGGACTTGTAGAAAATATTTATTATTAAATTTGCATATGAATTCACTCACCGACAATACCCGTTCTTTTCGCGTCTGCGGCGGATAGAACATCTCCTCTCCATCCGAAATGACCGAATTTTCCACCAGCCCATCGCTGTATTGTGTGGAAGAAGGTGTACTAAAACTCGGCGAGGACTCCTGGAAAAGTCAACAACATTAAAAAAGTTGCAAACAATCGCTGATCTTAACCTGAAACAAACTCCTTACCACCTGGAAATCTCCGTTCGCGGCGACCGTCTCTTTCCCCATCAAACAATAACAAAGAAGCTATAACAAAAAGTAACCCAAACAATCCTTTATCGAATATAATACTAGTATGATTGTCAAAAAAAAATCCTCTCGATTTTTCTTTTGTTTTTTGTGTTTTGGCCAAATGGCCAGAGGCGAGGATCGAAAAGCCGCCGGGAGGGCTTTTAATATTGGGATAATTGCCAAGAGATAATGGACTTATTCGTTATATAAACGAGATTTATTGTGGATCAAGGAGCTGGAGAGGAGGGGAAGTGGAACGTTGAGGTGGAAGTTTGATGACATTTGATGACATCGCAAATGAGAAATAGTCCAAAAACTAATGTTTTTTTCAATGGCAATCAAGAAATTTTGAGGCTTAAAATACGACTCACTGTTAGTCTCTGAAGAACAAATCGCAAGAGAAAAAATTATTCGCTATAGACAGGTTTTGCTATACGGAGATTTATCAGTTTGTCGGGAAAATAATGAACACTCTGTCGAATCGAAAATCGTATCGCCGCCGAGAAAATAAATTGTGTCGCGGCAAAATCAAATTGCTTTTCACTTGGGCGACTCAATCGGTGCAGCGACATTGTGATCATTATTTTCCCGACAAAATGAAATTCTGGCCCAAAAATTGGCTCTCCGGACCTCGGAAATCGTTCGTTATAGACAGGTTTTGTTGTGCTGTGGGAGGCGGAACGAATGAGTTTCGAGGATTTCCCCACGAAAAACTATCGTCATTTATTCAAATTTAAACTTTTCTACATGGCGTTTCCCTATCAAAGGCCTCTTTTTCACTGAATAAATCACTTGACTCTTGAGCTCTCGGCTTGATGCGTTACTGGGTTGTCGGGTCTTCGACATGTAGAATTTTATTGGACAGAATTTGCAATGCTCTTAAGATGCCATAAAACAAAATTTTAGTCATTTTCACTGGCATTTTTGACAAGGAAAGTACTTTTATGGGGGCTCCTACTTTTTGACGGGACATATTTCAAAAAATCAGAAAAAATGTGCTGATCAAGGGTATATAAATCTTAGCTGCCCATTTTAGGTTTTTAGGGGTGAAAATGCCCAAAAACTGGCTTAATTTCCCTACAAAAGGCGCAGGCATTCGAAACGATAAAAAGCGCAGTCGGTCTCTTCCTTCGGAAGAGAGCGGTGTGGCCGAGTGGCTAGTGCCGTAGTTTGGGAATCAAGAAGGGGGAACGCCGCACGGGTTCGATTTCCCTTTTGGGCCGAATCAACTTTTTTTGAAGTTGACGGTCGGAAAAATGAATTTTTGTGCCAATACTGATTTATTACGTCTTAGAAACTCAATAAACATCATTTTAAGCCAAAATAAAAATTGTAAACCTGTGAAAAATTAAGCGAAAAGGGGTTCATACAGGACTTTAAGTCAACTTCCGATTGAGTTTTCATCCCTAAAAACCTAAAATGGGAAGCTAGGACTTATATATTCTTGATCAGCACATTTTTTCTGATTTTTTGAGATATGTCCCGTCAAAAAGTAGGAGCCCCCATAAGAGTACTTTCCTTGTGAGACAAAATTTGTATATTTTTAAATCCTATTATACCCTTCTTTGGTTACAAAATTCCTTTTTCAATATCTTATAAACACTTCTGAAGCCTTACATCTTAATAAATGTACTCAACAAATACCCAGCTCTCCTATGCTGTGTATGACACACATTCTCTTGTTGCCACTTCTCTGTAACTTGAGTATTTATTTATTCGGTTCTGTCAGAACAATCGGTTATCATGTCTGCGATGATTGATCGGCGCCGACGGAAAGGCTAATTCCAATTCATCGTATTCGGCTCAAGTTGTCATGTGCAGGAATTTGGAAAAAATAACGCAACTTAAATGACCAAAGAACAATGAAAATTTACATTTAGGGAGATGTAAGGCAATTTTAAGGTAAAAATTCAGTTAAAACTCTTTATAGCGAATCATTGTCGCTTTCAAAAAAGATGATATAGAGACCATGTTGTTGACTGTGTAGACTGATCCTTTTTGCCTCAAAAATGACTTTTCACACCTCTGTAAACCTTTGTTATATAGAGATTTTGTTATATTTTTAGCGTATGTTCCGCTGTAGCCAAACAAAAAGTAAAAACAGCTGTTATGTGCGGAAGTTCCATAAATTTCGTACTTTCGGTGCAAGTAATCGTTGGTTTGAGCTATGGGTAAACAAAACGAGCTCTTGATCAGGTATTTTTAGCCCACCTAAGCGGGATTTTAGATCACCTACGAAAATGATGACATAAAATTTCGAAAAGTCGAGAAAATTAATGAAAATTTTAATTGAGAGAAGGGTAAATCGATCGAATTTTTAAGAACATAGGGTTCGCTGGACTTTATAACGTATAGTCCTGTATATATCATCTAGTATTATGAGGCTATTTACCGTATTATCGACCGAATTTTGGTATTTTTTGAAGAAAAATGGGCATTTTAGAGATTTTTTTACTTTTTTTGAGATTTTCTCATTTTTCCATATAATTTTTCGATTAATAATTGCCAGATATTCCATTCCACCACCTCACAAACATCTCCCATTTCTTTTACGAGCTGTTGGATCGTCCTGCACCCGAGACAAACCACGTTTTTATCGCCTTCTCCGCGTCTCCCTCGCTGCATTTTATGGCATAGCGACGAAAAAGCATACGAAAAGCCAAAGAATTCTCGGGCACTCTCCGCCATGTCAGCGCTATTTCCCTTCTTGTTTATTTTACGCGGCGGAAGGAAGCCAAGAAAAGAGCGAGGCTTTTTTCTCTTTTTTCGGATTATATGTTGTGAGCTGCGCTGACCACGAGTCTTAACGGGGTTTATGCGATGCGCTGAATTGATTTTAAAGGTGTTAGAAGGGTGGGAATCAAGATTTTTAGAGGATTTATCGAATTTTTGGGGAATTCCGAAGAGATTTCGATTTTTTCTCATGTTTTTGCCATTTTTTAGGCCAAATATGGCCTTATATAGTTAAACTTAGTATTTTTTTAAACTTTACATTTATCACATCTGCTGTAGAGATAAATTTATCGACCAAAACCCCGACTTTTAGACCGGAAAAATATGAAAAAATCATCTTTTTCCCTAAAAACCCTCTTTTTTTCATATAAACTTTTTTTCAGGTTGTAAACTACTTAATCCATAATATTCCAAAGTAATACCCTCTCCGAAAATGTTCTCATCCCAGGCCACATTCGAATTGCCCCAAACTTTCGCCGAAAAATTCAAGGATCTCGACTTTCTCAACCATATCTCCAAGCCCATCGTAACTGTTGATGACCATCACAAGGAGTGCTCGCTGATCCTTAGAGGCGCCGAGGACGTCACATACGATGTGAGAAGTTCGGTGGAGGCTGCAGCAGCTACGGTTTATCAAATTATTGAGGCTTTGCATCTAAGATACGATGTCTGCTTTCAGGCCTATCGGCTGGGAGAGCATCAGTATGGCAGGTAAGAATTTGATAGTTTTTTGGATAATTTGGCAAGGTATCAGTCTGTCGGGAAAATAATGAGCACTTTGTTGAATAGAAAATGGCATTGCTGCCGAGAAAATAAATTGTGTCGCGGCAAAATCAAGTTGCTTTTCACTTCAGCGACGCGATTGGGTAGCGACATTGTGCTTATTATTTTCCCGACAGACAGATAGCTCAACCTTGACTTTGTTGTGCCTGCTATCATAAACAAATCCCTCGTAATGTGAGCTTTTAATAATGCTTCGCATCCACGAAGCTCTCGGTCACGATAAAATGAAAAAAATGTCTATGCACTTTATGAAAATACCAGTATCAGTCTGTCGGGAAAACAATGAGCACTCTGTCGCGTAGAAAATGACATTGCCGGCGAGAAAATGAACTATGTCGCGGCAAAATCAAGTTTTTTTTCACTTCAGCGACATGATTGGCTCAGCATATTGTGCTCATTATTTTCCCGACAGACTGATACGCCAGTTTAGTTGGTCGTCTTTGTAGATAAAAAATGCATAAAGTGAAGAGGAATAGGTCAACGAAAAAGTGACGCGACAAATGCAAAAAGCTTTAATTCCCGCTTTTCAGTCTCAGCCATTGTATTCCACGACCTTCTTGTTCGAGACAGTGAGGAAAACGCGGAGAGCGGTCAGAGAGAAAAAACTTTTTGGCCATGTTTTTATCAGTCTCGTGCCGAAAAAAAACGATTTTTTGTGGAAAGATTACCGGTGGAAATGGTCATCAAACTTTTCATTCCAAAATTCGCAAAAAACCGTCATTTTTTGCCAATTTTTTTGATCTTAAAATCTCGGTCGTTTCTGCAAAAGGCAAGCTAGAATTTTCGCATGTCTCTTAGAAACAGTTATTCTGAATTTGTCCCAAGTTTCATGAAAATCAGAGCGTTGCATGTGGGGTCTCCCCCTGTTAATTTTAAAGCAACTACAGTCATTTTTCAATTCAATTTTTTTCAGAAATCGCCTGATTTTGATTCGTTTTGCCACGCCATTCCAAAAATCCATCTTCTTCCGCGCTTTCATGACACAACGACACTTTCTGCACAGTCGCTTCTCCCTCTACACCGTGCAAACTCCCGAAGAGCGAGCCAACATCGCCAAGGCCAAGGAGTTGGTGGGGATTCTGAGGAAACTCGGGATCCCCGCCGTGTTTTACGCTCAAAAAATCTGTCGGAATGATGTCGCCGGAAAACCCGAACCCGTCCCCATCACCACTATCAAGCGGGTTTTGTCCCAAAGTTATGGAATTCTGTATGATGAGAAGTTGGAAGTTCAGGTGTCCCCGAAAAGCGACGGCTCCAGCTCGTTGGATTCGATTGTGCATCTGAAATTGGACGAGCCGGAGAGCCTCAGCGACTCGGAATGAGTGTAAATAATCGCTGGAATATATGTTGATTACACTGACAATTTTCTTTTGGATAACTATAATTTTCCATGTAAATAGAAAAAGTAAATAAAAATGTGACAATTGGAGTAAAGATCTTTAATCGATGTTAATTTATCGATTAAAGGTACAGTAATCGGCATAGATACGTAAAACTGATGACTTCTTCGATAGTTTTTTGGGCGAAAATGGTGCCTAAATGCCTTGTGGATACAGTAATATCCAAAAATTTTTGAAAGTATTTTATCAGTCTGTCGGAAAAACAATGAGCACAATGTCGATGCTTCAGTCGCTAAAGAGAAAAGAACTTCGATCTTGCTTCGATACAATTCACTTTCACCGCGGCGATACGATTTTCAATCCGATAGGGCGCTCATTATTTTCCCGACATGCTGAATACTAGTCGTTACAAAAAGTGCGCAGACTTTTCGCCTCAAATTCTTCGGATTGTGCGTTCGACCTTTTGCACTGTGCAATCCGCGAGGTATGTTTTTTTCAACCACCTCGCTGGTATTTAAAGGTTTTTTAGTAAGCATACGAAATGTCAGCACTTTTTTTTCTCTTTTCGCACAGTTCAGCCTGGAAATTGTCGTTTGATCTGTTCGAATTCTTCATCAAAACGGTGGCGACGCACATGGAAGAAGCTTGCATTGCAGCGAAAAAGGGTTTTTGTGCACGGTGCGGGACGCGACAAATGTCCATACACTTTATGAAAATACTAAAAAAATTTAACAAGTAAGACATTTTGATATTCTAAAACAGCAATGTCCCTTTATGTAAGTTATTATATTTCTTTTATTTACATGAAGTTATCCTCTTCCCTAGCAGGGCAAAACCTTCCAACGCTTGTTGGATTTCATGGAATCAGTGCTGTTCGAACTGGAGCAAGTTGTAAATTCCCTCGGCCTGATTAGAAACTTCCCATTCGTCCAAGGTTCTCTCAGTTCGCCAAGAATAAATTCAGGACGAAACCGACGCTCTCGGATTCCGTCAAGGACTAGAAGATCGTAGGATGAAGGGGACATGATGTAGTTGTCCTAAAAATAATCGTTTCTTCTTTTTTTCACTTTTGAAATGTTGTACAGTGAGGGACCTGCTCCATTGGCCAAAAACGTACCATTTTGTATCCGGGAAGCATCAAAAATGTGGCAAAATGCTTCCCTCTCCAACTAAAAAAAACTCCGTTTTGAAGTTTTTTTCGTTTCTTTCTCTCACAAAAAGAGCGGGCGCGCTTTTGAAGTCGGAGTTTTTCACTTGGAGAGGGAGGTATTTTGCTGCATTTTTGATACCTCCCGGATACAAAATGGTACGTTTTTGGCCAATGGATCAGGTCCGCCTCTGTAGAAACATTGTGGACAAGAATTTCCATATTAGGCAGTCAAGATATTCAACAATTTTTGGAGGCTAGAGAGACCACCAAATTCGGAGAGCGGGCAGAGAAAAAAATTTTCTTTTTGTGTATTTCACTCTGTCGGGAAAATAATGAGCATAATTTCGCTGCACCGATCGCGGATGAGGGAAAGATCTGAGGTCTGGATGGCTAGGAAATTGGAATTTTTGGAGTCTAACGCCTTCGAAAATCATTTTATCAGTCTGTCGGGAAAATAATGAGCACTCGCTGAAGTGAAAAAACAATTTCATTTTGTCGCGACACAATTAATTTTGTCGGCGTCAAAACAATTTTGGATGCAACAGAGTGCTCATTATTTTCCCGACAGACTGATAATAAATTTGTTTTTTATTCCAACTTACTCTAAAAACATTTTTGATGACCAAACCAACCACTTCCTCCACAGTCGTATTTTCGTTGATCTCCAAAATGGCATAAGGTTCTAACCCAAGGTTTGAGAGGTTTTTGTCATCAACTTTCACTTTTATTGTTTTCCCATCTTGGCCAAACCGGACATTCGATAAAGTCAGAGCTTTTGCGGAGTCCTAAAAAAATGATGACTTTAATCGAATTGCCAAAAAAGGACTCACAAAATGCCTGAAAATCTGATCCAAGTGCACTCCAAAGTTGTTGCTCTTGTCCCTCGACTGTTTTATGGCCTGATTCGACCAGCAAATCAGTTGCCAGATGTTGGAAAACTCCGAATTTAGAGACTGATGCTCCGCCAAAACCTTGGCCTTATTTAGGTCCGTCTTTTTGTCGGCAGACCCGCAAAGAGGAAGGATCTAAAGGATGATTAAAATTTATTTGAATATCTTCTACCTGTTCCAACAAATCATTGTAGGTTTTGATCTTTGTGAAGCCTTTTACGAGACTCGGGAAGGTACTGCGGATATATTCAATATGGAAGGAGATAATGGGCATCATGAAGCGTTTGCCAAGCTGTCGCTTGAAGTCTTGGCCGTTGAGATCGGGGGCGAATAAACAGAGATTCTCGGGGGCTGGGACGATCTGGAAATTCGGAAAATCATCAATTTTTGATTGTAAATTTCAACAGTAAGGCTTTTTAATTTACGAAGGAATTGTTTGATGTGCGACGCTCAGATTTTCTTTAAGTTTTGCACACATGTCACGTATAGGCGACATATCGATTCCTGAAAATTTTAGCTTGCGCTTTGCAGGGGCAGCTGAGATATTCAAGGATCCTTGCCGCCGAGAGAGTACGCAAAGCACGGAGAGCGGTCAGAAAAATCTTTTGGCCAGATCTTGGCCAGTTTCGCTTGGAAAAGTATAATTTTTTGTGAAAATATTACCCTCGTCGGTAGAAATAGCCATGCAACTTTTTAAGAGGAAAATCGTAAAAAATTAGCATATTTTTACTTTTTTACTTAGCCATTTTCGCCTGAAAAATATTGCCTTTTGGCACAGAGAAGACGATAGATGAAACATTTCATGCCAAAATTCACAAAAAACTGTCAATTTTTTGATGACTTTCGATATAAAAATCTCGGTCGTTTCTGCAAAGCGCAAGCCAGGAGTTTCGCATATGTTTTTAAAAAATTATTCTTACAGGGGAAGTACTCCAAGTCACCTTTTTATGGCGGGGGTTTTTAATGGCAAATATTAATATTCGATCCGTTTGAGGAAGTTATTAGAAGTGAAATTTTCTTATTTACAACGGAAGTACCCCAAGTGCGACGCCCAGATTTTCTTTAAATTTTGCACACACGTCGGGTATGGACTAAGTATCAATTTCTGAAAGTTTTAGCTGGCGCTTTGCGGGCGCCGCCGAGATATCGAACGATTTTTGCCGGAGAGAGCACGCTAAACTTGGAGAGCAGTCAGAGAGAAAAGCGCTTTTTGGCCATAACTTTGGTAATTTCGTGCGGAAAAACTTGATTTTTTATAGAAACATTATCCTTTACGGTTGAAATAGGCATGAAACTTTTCATGCCGAAATTCGGCAAAAAGTTCTAAATTTTCGCCGACTTTCGATCTAAAAATCTCGGTTGTTTCTGCAAAGCGCGACATAGGATTCTCGCATATATCTTAGAAAAAATTATTCTAAATGTGTGCCAAGTTTCATAAAAATCTGAGCGTCGCACTTGGAGTACTTCCCCTGTTAGTTTGAGCTAAGTTTCATCAAAATCCGAGAGTCGCACTTGGACCACTTTACATGATAATATTGTATATGGAAACCTGACTGTTTAGAAGAACTTACAATCAACATTGTCACATTGTTATGCTCAAATACGTACTCGTCCCACAATCGATACGAAGCGGGGTCGAATTCTAATCCAATCCCTCGAAAAAGGGCGTTGACTGACTCGTTGAATCTTTCATAGAACTGAATCTCATCAACGGTGGGAATGCGACCAATTTCCGGCTTCTGAAGTCGCAAGAGGTCCCATTCTCGTTTGGTTAGGAAAGGGTTTTCTCGAAGGTAAAAGTTGGGGAGAATTGAGGGATTCCTTTCGGATGATAGGACGTACATTTGACGACGACTAGAGACGAACTGAAAAGATATAAACTTGAAATTTTCATAAGAAATTTTTTTTATTTTTACTGTGCCATGGATCAAAAGATAATTTTCAAATATTTTAGTTACTGCTTTCCTGAGATTGAAAGGATATTCAGCGATCCTTGGAGGCCAGTGAGAGACAACTTCGACCAAAAAATAAGTTTGTTAGTTGCGGAATGGTAGCCGGGCTTGGCGCTTGACGTATTTTTCTAGCCTCTTGGCTCCCTTTGCAAAAAAATTTTGCCTTAAAACATGATTTTTGAATTTCTGGCCGTGCCACGTGAGACTTTGGGAACCCCGGAGCCGGCCTTTTTGGGCTTTGGCACATGTTGAAAAAGGCCGGGGTGGGCCAATCTAGAAAAAAACAGAGCCACCAGCACGGAGGTGGCAGTTCAGCGCACTAGCAATGGACAATAAAATTCGACCGAAAAATCTAACAGGAGAAGTACTCCAAGTGCGACGCTCCGATTTTGATGAAACTTGGCACAAATTTAGAATAATTTTTTCTAAGATATATGCGAGAATCCTAGCTCGCGCTTTGCAGAAACAACCGAGATTTTCAGATCGAAAGTCGGCCAAAATTTAGGACTTTTTGCCGAATTTTGGCACGAAAAGTTTTGTGCATATTTCAACCGTAAAGGATAATGATTCTGCAAAAAATCAAATTTTTCCGCACGAAACTGCCAAAGTTATGGCCAAAAAGCGTTTGTCTCTCTGAGCGTTCTCCACGTTTAGCGTGCTCTCTCGGCGGCAAGAATCGTTCGATATCTCGGCGGCGCCCGCAAAGCGCGACCTAAAACTTTCAGGAATTAATATTTGGTCCATACCCGACGTATGTGCAAAATTTAAAGAAAATCTGAGCGTCGCACTTGGAGTACTTCCCTTGTAAGTTGTTTTAGCTATCCGCGACTAAAAAATTTAGAATGTGAATTAGAAGATTTTATTTTAATTTTTCACATTTTCAAAATTTGACCCTTACCTGCAGCAACGCAACGTACAGCCCAGGCTTTAGCGTTCTTTCCGACTTGTGTTTGTCCCTGATAATTTCCACTACTTTTCTACAAAGCTCACTGCCGAGATTGGAATTCTCTTTGAGATCTTGAAGAATGCTTGGAAAGGGTTTGAAATTCATCGACCATGGTATCTCTCCGTGATAACCATCACATATACAGACGAAGAATTTAGCGTTGGAATGCTCTGGAAACTGTTTTGGAGATTAGAAGTTGTTAAAACACCAATGGGAAGTGGGCCAAATGCGACGCTCAGATTTTCTTCAAATTTTGCATGGATGTTACATATAGGCGATGTATCAAATCTTGAAAATCTTAGCTTGTGCTTTGCAGGCGCAGCCGAGATATTCAACAATATTTGCAGCCGAGAGAGTACGCTAAACGCGGAGACGGGTCAAAGAGAAAAAAAAACAATTTTTGGCCATATCTTTGCCAGTTTCGTGCGGAAAAAATTATTTTTTTGTGGAAATATTACACTCTACAGTAGAAATAGCTATGAAGCGTTTCATGTCAAAAATTTGCCAAAAAAATTCGGATTTTTTCACAACTTTCGGTCTAAAAATCTCGGCTGTTTCTGCAAAGCGCGGGCTAAAAGTCTCGCATATCTCTTAGAAAACATTATTCTAAGTCTATGCCAAGTTTTATCAAGATCTGAACGTCGCACTTGTAGTGTAATATAACCTTCCACTGACCACCAAAAAAAGATGATTGTAAACAAAGAAACCAAAGAAAATCTTACTTCCAAGTAACTGTAATGGAAGTAGTCCACATGATTCAGCTCAAAATCATCCAACATATTCGCTATTGTCGATAAAGTCTTCTGTTTTAGTCGATTCAGCGAATTCTTGGAGAGTTTCTTTTGCAAAATGTGGCAAGCATTGATTGAGCGGCTTTGTTGAGGCAGCATTACCAGCCATCGAAGGAGATCGTTGAATTCGTCAATAGAAATGATCAGATCACTGTCGTCAACGGTGTAAATCGGGGGTACCCGGTCGTTGGTGAGGAGTAGCCGAGGGCCATTCATAATTAAGGGGATCAAGTGGACACCTCTGAAATACAAAATACATGTCTGTTATGTATACTCCGCGTACAATGTTTTGACCCCCCTCCTAACTCGGTCCAAAGTGTACTAATTCGGACCAAATTTGGTATGTAGTATACTCACAGGCTAGTAACAAAAAACAACATAGCAGGACATACCTTATAGTTGAATTTCAAAATCTATGGGCAATTTTCAAAAATCACCTTAAAAAATCGAGGAAAAAGTTTTGACCCCCCTTAAAAAAAAGTTAGATATCGCCAGCGGATGCCACGCAAACCTATTGTAATCGACGTCCCATACCTGAATACAGGTTAATAAATGGTTTTCCGTTGAATGCTTCGTTGCATTTGAGGATTCAACGCGTTAAACCGTTTTTGATGTAGAGGTGCCCAAAATGGTAAAAATCTTCCCCTAGCGTTTTCCAAGAGCTCTAAATTGGGTTTATATTTTGTGATTTAGACCTGTATTTACCTTCTCCTTTCGATAAAAGTGCATGGTGGACTGGTGGTGTAGATTCGGCGGATACCCTCTTGTCATGTCCAGCCTTGGTGAGCCATTTGCTCTTTGACTAAAGGTCGAGATGTGGTCGTTAGGTCCTCAATGTAATCCTGAGACTCATATTTACTCTCAGTAATGTAAAATGTTTTGATTTGACACGTTTTGTAATGGGTTTCATTCACCTTAATCTTAAGTTTGCCGTTACTGTAGATGACCCCGAGTACGATAACATCCCCACCTCCCATTTGGCGTTTCATACGTCTCAAATGAGTATGGTGGGTGCTGTAGCGTCTTAAATTACCTGGTCCATCAAATGAAAGCCGTTTTTGGTGGCTAAAAATCCATTTGAAAAACGCTGGTTTTTCGTTAAGGCGCAGATCGGCGAAGTTGCGCCTGCAAACCATACGAGACCGTGTCAGCGGGAGTTTATTCTTTGTTTGAAAGTAAATAGGAGTCTCAGGATTACATTGAGGACCTAACGACCACATCTCGACCTTGAGTCAAAGAGCAAATGGCTCACCAAGGCTGGGCATGACAAGAGGGTATCTGCCGAATCTACACTCCCAGGCCACCATGCACTTTTATCGAAAGGAGAAGGTAAATACAGGTCTAAATCACAAAATATAAACCCAATTTAGAGCTCTTGGAAAACGCTAGGGGAAGATTTTTACCATTTTGGGCACCTCTACATCAAAAACGGTTTAACGCGTTGAATCCTCAAATGCAACGAAGCATTCAACGGAAAACCATTTATTAACCTGTATTCAGGTATGGGACGTCGATTACAATAGGTTTGCGTGGCATCCGCTGGCGATATCTAACTTTTTTTTAAGGGGGGTCAAAACTTTTTCCTCGATTTTTTAAGGTGATTTTTGAAAATTGCCCATAGATTTTGAAATTCAACTATAAGGTTTGTCCTGCTATGTTCTTTTTTGTTACTAGCCTGTGAGTATACTACATGCCAAATTTGGTCCGAATTAGTACACTTTGGACCGAGTTAGGAGGGGGGTCAAAACATTGTACGCGGAGTATATATCATTATGAGTCTGTCGGGGAAATAATGAGCCTAATGTCGCTGAGCCGACGCAATTTTCTCGGTGGCGATGCGATTTTCGGTTGAGCCTGAACTCTCCCCCTTTTCTGAACTTTCCCTCAATCTGAACTCTCCCCCTTTTTCAACTCTCCCCCAAACAAGGCTGAACTCTCCTTCTTTTTTGATTTTCGCCAAAAAATCTGAACTCCCCCCCTTTTTGAACACTCCCCCATTTTGAAAATTGAAAAAACGAGGTGTGACATGTTATACGATGAAAAACTTTTTCAAATTGAAAAGAATAAGGTGTGACATCTTATACGATGAAAAAAATATTCAAACTGAAAAAACGAGGCGTGACATGTTATACGATGAAATTTTTTTTCAAATTGAGAAAAATGAGGTGTGACATCTTATATGATGAAAATTTTTTTCAAATTGAGAAAAATGAGGTGTGACATCTTATACGATGAAGAAATTTCTCATTTTTCTCAATTATAAAAAAATTTTCATCGTATAACTTGCCACACCTCGTTTTTTCGGTTTGAAAAAAATTTTCATCGTATAAGATGTCACACCTCATTTTTTCAATTTTCAAAATGAGGGGGAGTGTTCAAAAAGGGGGAGGGTTCATTCAAGGGGGAGTGTTCAAAAAGGGGGAGAGTTCTGCCGCAACGGCGATTTTCGATGCGAAAGAGCGCTTATTATTTTTCCGACAGACTGACGGGTACTTCAACTTGTTTTGAAAAAATGAATTGTGTCGCGACAAAATCAAAAAATTTTTTTTTTCACAGCGATGCGATTGGCGCAGCGACCGGTCGCTCAGTATTCTCCCGGCAAATTGATGGTATTTTCATAAAGTCCATGGACATCGTATTTTTTACCACACAGTTTCGATGACGTCGTAAAATATTTGGTACTTACTTATTAAATTTTTGCCCTCCAATTTTCTTCGACAATTCCACGGCGAACTTTGAGACTGCGCTCCATTTTGACTTCCCACTGTTTTCGCTTTGGGATGGGACTAGAAAAGTTCATTTTTTTTTAAAGGTCGTTGTACAGAAATATCACTGTAAAATGCTGTAAATACCCACCAAAACAAAGGATCCGGTTGATATGTTCAGTAATCAAGATATTATGCTGTTCCAGCAAGTTCTCAGCCCTTCGCACCACCGAGGTATACGTTTTTTCATCGTTCCAGGCTGCAAAATGCGGTCAAAAATTTTTGCAAAAAAGAAAAATACGAAAAAAATACATTTCAACGCGCTTAAAATGCTATAATTTACCTTGAACAACATATTTCACATCATTGACCAGCCGATTAGGTCCAAATCGAATGGCGGTGCCCGAGGCAATCCGAAAATAATATCCGGTCTGCGGCTCTAGCGGTCCGATGACAATCTCTCGAGCGTTTATCGCCGAGCATTCCCTCTCTCCCAGAATAGGGGTGAATCGGCTGCTCGTGCTCCATTCAACTGAAAATTGAGTATTTTACAGGGAAAGTACCACAAATGCGATGCTCAGATTTTGATGAAACTTGGCACAAATTTAGACTTATTTTTTAGAAAAGATATGCGAAACTCCTAGCTACCGCTTTGCATAAACGACCGAGATTTTTAGATCGAAAATTAGAAAAAATGTGGCTTTATTTGCGAATTTTCTCATGAAAAAGTTGCATGCATATTTCTACTGCTTATAGTAATATCTCCACAAAAAATCAATTTTTTCCGCACGAAACTGGCAAAGATATGGCCAAAAAGTGTTTTTCTCTCTGACCGCTCTCCGCGTTTAGCGTACTCTCTCGGCCGCAAAGCTCGCTGTATATCCCGGCTGCGCCTTCAAAGTGCGAACTAAAACTTTGAGGAATTTATGCTTAGTCTATGCCCAGAGTGTGCGGAAAATTTAAAGAAAATCTGAGCTTCGCACTCGGATAACTTCCGCTGTAAAATGGATTGTAAAAATTTGTAAAAAAACAGTCTATCTTTTAGCGAATTTTGGCATGAAAAGTTTCATACCTGTTTCTACCGTAGAATGTAATGTTACAATTAAATTTTATGGCCAAAAAAGTGTTTTCTTTGTGACCGCTCTCCGCGTTTCGCATAGATCGTTCACTATCTCGACTAAAATTTTTCAGGAATTGATATGCAGCCTATGCCCGAATTGTATGCAAAATTTAAAGAAAATCTGAGCGTTGCACTTTGGGTACTTCCCTTGTGAGCTAACTTAATATTTTCTTATGTAAAAAAGGTACTGAATACTTTATACTCGCCGTATTTTACCTCGATATCGTTTGATGACGCCGGCGGCCACTCCAATTGGCGGGACAAAGCACAATTTGAGCGATTGGCGCGTAACCGGCTGAATGGTCACCTTCGACGGTGGCTCTAGGCGTTCTACATCGCTCTGGGAACTGTACATTGCAGATGTGGATCTAATATGAACTTTATTTGGTAGCTTACGTCATCATCTGTAAAAAAATAAGAAAAATAATTTTTTCTTTATACTTGGGGATCAGTCATGGCCCGGGGGAAAAATTGTGGCCATAAGGTATCGGCTGGCCATGTGTTTGTCATATAATGAAATATTTAGTTGAGAATGACCGTTAAATCAACAGAGCCGAGTTTTACAGTCATCCAACCCCCTAAAACAACATAAATCCCCATCAATCCCCCCAAAGACAAACAGTTTATCCGTCATCAATGTTCGCTGCGCAAACGCAAAGACCTTGGGCTCGCCATTACCATTCGTCGGCTTTTTGGGATTTCAATTCGAATGCGAAGGGGGGATCGCGGCTTGCATTCCCATCAAAACACATCGTCTCCAACGGCCTCCAAAGGAAGCGGGAGAAAAGGACGTTGATGTGCGCGAAACCCGACAAACAATGCCCAGTTACCCTGCGGTTTTTCCTCTCGCTCTCCCTTCTCATCTCTTCCATTGATGACCCGAGTCATGAGGTTAGCGATGATTGATGGCTTGACCGTGTCGAGAAAGACGGAAGAATTTTTGGGAGGATTTTTGGAAAGGTATTCATGACAGGAAGGCAAAGATTTTGTAGATCTTCAAAAATTTTTCAGCAAGCATTGAGTACGACAATGAAGAAATTAAGGTGAAATTTCTGTAAAACAAATCTCCATTGTTATACATCGAGGCCTGTCTATATAACAAAGAATTTTAAGTATTCTAAGGGTCACTTTTACAAGGGAAGTGCTTCAAGTGCGATGCTCAGATTTTCTTTAAATTTTGCACATATTTTGTTCATAGGGAACGTAAAAGCGCCTGAAAATTTTAGCTCACGCTTTGCAGGGGCAGCCGAAATATTTAATGATTTTTTTCGCCGAGAGAGTACGCAAAATGCGGAGAGCGGTCATAAAAAAACACTCCTTGGATGTATCTTTGCCAGTTTCGTGAGGAAAAAAATTATTTTTTGTAGAAAGATTAACCTCTACTGTAGAAATTGGAATAGAATTGTTATGCCAAAACTCCCAAATAATCCTATAATTTTAAAAAATTTCGACCCAAAAATCAAATCTCCCATTAAAATCCGAGCGTCGCCCAACACATGCAGCGATTTTTCTAAGCGCAGTTCTCCGAATTCTCACTATGAATTAGCATAAAAAGTCCTTTACTCATCGCCATGAATCACAAAGATGACCCAAATAAAGAGGAGAGGCCCGCAAAAAGAAGAAACAATTGGAAAGATAAAAATTGTATGAAAAGAAACTTCAAAAAGTTGCCATAGACAATATTTTTTAAGAGAAAGTTCCGATTACCACCTTGCACTCGGCGGCGTTGGGATTTTCTCTTCGACAGAACGCTCATTATTTTCCCGACAGACTGATATTGCACCAGCTAAAAGACAAAAACCTCAAATCACCAAATGAATTCCTCCGCTTTTTCCTTGCCTATTCGATCAAATGACCCCAAAAAATCGGCTGGCCATCGCAATAAATTTATAAATTTTATTGGTTTCCATAATTAATCAAACCTGTCTTTCCTTCCATTTCTAGTTTTGACAAGTTGTGAACATTTTTTTTAAAGTTGTTTTACAGGAATTCCAAAAAAAAATTTTGCAAAAATTGTCCTAATTATCTTGCGTTTTTCCTCACAGACGGAAAGTAAAAATAATTAAAACATTTTTTTTTTATTTTTGAGGTTAGTAAAAAATGCTTCACTGTATGAAAAGTGAGTTAGTATTAACAGCTTTGAATTTTTTTTTATTTACTGGGAAGTACTCCAAGTGCGACGCTCGGATTTTCTTTATATTTTGTGCACATTTTATGCATAAGCCAGGTATCAATTTCTGAAAGTTTTAGCTCATGCTTTGCGGGGCATCTGAGAATTTCAACGATCTTTGCGGCCGAGAGAGCACGCAAAGCGCGGAGAGTGGTCAGAGAGAACATATTCTTTGGTCTTATCTTTGCCAGTTTCGTGCGGAAAAATTGATTTTTTGTGGAAACATTACCCTTTACGGTAGCAATAGACATGAAAGTTTTCATGCGAAAATTCGCAAAAAATGTGTCATACTTTTGCCAACTTTCGATCTGAAAATCTCGGTCGTTTTTGAAAATTGCAAGTTAGAAGTCTCACCTAGGGTCTAGAACGAGTTATTCGAAATTTGAGCCATGTTTCATCAAAACAAAATCCGTGCTTCGTAACTTGGCGTACTTCCCATGTAGGGATTGACAGCGCAGGATTGAGCACAATGTCTGATGTACCCTACGTGGAACTTCCTAATGGAGTGAGGCAGCCGCAGATCGGCCTGGGAACTTTTAAGGTGAGTAGAGAGCGGAGGAATTCTGGCTTTTGAAAACAAATACTGATATTTTTTGGACAAAGTTGGAAAAAAATCCAATTTTTTGCTCATAAAAAGTTTCATGTCTATGGAACTTTTAATGAATGTAATTTTTACACAAAAAATCATTTTTACTGTGTGAAACAGGCAAATATACGGTTGAAAGGTTTTTTTCAAAAATTAAAAGTTAAGTCTTGCTGCAAGTTACTGATGCACCATCCTTCCAGAACACCAACAAATCAACCCTGAAAAATGCCGTGTTCACAGCTCTGGACGCGGGCTATCGCCTCATTGATACCGCAACCATGTACGAAAACGAAGAGCAACTTGGCGAGGTTCTGGCGGATTACTTTGAAACGAAAAAGTTGAAGCGAAGTCAAGTCTTTCTGGTCTCGAAGCTTCTGTACTACCATATGACCCCCGAATGGGCTGAGAAGATGATCAAGGAGACATTGAAAAAGCTGAAAACCGCTTATTTGGATTTGTATTCGATTCATCTGCCGTTTAGCCTGAAGGCAGGTATTGGTATTTTCATAAAGTGCATGGCATTTTTTCGCTTTCGCACAGTGCATTTTGAACTTTTCCGAAGCATGTCGTTGACGCAAAAGTGCAGTATAGGGCTTCTTCGTGCACAGTGCGCGCGTTGACTAACGCAATTGGCGCAGCGACATTGTGTTTATTATTTTCCCGACAGACTGAATTAATAAGCATTTTTTTCACAAAAGACAAAAAACTATTGCAGTGCGACAAAAGTGGTCATCTTCTTCTCGACAATAAAAAACCAGTCATCGATAACACCCCGATCCTTGAGACCTGGCGCGTTCTCGAAAAGTTCTACAGAACCGGAGTGTTCAGGGCAATTGGCGTCGCCAACTTCAACAAATCCCAACTGGAACACCTCATATCGGAAGCAGCCGTCAAGCCGCACAACCTCCAAGTGGAATCTCATATTTTCTGGCCGAACCGAGAGATCATCGAATACGCCAAGCATGAAGGGCTTACTGTAACGACCTACGGTAATCTGGGATCGCAGGTGCGGTCGGATATAAAGCTGTTGGAGGTGGATATTGTGAAGAGGTTGGCCGAGAAGTACGGCAAGACACCGGCCCAAATACTGTTGAGGCACCAACTGCACCTGGGTTACTGTATTATTCCCAAAAGTCAAAATCCAACCAGAATCAAGGGGAATTTCAATATCTTGGACTTTGAAATCAGCCCGAGTGATTTGAAAAAGCTGGAGAAGAGAAAGGAACGAATCAAGTTCTATCGGTTTGAAGAGTAAGGAAAAAATGTGTTTGCAAAACCTCATTTCCTAGCACTTTTTATGAACTACAATGACTGATTTAAAATTTCAGCGGAATCGGGCATCCAGAATATCCATGGCCATTGATCCGATTGTAAAACTGCTGTTTTGTTGTATCCTCAATGTGAAAACCACCGGTAATAAAAATAAACTTTTTTTGTGCAAAGTGAGAGCATTTTTTGCTAAATGTCGACCACCAAAAAACCTCGAAAAAATAAGTGTCCGATCCATTTCAAAAGAGTATCGAACGCCGTACTCTAAAAAAAGTCATTGTCGAAATGAATTTGGCGCAGGGTACGGTGGTCTCTTTTCAAATAGCTGGCTTATACGTCTCCCAACGCATTTGGGGATCCAGTCACACTGGAAACAGCAGACAGCTACTGCATGCTGCTCTCGTTTCTGGGTTGTGGCACATACACCCTATATCTCTCCAATAGAGTTCTGAAGGCAATCGACTATTTCTTTGACCCTAACGTGGTCGACTATGTCATTAACGCATTTTCATTGGTAAGTACAGCAAATGTCAGAGCGTCATTTTTTTGTTTTCGGGTGCGACTTTCTCAAAATTAACAGCAATTTTCAAAACGCCCCGTGGGGACCTACAGTGGCAGACCTGATATATTCTGAAAGGATATTGGTTACTCTATACACAGATTTTTTGTTCTTTTTGCCGTATATCTTCTGGAATGCCGTATATTAAAAAAAGCGTAACTGCCACTTTTTATTTTTTCATTCTTTTGGACAGCGGTCGGCGGCGATAAAAGTTCGGAACGCTGTGCGTTGTGACATTTCATCTAATTTCAATTGAGTGGATGAGTTGTCAAAATGAGGCGAGAGAATCACAAGGTTGCCCTTTTGGGGTTTCTGTCACCAACCCAAGTTTGCATTGCACGCATTGCATTAAACGTAAAACCTGCATACGTATTGCATGAATTCGTCCGGCAAAGCAGGAAAATATTTTTGCCGAAAAAATACGGCGTCCTTTTGGTGTAAAAATAACGCGCTTCCTGTGATCACTTTTGAATGCGAGGCTTGGATTTTGCTATTTTCGCGTTGAAAAAAAAACTCGTTGAGTGAAAAATTTAAAGAGAATCTGAGATTCCCTTGTAGGCCAACTGTTTGGCAAAGATGGAGCGTGGTATCCTATGGAGAAGATTTTTTTTGGAAAGTGGTAAGTTTTGAGCCCTATGTCTACAAAGATCTAATACTTTCAGGGCCGTGTAATGGGAGTGCTAAATTTTTTTATGGTTTATACTGAAATGACGTTCCTGAAGATTCTTGTAATTCTTGCGGACCTTTTCCTTCACAAATGCATCGTCATCACAATTGCGGTTATTATAATTGTAAGTCGGTTGCCAAGACCTTTATAAGACATGCATTGTTCATTGTACGGTAGTTTATTGTGCAGAAGCTCAACTGTAATCGTTATATGCCGTTATTTCAGCTAGCAACATACGTTGTCAATTTCTTCATATTTTTTATCTTCCTCAACACTTACCTGAAGCGAGGAAAAGAAGAGCTGACTACCCTAGATTACGTTTTTCCGATATTCCTTGAATACACCGACAAAGTATTCCCCAGACATGAACGTCACATACATCGAGTATCAACAATCTTTTTCTTATTCATAGTTTTAGTCAGTCTTGTCAGCGGTATTGTAGCTTTAATTCTCTTTTTTCAACTTTACGGAATCTTCGGACTTAGTATATAAAGCAAGTTGAATGGAAACTTGGGTTTTCAGCGTAGTGGAAGACAAAAGCTACGGCATTATCCGGGAAATATTTAGCCCAAAAGCGCTCAAGCAATGAAAAATTCTTGGTATTCTGTTTTAGTTCAAAGAAATTTTTTGCTCCAAAGATAACCTGATTACACATGGAAGATGGGGTAGAATGGGTTTATTGCACTGAAGCTGGACTCCTGCTTAACCTCACCATATATGATTCATATACAGGGTGGGGCATCTTTGTGGCCCGATTTGAATTGGCTATAACTTCTTTAGTTTTTGGCCAAATTTTAAAATTCTTTTTTCCCTGAATCGTCAGCCAACCCCATTTTGTTTGATACCAAATATGTTATACATAGGTGAGTGTCATCTACAGTTATTGCATTTATTCTTGAAGTTCATTTTTTTGGTCGTTTTTCGGTTGTTTTTTCGGTCTTTCCCGGTGTGTCCAGAAATGGAGTACGGTCCGGAAGAAAAATACGGTGGAATTTACCCTCCCGAAAATCGACGATGAGAATAAGAACAAAAAGTGAAGATCAACCTCCAGAGTTCGTCGAATGGTCCATGGTGAAGGCATTCCCTCGGTTCTGGCCAAACTTCGTGTACTCATATGCGGATTTTCTCGGAATTTTGACAAAACTTCTTCAATTTTCAATTCCGTTCATACCCATCTTTCCTGCTTTTTTTGTTTCCTGTTAACGCTGGCAGTCTCAAGAAACTTATTCCACGAACGTCGAATTGTTTTGCGATCTGGAGGTTAGGCATTACGTCCGTATTTCATGCGGTATCCCCATTTGAAAATTTAACGCCGAACCGTACTTTCTATACCAAACCACAGACCAAGCCTTTTCTTCCACACCGGACTCCATTTTCGGACACACCGGGAAAGGCCGAAAAAACAACCGAAAAACGACCAAAAAAATGAACTTCAAGAATAAATGCAATAACTGTAGATGACACTCACCTATGTATAACATATTTGGTATCAAACAAAATGGGGTTGGCTGACGATTCAGGGAAAAAAAAGAATTTTAAAATTTGGCCAAAGACTAAAGAAGTTATAGTCAATTCAAATCGGGCCACAAAGATGCCCCACCCTGTAAAAAATTGGTCGTGTAGGATTAGTTATGATCAAGTGTAATATCAAATACCACGTTTTTTTACATTTTAAATACGAAACATCGGTGCAAAGTCTATTGAAATTGGCTAAGATGCCTCCGGGCATGTTTTGTTTTCTTGTTTTCCTCATTTCGTAATAAATAATTTTGTAACACTTCGCAAAATTTCCAATAATCTCGTGACATTTCGCCTTTCATTTATTTTTAGAAAATGCCAGAATATTTTTCTTATAATCCAATACAACACAATTATTGTACAGTATCATCTTCCCGACAGCCCAATCCACATTGTCGGGATTCGGCTCAATCCAGTTCGCCTGGATCACGTAGTCGTCCTCTCTTGCAAAAAGGATGTCCGACATTTCCATATCGAACCTCAAACTCGGCGTGATTTGAAAATAGTTCTGGAACGCCCTTGCAGCCATTGTATCGTTGATTTTGTAGACGTTGAACTCGCCGGAGTACTTTGACGTGTACGCGAGAACACCGCGCTCCAGAAAGTCGTCCATCACGCGCTTTGGCATGTGGATGACGTCACTGGTTGTTAGGATTACCTAGCCATGGAAGTAGTGTAAGTGCGATGCTCATATTTTGATGAAACGTACAAATTTTTTCTAACAATAAGACATTTGCCAGACGCGCTTTGCAGAAACGACCGAGATTTTTAGATCCAAAGTTGGAAAAAACGTGACGCTTTTTTGCAGTAGCATTAAATGTCTATTTCTACCGACAAAGCCGCACTTTTGACAAAGCGTAATAAACGAAGAATGATATACTGGTCGACAGAATTTTCTGTCCACCTCGTATCTCGGGAACCGCTGGGCCTAGAACCGTGAAATTCGGCATGCAAACATTCTGGGACCCTCTAACACAATACGCCAAAAAACATCTCAGTTGATTCACTTTTTTTACGGAACCGGTTCCAGAGATACGAGATGAGAAGAAAATTTAGCTGCCCACTCAAGAAATTGCACTTGGCATACTCCTCAATCCCGCTACAAATTTAAACTCACTCTGAATCCACGGCTGGACTGATAGTCGAGGAATCCAGCCTCTAGCCCGTCAAACATCCATTCCCGATCTCCAATTGCCTCCACACTTTCCCAATTTGCTGTACAATGTTTGTCATTGTAATCACCAAAGGAAAAGTAAAAATTTTGGGCAATGCCTAATCTCTCCTTTGGCATGGAAATGGTGACCGCGGGATACGGAATCTCTCTGTTCTCGTACAAGATCTGCACAATGTTCTTGATTTTTGGTTGTCTTCCAAGACCTATTGTACCGCTGAAAAGGGGTGACAAAAAACGAGATTTTCTTTGCAATGAGGACAGTTTTAACTCACATTTCTCGCATGCCTCGGGTGTCGAAGAACGCGGCGACAGGGATCTTCAGCACCAATGGTTGTGTTCCAAGGCGAATAAAGCGCCTAAAAATGGATAAATAGAATGGTACCAAAACGCCCCGCGCAACCTGACCATTCGCCGTCCGTGCCCGGCAAGGGCTGCACACTTATCACATCCTCAGCCCACACCCCAACATCGTCGCTATTCGGTGAGGACCAAAACTGTGAAAATATCCTCAGCTTGTTATAATAGAATTGTGATTGTAACCGGCTGTATCGCACTCCGCATCGGTTGGAGGAACGTTGACACAACACGTCGGAGCACATAGGGCCTTGCAAATCCGCGCTACATGAGAGCTTCGCAATGAAGTCGGAGGACTTACGGACATTGCAAAATTTTTTACAGGTGCTGTATCGCCGCGTACAATGAGCATCAGGAACCGTGATTTCTGGAGTTGTTGCGTCAAAGATAAATGATCGCTGGGACTTAGTTGTGCCAATCAGAAATGAGTTTCCTGGAAAATGAAGTGCTTTCATCGAGCACTGGAAGCGGTAAACGTCGAGGATTTGTGCGGCGCTCAGACTTTGATGAAACTTGGCAAAATTTTAGAATAATGGCTTTCAGGGCATATGCGAGACTCCTAGATCGGGCTTTGCAGGAACGACCGAGATTTTTAAGGCAAAAATTAGCAAAAATGTGATGGTTTTTCTACCGTAGAGGGTATTGTGTCCTCAACTGAAAAGCCCGGGCTAAAGCTTTTAGGAATAAGCATGTGGCCTATGCCCAAAGAGTGTCCAAGATTTTAAGAAAATCTTAGTGCCGAACTTGGGGTACCTCCCCTGTTACTATTTGGCCTTGCCGCTCGGCTCCTTACCATTTCGACCTCCATAAGAGCTCGAGAGAACTATCCAAAATGGCTTTCCATATTCTGGTCTGCCGCTAACAGAGAATGTTGACAATAATGCAATTCCCACAAGTTGTAGAAAAAGGCTATATTGGTATTGCATTTGTAGAGAATACAGGGCAAAGTTTCCAAGTTTTTTTTAATGTTTTCCCGAAAAGCAAAAACACATCTGACAAAGGAAAATAAACGCGGATTACAAACTTGTAAGGAGAGGCTCAAAGCGGCTTAATTTTTTAACCGCAACAGATGGGGTCAGTAATCAGAAGACGTTCTAAAAAGTTTTGAAATTGACAGGGGAAGTACTCCAAATGCAACTGTCCAATTCCACCTTTGGATAGAAAAGAAATAACGAGATGGCTTGTGCTCTTGCGATTGTCTCTTCAATCGACTACTTCCAACACCTTCTACCTGAAAATACTTGGCCTTCCAAGTGGAAGGTTGCGGATGTGGAAATCGGCTAATCGAATGATTTCGTTCCCCTTCGAAATGAACACGAGAATAAATGATACTTAACTCGATTGGATAAATTTATCAAGAGAGTAACAAATACAATAAATTAAAATAGCAATACAACACAACTTAAATAACTCAACAACAACAACATACAACTACTCCATACAACACAACACAAACTTCACTAATACAACACTACAACTGATCAAAATCAAGATGGGATAAGACCTCGTAGAAGGTTACGGTGTCGTGATTCAGGCGCTCCGCTTCGGGATCTCTCCATCGAACATTCTCGAACATCGGGGAAAAACAGCTGGGGAAACAGTTGACTCGGGGGGCATCTCTCTCTCTCCATAAATTCCGTCGAGTTGACACGTCGTGGATAACTCCAGGTTCCGTGGAATCTGACAGCGACGCTCAAATTTTGACAACATTTGCTACGAAATCTGCACAGCTGATACGAAAATCTGCACAAGTGAAAACTAAAATTTTTTATCGCCAAAAAATGTCAACAACACAACACAAAGGCTCATTTGCACCACCGCCGTATTTCTTTTCGCTGTTCTTTTCATTAAAAATTTTTACATCTGCTTTCATGTTTACTTTGTATAAGAAAAAAGTTACGTTTTGATGACGTGAGAAGGGAAGATCAATGTCGGATATATTCGTTCTTTCGCCTGCGGGTAAAACCCTTTCTTTTTTCATGAAAAGGAAAATCCGATGACTCAAACAAAACATTTCCAGCGCTCCTTTTTCGAGGGATCTTTTCAAGGGTTTTATCGACGGAAAGGTGAGTAAACGAGAGGTTTATGTCAACTTATTTTTGAGTTACAGGGAGGGCTTGAGGGGTTTGAGATTCGATGGTGAGATTTTAATGTAGATGGGCCAAAGTTAGGACTAGGTTATAGCGTGAAATACTGGGGGGCTTTGAACCCGCTCTACGCAGAAACCGACAAAAATTTTTTGATCTTTTTGTGATGAGAAATCTAAGGGGAAGTATCCCAAGTGCGACGCTCAGATTTTGATGAGACTTTGGCACATTTTAAAATTATTTTTTCTAAAACACATGCGGGAATCCTAGCTTGCGCTTTGCAGAAACAGCCACGATTTTTAGATCGAGTCGGCGGAAATTTGGGACTTTTTGCCGGATTTCGGCACGAAAAATTTCATGATTATTTCTGCCATAGAGGGTGATTTAAAAAAAATCGGTGATTTTTTTAAAAATTTAAAGAAAATCTGAGATTTTTCTTTAAAATTTGGAGAAAATCTGAGCCTCGCACTTGGGGTACTTCCCTTGTAAGAATTTTTTCCTCTTTTTTGCCCTAATTTATCATCATTCCTCCACACTTTCCAACATTACGCAATAACAGCATCAGACTTTTTTTTTAATCTAAACAACGATTGGTTTATCTCCAACGGCATAATCGACGAGAGAAACGAGTTGAAGTACGCTGAAGAGCCGCTGAAAGGGGATGAAGAAGACGATCAGTCAGCTCTTTATCCGACTGGTTCTTTCAGCGGGTTGCTTTCCGTTTTTTTGACCGAGAGTTTTCCGAATTTCTTGAGAAACCGGACTCTCGCAGGTTCACCTTGACATTTGCTTACATTTTTGAAAAAATTTAAGGGGGAATTTTGAAATTTTTTGAGTTTTTAGTGGCTTGATAAAAATTTTGGGGCTTTTCAATAAAAAATATAGAGATTAGAGGGGCTGAATATTGATTTAAAAGTGCTGTTTAAAACTTTTTTTTGTTCTTTTTTGCATAATTTTGCATATTTTTTTCAATTTTCCCTAGGATTTTCCAGAATTTTCAACGAAATCGATGACTTTCAAAGCCTATTAACCATTCCTGTTTTCAGATTGGGGTATCCAAATTCCTCTGACCTCTTGTTTGCGGTGGTGAAAACCCAAATTTGATGTGTGACGTCATCGAGAGAAATGCGCGTAGGCGGCGCGCATAAATCATTCGTGTTGGCCTTGATCGCACTCTGCCTGACCGTCAGCCACGCAAAGCGCACGAAGAAAGCGGGCAGCAAGACGTTGCAGCGGATCAATAGTCTCATCAACGAGCACATCAACAAGTGAGTTTGTTTTGGTGCTTTACATAGAAAGTGTGACTGTAAATATTGCTTTGTAAAGTTGTTAGGATTTGATGAGATTTGGTGAAAAATTGTAGCATGGTTGGGCATGCTATATACTGGATTTACAGCACAGGAACAATAGAGTTTTGGGTCGGAAAATGCCTAGAATTTAGGTTCTTTTGAAGTGTTTAGTACCAAATTCAGAAGACTTTTTTCACATGTTCCAATTAAGAACTTTATCCAAAAATCATTACTTTTTGTCAAAAATTAACTATTAAGATATGGCTAGTACTTTTTTTCACTTACCATTACCACTCATTTTCCATAGTATGGCGCCTACAAAGGTCGATGAATAGCTTAGCGGCGACTGCCAAGAGAGACTTGAAATTTTCCCACAGTAAAATGCGCTATAGTAGATTTCTTATATACGCAAAGTTTCAACAAAAATTGAAGCATCGTACATCAAAACAATTAAAAATCTTAAAGCTCTCATTAGTCAATTTTCTATGTAAAAATATACTTGTAAATATCAGTCTGTCTGGGAAATAGTGAGCGCAATATCGCTGGGCCAATGGCGTCGCTGAAGTTAAAGCAATTTGATTTTGCCGCGACACAGTTCATTTTCTCGGCAGCGATGCGATTTTTGATGCGACAGAGTGGTCATTGTTTTCCCGACAGGCCGATACAGTGACGGACCTGATCCAGTGGCAAAAAGCCATTTCGCATCCAGGAAGCATCAAAAAGGTGGCAAAATGCTTCCTTCTCCAAGTGGAAAAAACTTCGTTTTGAAGAGCGCGCCCCTTCCCTCACAAAAAGATCGGCGCGCCTTTGAAATTGGAGTTTTTTTTACTTGCAGAGGGAAGCATTTTGCCACATTTTTGATACTTCCCATTTGCAAAATGGTACGTTTTTTGCCACTGGATCAGGTCCCCCACTGTATTTCCTTTCATTTTTCCAGAACGCTTCCTCAATTCGACACTCCCTCTCTGCCTCCGCCCAAACTCAACCCCAATGCTCGACGTCATCCCGACGAACTCAGTGTCAACGATCCGGAAGACTTTTTCCAAGGAGACGTCGAGCTGTCCGACCGCCAGGCCACCATCATCGAGCAGGACCTGCTCGAGAAGTTGGGGCGCGCCAACGCCCGTCGCAAACGCAAAGTCGGACGTGAGTCCGTGTACAAACGCTGGGACACCAAGCGACCGATCAGTTACGAGTTTGCGGAGAGCATTCCAGAGCCCACCAAGCAGCGAATCCGCGAGGCCCTCGGGCTGTGGGAGCGGAACACGTGCATCCGCTTCCTGGAGAACGGACCCGACGTCGACCGACTCGAGTTCTACGACGGTGGAGGGTGTTCGTCGTTTGTGGGAAGAGCGGGCGGCACACAGGTAAGTAGAGGGTAGACTTGGCTGCCGGGCTGGGCCGGCCCGGGCCGGTGTTCGGGCCGGGCCAAAGCAAAATTGAAACGGGCCGGGCCGGGCCGACCTGTTCCGGCCCGCGGGCCGGGCCGCAACTTTCGGCCCGGGCCGGCCCGGCAAAATTAAAATTCTGAATTTCAAAGCGAAAACTTGGGGCCAATAAAATTAAAACGCAAAGCCAAGAAGGGGGTTTATATTTTTTTCACAGTAATCATAATTCTATAAAAATAAAGCACGGAAGTACTCAAAAATGGCTAATAATAAGTAATTTTACTAGTAAAATCTATTAAGTACTAATGTAGATTAGTGTTTGTAGTAATTTTTTGAACAAACACTCAAAAAAAAACGTAACCGGCATCCTTAAAAACACAATTAAGAAGTCGTGTGAAGCAACACTATCATCTGGAAGTTGAAAATCTTGATAAACGTGGTTCTACCTTTGCTGAGTCTATAAAATTGATCTTGGGGCAATTTTTAATAGTCTGAAAACGGATATCGGGATTTTTTTGATTAATTTTATAAAGGCAATGGGTTGGTAAGTAATTTTTTGCTTAAAAAATATACTGTTAGTTGTTATAGTAAAGAAAAATGTGTCACATCTAATAGCGAATTAAGGTTTTTTACTTCTTCTCAATTTTCGGGCCGGCCCGGGCCGAAGAAAAATTGAAACGGGCCGGGCCGGGCCGACCTCTTCCGGCCCGCGGGCCGGGCCGCGATTTTCGGCCCGGGCCGGCCCGAGAGCCAAGTCTAGTAGAGGGCACGTCAAACGGACAGGGGAAATACTTCAAGTGCGACGCCCAGATTTTATTTAAAATTTTGCACACTTGTCGGGTATGGACTAAATATCAATTCCTGAAAGTTAGCTCCCGCTTTGCGGGCGCCGCCGAGATATCGAACAATTTTTGCCGCCGAGAGAGCACGCTAAACGTGGAGAGCGGTCAGAGAGAAAAACACTTTTTGGCCATAACTTTGGCAGTTTCGTGCGGAAAATTTTGATTTTTTGTAGGAACACTATCCTTTACGGTAAAAATGGGCATGAAACTTTTCGTGCCGAAATTCGGCAAAAAGTCTTAAATTTTCGCCGACTTTCGATCTAAAAATCTCGGTTTTTTCTGCAAAGCGCGAGCCAGGATTCTCGCATATATCTTAGAAAAAAATATTCTAAATTTGTGCCAAGTTTCATCAAAATCTGAGCGTCGCACTTGTAGTACTTCCCCTGTGAGATAAGCCAAAACAGTCCAGTGAATGGATTGGCCATTTGCCAAAAAAAGACGCGAAAAAACGTTTTGTCGGAGAAGAATGGGGAATTTTTGGGGCGAGAGAGTACGCTTTTGCGTGTCTTTTTTCTCACATTCTCTGCGAAATCAAGACGAAGTGTAAAAAACCGATAGCGAAGGGTCTATTCCGGTCATCGGGCTCCTCAGCTTGACGTGCATGGTCTTTCAAGAAACGTGAAGAAAAGTAGCAGTCTATAACTTTCGGCGGAGGCGGCGCAGAGAGTTCATTTTTGGAATATGTATTTTTAAGCGACATTATTTTTTGCCCACGAAATAACAAGATTTTTAAATGCAAATGAGGTCGCTACAACCTCTTGAAAAAAGGCTCTTTTACCCCGAAACCCAGGGTTTTTCGGTTGAAAATGATCGAGAAATTTCATAGTTTTTCGGTTGGAAATCACCAAGAAATGTCGGATTTTTTCGGGGGTTTCGATAAAGTTGACGTTTAAAAAAAGGGAAGTTGTTGCCAACACGTTGAAAAGTAAGCAAATATTCCAAAAACGAACTCTCTGCACCGCCTCCGCCGAAAGTTATAGGCCCCTACTTTCCTTCACGTTTCTTGAAAGACCCTGTAGAATTCGATTTGCAATGAATTTGAAAAAATCCAAGTCATTGCAATTTGAATATTAGGGTGAACCAAAAAATTTTTCGGATTTTTTATTTTCATTTTATATCGCTTTCAGGGAGTCTCCATCGCCACACCGGGCTGCGACGTTGCCGGCATCATTGCGCACGAAGTGGGACACGCGCTCGGCATCTTCCACGAGCAGGCCCGACCCGACCAGGACCGCAACATCCGCGTCCACTACGACAACATCCCCGTCTCGCGCTGGAACAACTTCTACCCCATCGGCAACGACCAGGCCGACGTCTTTGGTCTACCATATGATGCTGGCTCTGTGATGCACTACGGGCCGGGCGGGTTCGCCATCAACCCGTACCATGCGACGATCTCGGTGTTGGACGCGAATTGGCAGAGTACGATCGGCCAGAGAGTGGGGCCTTCGTTTCTCGATTATCAAGCTGTGAGTTGGCTGTGTATATTTATAAGCTACTGAAAGGCCAAAGACGCTAAAAATTACTTTGAAAACCCGCTGAAACAGGTCGTTACAGAAATCTAAGGGCTAGCCATCAATCTGTTATCAGTCTGTCGGGAAAATAATGAGGGCAATTTTGCTGCGACAAGCGTGTCGCTGAATCGAAAAGCAATTTGATTTTGCCGCGACACAATTCATTTTCTCGGCGGCGATGCGATTTTTGATGCGAAAAAGAGCTCATTATTTTCCCGACAGACCGGTAGTATTTTCATAAAGTGAATGGACTTTTGTCGCCGTGCACAAAAAATTCCGCCTTTTGCACCGTGCATTTCACTTTTATTTTGGTTTTCGTTTCGCACTGTGCATTTGAAATATCGCTGCGACACAAGCAAGTTTCAATTCCGTCATTGCAAAAAATTTGCACAGTGCAAACGGCCATTTTTTAGGTTTGCACTGTGCATTATAAAAAGAGGAAAATGCACTGTGCGTTAGCGACAAGCGTGGGAAAGAGTTCAAAAAGAGCTGGGCGAAAAAAGAAAAAATGTCCATGCACTTTATGAAAGTTCCATCAGTCTGTCGAAAAAATAATGAGCACTTTCGCACAAATTTTTGTAGGCTCATGGTGGTTTGAATGGTTTGAAAAATGGCTTTGATTGCAATGAAATATTAGTCTGTCGGGAAAATAATGAGCACTCTGTCGCAGCGAAAATCGCATCGGCGACGGGAAAATGAATTGTATCGCGTCAAACTCAAATTCCTTTTCATTTCAGCGACATCGCGCTCATTATTTTCCCGACAGACTGATTATAAATATTTGTCCATTAAAAAATCATTTTCAGATTAACAAAGCCTACAAATGCACGGAACATTGTCCTCCGATCAACTGTAAAAACGGCGGATATCCAAATCCCCACAACTGTAAAAAATGTAAATGTCCGGTGGGCCTGGCGGGCGCACGTTGCGCTGACGTGCAGTTCTCGGTCTGCGGAGGCGCTCTGAAGGTGAGGAAACTATTTAAAACTGCTTATATTTTTATTTAGCATCAAAATTCAAGCCCTTCTTCAACGATTTTCGCATTTTCAGGCCTCCACAAACAAGCTTCAAATCCAATCGCCCAACTACCCTCTGCCATTCCCGCAGGGCATGGACTGCAACTGGCTTATTCGAGCGCCCAAAGGCGGGAAAATTTATCTTCAATTTGTGGATGAGTTCAACTTTGAGTGCATCGACACTTGCGACGCCTCTTATGTGGAGGTCAAGTTGAAGAAGGACTTTCGCATGACCGGCTATCGTTTCTGCTGTAGCCAAGCGCCGTCGCAGACGCTGGTCGCGGACTCGGAGCAAATGGTTGTGCTGCATCGGGGAATGGGCCAAGTTTCGGCCGGATTCCGAGCGTTAATCTGGTCCGACAAGGATCCGGATGAGTCTGAAAAATCGCAGATTACTTCCACAAGTCGGCCGTTGTTTACTCTCCCGTTCACGACAACTATGCGAACGACAACTACGACTGCAGAGCCGGAAAGACCAATTGAGACCACTAGAGGCATGGAGAAGATTGAGGAAGTTGAATTTAAGCCGGAAATTGTGCAACCAACTAGATTTAGAACTTCCCCACCACTTTTCACGACCACTACAACAACTTTAAGACCTACTACAGCTACCACAACTACCACTGAACCACCACTAACAGAGATTTACGAGAAGAAAACGACCATTTCTCTGCTGCCCGGGGAAATCGACCAATTTCTTGGCGGAGCCCTAGGCCCTGATGAGAATTTGGAGAAAATCGATGAGGAAAATGAAAAAGAAAAGGAATTCACGCTGTTCCCAACGTTGTTACCGACATTTCCGAATGTCTTCGGAATGACGACGGTTCCGCCGAGTTCCGTGGAAGTTCATTCGACGGAGACGCCGGAAGAAGTGACTGCTCCGGATGGTGAGTTTGGCGATAAATTATATTAATATAAAATATAAACGCAAAGTCAATCGAAATTGGCTGTAGAGTAAGTAGCGACGAAATTAGAACCTAGTTTTATGATTCTGTCGGGAAAATAATGAGCACAATGTCGCTGCCCCAATTGCGTCGCTGAAGAAAAGAAATTTGATTTTGCCGCGACACGATTTATTTTCCCGGTGGCAATGCGATTTCCGATGCGACAGAGTGCTCATTATTTTCTCGACATTGATAATTTTCAAGAATTTTATCTCATGCTATGCAAGCGCAGCCAAGATATTCAAAAATCTGTCTAGAGAAGGCATGCAAAATCTGGCCCATATCTAAGCTTTACCCTTCAAGTGGTTTGGGGTTTGGTTAAAAAACAAAGCAGCTTTCTTATAAAAATTAAATTTCCTTGGTTTTTTATTATTCAGTATGGGGTTTTGCGACTTTGCTTTCATTTTTTAGATCCTTAATTACTGGTGCGTTCGGTGATTTCTGCGGTATGCACTGTGGAAAAACAAAAGTTCACGTTGCAGTGTGCAATTTCTTGTTTTTTGCACAGTGCAAGTGGCCTTCTTGGGCTATCAACATGTCGTCGAAATCGCTGCTGCGATTTTACAATCAAAGTACAGGGTGTTTCAAGAAATTCACCGGAAAGTTTTTATCGATTTCTTGGTGTTCAGCAAATATTCGTGTGATCGTCAAAAAAGTGCCCAAATGTTTTCGCTGAATACACTGTTTTCCGCATTAGCGGAGAAAATGATTTTTTTAGGCGAAAAATCGCCCATCTTCTTCTTTGTCAGGCAGAAAGAATTTTTTGGATATCTTGAATGAGCGGCAAGAAATCGACAAAAACTTTTTTCTTTTATTTCTTGAAACACCCAGAAGTTTTTGTGTGTCTAGAAAATAATGAGCACAATTACGCTGCACCAATTGCGTCGCTAAAGTGAAAAGCAATTTGATTTTGCGGCGACACAATTCATTTTCTTGGCGGCGATGCTATTTTCTATGCGACAAAGTGCTCATTATTTTCCCGACATAATGATAAAATTCTTTTTCAAACCCCAATTTTTTCATTTTTAGGCGCCGAATGTGCCTGCGGCCCTTGGTCGGAATGGATTGCGCCGTGCACGCAAATGTGTGGCGGTTGCGGGAAACGGACTCGAACCCGCCCCTGTCGCTCCGAGAAATGTCGCCGCGAAGAGAAGCGGACCTGCAATTTCGACGTGTGCCCCAAGGGTACCAACTTTCTGTGGACCAACGGCGAGTTCCACTTCCTGTTCGACGGCTGTTGCTTTGGCAGTTTTAATAACGGGAACGGCGTCTGCAGCGGGATCGAGCAGGAGAAGAACGGCGGGGTCGTGCAGTTGTTATTGAACCTGCTGAAGGCCGGAGATGAGCCGGATGGAACGAAGAGGCGGACGTTCGTCCCGGATTAGTAAATATGGATTTAGTAAATATTTGAGTTTTGAGAGCTTATTGCAAAAAATTTCTTTTTTAGTAATTTTTTTTAATCTCTTTTTTAGAGATGATTAGAAATTGGTAGTCGTTGGTTTTATTTACATTGGGGGTTGGTCTTTAGTCCTGAAAATGTTTGGTCTTCAATCTTCAAGTTCTAGGATTCGTAAATATATGACGTCATTTAAAATATCGGTTTGTCGGGAATATAATGAGCCCGGATCAAAAATTGCATCGCCACTGAAAAAATGAAATGTGTCGCTGCAAAATCAAATTGCTTTTCACTTCATCGATTTAGCGACACGGTTGGCGCAGCCACTTGTGCTCATTACTTTCCCGACGGACTAAAAAACCGTTTATTTTCAAACGTCGATAGGTAAAACAAAGTGAAGGTACCTAAATTAGGATGATTAGATTTGTTTGAAAATTCCGCATACGTGTTCTCAATAGACCACATTTTAATCCATGAAAATTTTAGCGTTTTCTTTGCAGCCGCATCCGAGATATTCAACAATCTTTTTTGCGAGAGAGTACGGAAAATGAGGAGAGTTCACTAGGCAAACAATGTTTTTGGTCTGTGATTTTTTCCGTTGCCATTGGAAATGGTTGATTTTTTGTGTGAGAAAAGAGATCATTCAGTTCTTCATCGAAAGCAATATTTTCAAATCGAAAATCAAATCAAATTCTAGATCTTCTTCTCTTTTTTCGACCGAAAATTTTCGACTGAATTTTGCAAAGCAAATGCTAAACAATTTCACTGACATCTCTAGCAAAGCTAGAAGATTATGACCTTAAAATTCGTTTAGTATCAGTGAAATTGTATTGCAATATATTGTCGAATTAGGGGTACCTTCAATTAATTTTTCAGTACCTTTACTTCTACCGTATTTTACAATTGTTTAGGTTATATTCACTGACATTAACTTATACTACATATTATCAATGTACTAGTCCGTTAGCAAAGTCGCTGCAGTGAGTTTGGCGACATGCACTGTGCAAAAACTAAAGTTCACTTTGCACTGTGCAATTTCATGCTTTTTGCACCGTGCAATTGATTACTACTTAACAGTACTACTTAAGAAAAAAGTAACAACCAGAAAAAATGAACCCGATATTCGAAATCAGCACCCTCGAAAACCCCTAAATCGAGTATTTTTGGAAAAATTTCAGAAAATTACTTTTTAACACTACTGCTTAAGGAAAACTAGTAACAACCAGAAAAAAATAACCCCGATATTCGAAATCAGCACCCTCGAAAACCCCTCAAGCAAGTTTTTTCCCGAAAAGAATCAAAGAATTTTCATCCCGGGGTCGCTTTACATTTTGGGTCGCAATTGATGCGAGATCGCAATCGAAGGATTCCCTTTTTTGTCGCTCGCACCCTGACTTTTTCTGCACAGTGCAAACGCCAAAAATTACTTTAGCGACTTCTCGGACGGACGATAAGATGCATTTTGATTATTTTCTCTCACCACTCTAACAAATCTCCGCCATTCTTTCCAATTATTGTTTATTTGTACATTCGAGGAAACTTTGAAATTTTACAAAATTAAATAAAAAACAATTCTTGAGCGAATCTTACGAAAAATAAACATCGAACTGAGATCGCGATGGCGTTTAAGATTTGGCAAAAATTTCGAAGACTTTTGGCCCAGAAACAGAGGAAGGCACGTGGTGTGTGAATTATACGCTTCAGACGGTTATTGGCTTAACAAAAACTCTCCCGTTTTGGTACCCGGATCGGTTGGCCGTTCGCGCCGTCCTTGGAGTCCATCTGGAGGAGGCGGGCTTCCTGAAATAAATGGAGATTAAAAATTTGGATATTTAAATTTTTTTTAAACTTTTTTAAGTACTCCAAGTGCGACGCTCAGATTTTCTTTAAATTTTGCACACACGTCGGGTATGGACTAAATATCAATTCTTGAAAGTTTTAGCTCGCGCTTTGCGGGCGCCGCCGAGATATCGAACGATTTTTGCCGCCGAGAGAGCACGCTAAACGTGGAGAGCGGTCAGCGAGAAAACACCTTTTTGGCCATAACTGGCAGTTTCGTGCGGATAAATTTCATTTTTTATAGAAACATTATCCTTTACGGTAGAAATAGGCATGAAATTTTTCGTGCCGAAATTCGGCAAAAAGTCCTAAATTTTCGCCAACTTTCGATTTAAAAATCTCGGTTTTTGTGCAAAGCGCGAGCTAGGATTCTCGCATATTTCTTAGAAAAAATTATTCTAAATCAGTGCCAAGTTTCATCAAAATCTGAGCGTCGCACTTGGGGTACTTTCCCTGTAAGCTGTTATTCGGGCTACAGCGCACGGTGCAAAAATTGAAAAAATCGGCAAGGTGCGAAACGCGCGGCATAAGTTTTTTTTTGAGCCTTGAGCAAAATATATCGACTTTTTGGCCCATCTATTACAGTCTGTCGGAAAATAACGACCACTCTGACGCCTCGAAAATCGCATGGCTGAAGTGAAAAACAATTTGATTTTGCCGCGACACAATTCATTTTCTCGGCGGCGATGCGATTTTCGATGCGACAAAACACTCATTATTTTCCCGACAGACTGATCTATAGTGCTCTTAGAAATTGTCCGTTGATTTTGACAATTGTTAAGGTTTCGTTGTACAGAGGTTACAGAGATTTTACTGTAATAAAAAATATATTGAAGTTGAAGAACATAATATATATCGTATTTTAAAAAATATTTTTTTTAGCGAATACAGTTCGTTTACAGTAAATTTTTAATCAAAAACTTACCAATTGACGATGCAATGAAGGCGAATCAGTGCTCATCGCTGACTTGAGGCGCTGAAGAACTTCAAACCTCAGTGGCATTGTTTTGAAGCGATTTCTGAAAATCTGAATATTAAAAATGCTGACCACATAGATTTTTTTTATTATTATTTTTTCTTGAATATTCAAATTTTTATAAAAAAAGTCATTTTTTCAAATTTTTTCAAATCTCGGTTTTTTTATTTTTCCTTGATTTGAATTTTTGAATATTCCAATTTTAGAATTTTTATGCAAATTTGGAATATTCAAATTTTTATAAAAAAAAGTCATTTTTTAAAATTTTTTCAAATTTCGGTTTTTTATTTTCGCTTAATTTGAATTTTTGAATATTCCAAATTTTAAAATTTTATGCAAATTTTTCACAAATCCCAAAATTTATTCCAAATTCATCATTCTCAGATTCCTCCTAAACCTATTTCCATAACTTCCCGGAAAAAAATTCTCCCGAACGCTTCACTTCCCCGAAAATGCTGGCGGATTTGTAGCCTATAATTGGCCGGCACTCGCCGACATAATTTCCTTGTTTTCGCTTTGTTTCTCGGAAGGAAATCCGCGCCGGAAATTGAGTTTGTTGCGTTGGTGTGAGCACGCCGGAAACATTAGGGTGTCGAGAAGTTCCGCGTTAGGGCTGCCGCACATCCTGCGGAAAGCAGGATGTTTGACCGTGGCAGGAGGAAAAGAGCGTATCGCTTTGGGGTATTTTTAAATACTTTAAAAAGGCCTGAGCACGTCAGAGGCCAGTACTATTTGTCGTTCTATAAAGTACGTAGACTTTTGATCGCAAATTTGTTGCACTGTCTATTTCATTTTTGCAATGTGCCATTCAAAAATCGTCTTGCAGTAAGCTGCTTTCGTCCACAGTGACGGACCTGATCCAGCGGCAAAAAACGTACCATTTTGCATCCGGGAAGTATCGAAAATGTGGCAAAATGCTTCCCTCTCCAAGTGAAAAAACCTTCGTTTTGAAATCTGAGTTTTTTTCACTTGGAGATGGAGGTACCACATTCTTTGATGCTTCCTGGATGCAAAATGATACGTTTTTTGCCACTGGATCAGGTCCCCCCACTGGCCATTGCCGCGCGTTTTGTGCGCACAATTGCACGGTGCAAAAAGAAGAAAAATGCGCTGTTCGCGTTGTACTGGTCAAATTTTGAAAAAGAATCAAAAAATCGAAATTTAGGGCACCTTCATTCATCTTGGTTTTTCTACTGGGTCTTACAAAAAACGTGAAGGAAAGTCGGAGGCTATAACTTCCGGCGGAGGCGGCGCAGAAAGTTCGTTTTTGGAATACATATTTTTAAGCGACATTAGTTTTTGTCTGCAAAATAGCAAGATTTTAAAGTGCAAACTGAGGTTGCTACGACCTTCTGAAGTAGGGGCATTCCCACCCCGAAAACCGGTGTTTTCGGTTGAAAATAATCGAGAAATTTCGGATTATGTTTTTTGTAAGACCCTGTTTGCAAAACAAACAGCTTTTGTTAGTCTGTCGGGGAAATACTGAACACAGTGCCGTTGCGTCGGTCCTGTCGCTGAATTGAAAAGCAATTTGATTTTGTCACGACACAATTCATTTTCCCGGCGGCGATTCGATTTTTGATGCAACAGAGTGCTCATTATTTTTTCGACAGACTGATACGAAAAGATACCTTTTTTTGCTCTCATTTTTCATCAAAAAAAAATATTGCAAAGCACATCTCGTTTTTCCAAAAAAACCCTTACCTTCCGGCACCCGGCGCCTTCACACTGCGAATGCTCTGGTTCATCAACGACGGCTCATGATACGTGTCGACCGTTGAGGTGTTGGCGGGCGCGTACAGACGCGAGAAGTGCGAGCGCAGCCCACTCTTGCTCTTGCAGCCGAACGAGAGGAACAGGGCGTTGCGGAACTTGCTGTTCAAGAAACAGTAAGTAATCGGGTTGGTGCAGGAGGAGAGGTAGGTCAGGACGGTGATGAAAGTGTTCAGTTCGGAGTTCCAAACGTTGAGGCCTTGGAGCTGGAAGGGGGAAGGGTTAGAGGGCGAAATTATTGGGTTTAAAGGGGATAAATAGTATGTTGTCTGATAGTAAAATGCTCCTTGTGCGATGCTCAGATCTTTATAAGATTTTACGCCTACGCTGGGCTTAGGCTATATATCAATTCTTTAAAATTTCATTTTGCTCTATAGATGTGCAACTGAGATATTCAACAATCTCTGCGGATGGGAGAGTAGGCGAAACGCGGAGAGCGAACACAGGGAAAAAACTTTCTTGGCACTTGTCTCATGCAAAGATCTATGAGAATCTAAGGGTCTCCTGCAAAGCAGTATCTAACAATAAGCCTTTCAGAAATAATCCGGAATAAATATTCCTCGGTCTAGATATGAAACAATCTTTACCGGTGAGAGAGTAGGCGAAACGCGGAGAGCGATCATAGAGAAAAACACTTTCTGGTTATATCGTAGCCAGTTTCGTGCGGAAAAAAATGATTTTTCGTGGAAACATTAGCCTCTACAGTTGAAATAGACATGAAACTTCATGCACACCTGGCGTTGCACTTTGAGGAATTTCTTGAAAAATGGGGCTTTGAAAAAAAGGCCATCTTTCCAGATTAAACATTAATATTTTTCGGCTTTATCTATCTGAGAGCATTGCATACCTATCCCATGAAAAAAACAAAACAAGCCTTTAAATGTCCTCTAAAACTCACCCCGAAAGCATCCTGCGCGTTCAAAAGAAGCCACCAAATGTAGGAAGGTGTCCAGCAGCAAAAGAAAATGATGACCACCACGATCAGCATCCGCACCAAGCGCTGCTTCACCAGCGCCGTGCGCCCACTGTGCGTGGAGCGCAACGATTGAGCGCCGTTCAAAACGCTGGAGGTCTTACGACTGTCCGTGCTGACGTTCCCGTTCGCGCCATGAATACTGGCGGCCGTCCATCTAAAATTTACATATTATAATTTTGATGCTTTGCAAGAGCTTTTTTTGAGAGGTTTTTGGGGTAAAATGTGGGTAAATCGTTTCGAAGAGGAGCTGGTTAAAAGTCAATGGTCAAAGTTCTCAGTCTGTCGGGAAAATAATGAGCACAATGAACGCCAATCGCATCGTTGGCGTGAAAAGCAATTTAATTTGCCGCGACACAATTCATTTTCTCGGCGGCAATGCGATTTTGGTTGCGACAGAGTGCTCATTATTTTCCCGACAGACTGATATGCGATTATTCAAAAAACACATTTTGCACCGTGCCCGCCCAAAAAGTGAGTTTGCACAGTGCAATTGCGTTTTTTGCACCCGCCGCAAGCGATTCAGAATTATCGCAGCGACAAATCATGTCTTTGAAGTGCGACCGAATTTGGGGGCCGCGAGAGATTCCAAGGACTTTTTGCCGAGAGTGCTATCAGTCTGTCGGGAAAATAATGTGGATTTGTCGCACCTTGGAGTCATCCATTATGTGTTTTGCGACGTCTAGCCGCGGCAGGAGATTTGGCAAAATGTCTGCGATAAGGCGAGATATTTTGCTGCGACATTCCATATTATTTTCCCGACAGATTGATATTAGCCCTAAGGTAATGTAATCTAGATCTGTGCCATATTTCATCGAAATTTATGATCTGTTTCTGAAGACTCCCTTTTGGAGTTTTTTCGCAATAACCTAGCCATTTCTTGAGTCAGCAACTGCTTCCTTCACCTACCTGAACCGTTTGCTCTTGGCGGACCCGTTCGAACTCAAAATTCCCTTTATCGTTGGTTGCAGTGGAGTGGAAGGGGCGGTTGGCCCGTTCCCAACGCCATTGTTGTTTGAGCCCTTTGTCGGGGAGGTTTCATTGCGATTATTGTCTAGACCATCTGAAATTTTAGGGTTCAAAAGGCGTCAGAAGTGCAATTTTTTCATAAATGATTTTTTTTACAATCTAAATTGGTGTAGTATCAGACTGTCGGGAAAATAATGAGCACTCTGTCGCATGGAAAATCGCTTCGCTGAAGGAAAAAGAAATTTGGTTTTCCCTCGACACAATTCATTTTCTCGGCAGCGATGCGAGTTTTGATGCGACAGAGTGCTCATTATTTTCCCGACATATTGATACAGTGGCGGACCTGATCCAGTGACAAAAAAACGTTCCATTTTGCACCCGGGGAGTGTCAAAAAATGTGGCAAAATACCTCCCTTTCCAAGTGAAAAACTCCGGTTTCAAAAGCGCGCCCGTTCTTTTTGTGAGGGGCCCTTCAAAAAAGGAGTCTTTTTTCCCTTGGAGAGGGAGGCATTTTGCCACATTTTTTAGTACTTCCCGGGTGCATAATGGTGCGTTTTTTGCCATTGGATTAGCTCCGTCACTGAAACCATAGAAAAAAACATTATATGCGCAAAATTTGAACACAATCTCACCTCCATTCTGCACCTCAATTGCCGCAATGTCCATGCGAATCCCCGACTTGAGCGTTCGTATCACCGACCCATACAAACACGTCATGATCACCAGCGGCACCACCAACAACACGATGGTCATGTAGACCTGATACGCAAAATGAACAATGGGTTTGTGCTTTGGCGCGCAGTTCAGACCCGACTGATTGTAGGTCTGCAGCTCGTACAGGAACAACATGAACACATTCGAGACGATCGCGATCACCCACACCAACGCGATCATCGCCATCGCGTGCGTTTTTGTGTGCCAGACGCGCGACTGCAGCGGCTTGCAGATGGCGTAGTAGCGCTCGAGAGCGATTGCGGCCAAAGTGTAGGCACTGGCGGTCACAACCACAGCTGAAAATGGGAGGTTGAGGAAATTGGGGGGATTTTGAGGGAATGGGGGAAAATGAGGCGCTTGGATTGCATTCCAAGTCGTCCAGAAAGTCGCTGGATTGATTTTTGGAGTCTGCACTGTGCGAAAAAGTCAGGGTGCGAGCGACAGCCCAAAAAGCCTATTGCACGGTGCGAAAAACTAGAAAATGCACAGTGCAAAGAAAAATTTGCTTTCTCACAGTGCAGGTCGCCGAAATCACTATGAAATCACTACAGCGGCGTTACGAACGGTCCAGTATTAAATATATTTTACTGGGGGGCAAATTTACAGGGGAACTAGTCCAAAAAAGGATGCTCAGATTTTGATGATACTTGAAAAAAATTAGAAAATTCTTTCTCCATTACAACCCAACCTTCTGCGAGACCACAAAATTGTCCCGTTTTGCAGAAATGGCAGACAATTTCTTTCATTTTCGATCGAAAATTGGAAAAAAATTTGATGCTTTTTTGAGAATTTCGGCATGGGAAGTTTTACGCCTATATGTTTACCGTAAAGGGTATTGTTTAGGCCAAAAAATCGCAACGGCTCTCTGAGATTTCAGGGGCATTTTTGGGCAGGAAAAACTGTTTTTTCTCGAAATGCCAAGTACAAAGGGGAAACAAAAAAAAAAATAAATTTTTTCTCCGAAAAAACCTGATAGAAACCCGAAAATTTTTCCTCAATGCTCTCTTCAATTTATACAGTTTTCGCCGCAAAAATCGTAAATCATCTCTTACGGTTCTGCAAAGCGCGAGCTAAAATTTCGAACTACGATTTTGTCTAACGATTTTTCCAAACGTATTTAAAAAAACTCTTTTTTATTCATTCAAACTTACGTTGCAGATAAGCCAAGGCTTTGCACAGCACATCGCCGAACACCCAGCAATACACCAGCGAAGACACTAGCGTCGGCGGCATGCACACAACGCTCAACAAAAGGTCACTCAACGCCAAGTTCAGCAGGTAAATATTGGTGACCGAGCGCATCGAGCGTTGCTGAAATTTCCCACGCATTATTAGCTAAAAATAACCGTAGTATTGAGCGTATAATTCGAGGAAAGTTTTGCGGCTTTTTAATTAATTTGGGGTGTTCCTTGACCTCATTTTTTGGTCAGCGGTTTGTCCCGAGGAAACATTGTTTTTTCCGTCTCAAAAGAATCGACTTATTTATGGAATAAGCATAAGTGGATGGCACCGAAAGGATGGTAATCTTTGGCCATAAAATTAGCCATATTCTTTTTGACTTTGTTTCAGAGTGACGCTCAGATTTGGGGGAGGTTTAGCGCAAATAGTTAGGGCAGTTTTTCAGCCAGAAATTTGAGAGTTGCTTAGCTTGTATTTTGCAGAAAAAACCGGGATTTTTAGCCGGAAATATGACGAAAATTTGACAGTATTGTGAGCTTATCCATGAAGAATTTCAGCGCAAAAAATCCTGACAATTTGCCCTGTGTGGTTACAGGCAGAAAAAGAAGTAACGTTTTGACAAAAAAATCAATTTTTTTCAACTCAAAATTGGCCGAGTTATAGTGAAAAAAGGCTTTTCTCTGACCGCTCTCCGCATTTCTGATACTCTCTCGGCGGCAAAAAACGTTGAATATCTCGGCTGCGCCTGCAAAGCAAGAGCTAAAATTTTCAGGAATTGATATGTGGCCTAGATAGAACATATCAGCAAAATTTTAGAAAAATCTGACATCAAAATTTTTTTTTCAAAAATTTTTTAAAAAAAAAAATAGAAATTTTAAAAATTTAAAAAAATACCCAAAAATTGTTTTCAATAATTTTAATTTTTCTTTTTTTTACCTGCAAAATCACCACCACCACCACCGAATTGCCAATGACCGACAGACAGAAGATGGTGCAGAACGCCACAATCATCACATAATTGTTGATGGTGGGATGAAAGACGCACTCGTCGCCGAACTGAAACGGCGCCGCCGTCACCGGCCGCCCTCTCGGCGTGCTCACTTCTCCGACGGCGAGAGTGGCCGTCAGATTGGACACGGTCGCCAGGGTTGATTGCCTTCGTTGTGATGTCAGGATTAAACCATTGGAGCTCTGGAAAAGGGGGATTTTTTTCGGTTGGAGATTTTTTGAAGGCGAGAGAATGTAAAATATCGCGGAATAAAAATTTTCGAAAATAAAAAAAAATTTTTTTTTTGATTTTGAAAATTTTGAAAAAAAAATTCAATTGAAAAAATCAAAAAAAAATAAAAAAAAATATTTTTCAGATTTTTTGAAAATAAAACAAAATTTTTAAAAATAAAAAAATGAAAAAAATGCCAAAAATAATATTTTTTATTATTAAAAAATTCAAAAAATAAAAAAAATGTCAAATACAACATTTTTAAATCCAAAAAATATTTTAAAAAATAAAAAAAATATGAAAAATAAATTTTTTTAAATAAAAAAAAATAAAAAAAAAATATTTTTTCAAATCTTTTTAAAACAATTTTTTCCTCAAATTACCTCTAATGAACACCTCAAACCCCCAATGATCCCAACAACCCTCCCCAAAAACGCCCTCAGGGCGTAATACGAAAAGATCCTGAAACGCCCTCACCGATCCCGTGAACATTGTAAACAAACGCCTTGTCGCTTTCCAGCATGCCGGAAAAGGCGGGATTTATGAGAGGGAATTGGAATTTGGCCAAGAGAGAATTTTTAATTTCGTGAACAAAGTGCATCCGTCATTCTAATCAACCAAACGCGCGGAAAACAAAAACACAATGTTGATGATAGCCGGTTCTTGATCTAATTGGCTGAAGGAACCTGGAGGAAAGTGCAAAGTTTAGGGGGTCAAAGATTGGGTTTTAGTGGCCAAAAGGGGGATTTTACAATAAAAAATGAAATTTCTCAAAGAGCTACCTCAGAATTTCCTCCAAATTTCGAGCAAGTAATCCAGGTAGGATACAAATAAAATCCTGAAAATTTCAGCTCATTCTTTGCAGAGGGAGCCGAGATATCAGTCTGTCGGGAAAATAATGAGCACAGTGTCGCATCAAAAATCGCACGACCGCCGAGAAAACGAATTGTATTGCGGAAAAATCAAAATTTGCTTTTCACTTCAGCGATCGACTGGCGCAGCGACATTTCAATGAATTTTGCGAACGAGTAACTATGAAAAACGAGGAGAGATAGCCAGAGAAAGACGTTTCTGTCTTATCTGCTTTGAATTTTGCGGAGAAAATTTTAGCTATTTCTTTCTGAGAGTCCTGGGACTCAAGCTGTGGAAAAAGACGTATCTAAAAGTTTTTGAAAATCATCGAAATTTCGGCAATTTTATGCTTAAAAATCATAAATTTCCAAACATTCCAAGTTTGTTTTTGCCTATGCCATACAAAATCCCATTCTAAATATTTGTTCCAGAAACACAATCTTAAGCAATTCCCAGCTCAATTTTCATGCTAAATTTGGCCAATATCAGTCTGTCGGGAAAATAAAGAGGATTCGTCGCGCCTTAGAATCTTCCATCATTGCTCTGCGATGGCTAGAAATTTGGTGCGCGGCAGCGACGAGGCGAGATATTTTGGTGCGACATAGCCACATTATTTTCCCGACAGAATGATAGAATGAAACACCAAACTCCGTACAATAAATCCTCTCTATAACAAACAGTTTCAGGGATCCTTAAAGTTATCTCTAGGTCAAATCGAACCTCACTACAACGATATATTAAAAGCCCTTCTATAACGAACCAATTCTTTTGTTCCCTTACAAAAATCGTTGTGCCGAGGTTTGACGTTACAGATTAAAGCTCAAAAATTCACGTCTCAATATGTCAGTGTCCTTTAAAGTCACAAAGACCGTGACGAACACACCGACAACGCGCTCGAAAGTCAAATAGCCCGAAAAAATTGGACCGGATTCACGTTCAACTAGGCACAATAACAAAAAAAATTTTGTGTATAACGCCAAATAAACGTTCGTACATTTCGGGGACGGGCCCCATTTCAATTATGGAATAATCGAAAGCGCGCTTCGGGCCTCCCTTTCCGCTACAACGAGCGTTATTTTTCGGACGCCGAAGCTTCCAACCTTCGTGTTGGGGCGGTAAGTTTGTGTGCCATGATGACTTGAATGGCTTGAGAGATGACTTTATCAGTTTGTCGGGAAAATAATGAGCATTCGGTTGCAACGAAAATCGCATCGCCGCCGAGAAAATGAATTGTGTTGCGGCAAAATCAAATTGCTTTTTACTCCAGCGACGCGTCAAAATTACGGTCATTATTTTCCCGACAGACTGATATGAACACTTTTTCAAAAGTCCGTGGATTTTTTTCCGCAAACTCTCCGCACTACGCACCTTATTTTTTGCTTTGTGCAATCAAAAAATCGCCGCGGGCCAAGGTTTTTTCAACTGTGTCGTGGCTTTGAAAAAGACCTTACTTTTTTGTTGAAATAAATGTCGAAAAAGTCTCTATGGTCGAAAAAGAGAACACCTTTCATACTAACAGGGGAAGTACTCCAAGTGCGAGGCTCAGATTTTCTTTAAATTTTGCACACACGTCGGGTATGGACTAAATATCAATTCCTGAAAGTTTTAGCTCGCGCTTTGCGGGCGCCGCCGAAATATCGAACGATCTTTGCCGCCGAGAGAGCACGCTAAACGTGGAGAGCGGTCAGAGAGAAAAGCGCTTTTTGGCCATAACTTTGGCAGTTTCGTGCGGAGAAATTTGATTTTTTTGTGGAAAAATTATTTTTTACGGTAGAAATGGGCATGAAACTTTTCGTGCCGAAATTTGGCAAAAAGTCCTAAATTTTGGCCGACTTTCGATCTAAAAATCTCGGTTGTTTCTGCAAAGCGCAAGCAAGGATTCTCGCATATATCTTACAAGGAAAGTACTTTTATGGGGGCTCCTACTTTTTGACGGGACTTATCTCAAAAAATCAAAAAAAATGTGCTGATAAAGGATATATAAATCTTAGCTGCCCATTTTAGGTTTTTAGGGGTGAAAACTCGATCGGAAGTTGACTTAAAGTCCTATATAAACCCTTTTTCGCTTAATTTTTCACGGGTTTACAATTTTTATTTTGGCTTAAAATTATGTTTATTGAGTTTCTAAGACGTAATAAATCAGTCTTGGCCCAAAAATTTATTTTTCCGACCTTCAACTTCAAAAAAAGTTGATTCAGCCCAAAAGGGAAACCGAACCCGTGCGGCGTCCTCCCTCTTGATTCCCAGACTACGGCACTAACCACTCGGCCACACCGCTCTCTTCCGAAGGAAGAGACCGATTGCGCTTTTTATCGTTTCGAATGCCTGCGCCTTTTGTAGGGACATTAAGCCAGTTTTTGGGCATTTTCACCCATAAAAACCTAAAATGGGCAGCTAAGATTTATATATCCTTGATCAGCACATTTTTTCTGATTTTTTGAGATGTGTCCCGTCAAAAAATAGGAGCCCCCATAAAAGTACTTTCCTTGTTAGAAAAAATTATTCTAACTTTGTGCCAAGTTTCATCTAAATCTGAGCGTCGCACTTGGAGTACTTCCCCTGTAAAATTGGCAAAAAATTTTTGCATTTTTTGACAAATTTTGAGTTAAAAGTCTCTGCGTTTTTGCAAAGCATGAGCTCAGTGAGTCACGCATATGCCTTATAAAAGACCAATCTACATAAATTTGTGCCAAATTGCGTCCGCGTCTGGGAGTTGCACTTGAAGCAATGGTTTTGTAAATAAATAAAAAAGAAATTTTGTCATCCTATCAGTCTGTCGGGAAAATAATGAGCACAATTTCGCATCCAAAATCGCTTCGCTGAAGTGAAAAAAATTTGGTTTTTACACGATAAAATTCATTTTCTTAGCGGCGATGCGATTTCCGTTGCGACAAAGTGCTCATTATTTTCCCGACAGACTGATATATAGTACTGAAAAAAAATCTCCCAATATTTAACGGTAAAATTTAAGTTCCCAACTTGATCACTGGTCTATAAGGCCATATTTTTTGAAGCCTCAAACATTCAAAAAAACAATTTGCCTAAAGCGAACCACTAGGTAAAAAAACAAAAGAATTCCTTGTTTTTGCACTTTCGAATATTGTAGAAGGGGAAAGCTATTATCGCGAAAACAATACAACAAGGGCAAGGTTGACTGCAGCAAAATTTTCGGCCAAATTTTTAAATTGCCAGCGGCAAAAAAGAAAAAAAAAGTTAATAATAATAAAAAAATAATAAAAAATTGAAATTTTTTTAAATGTCATCAGTAAAAAACAACATGTCTGACACTATTTTTGTTGCATATTTGGAGCAACATAGCCTTCAATAGCCGCGAAAATGTAATAGTCTTTGCACAAGGGCGTCTTTGAATGCGGATTGCGTGATAAGTCGAAGAATTGCACGAGAAATTAAATTTGCGCACGTTTCAAGCAAAATAAGGAAGCGAAAATAGTGTGCATGCGGGTCAGTAAAGCAATTGTGGCAACGTGTTCAAATCAAGGGAGAAAGTTTTTTTTGTTTTTTTAGCTTACAAGAGAACTATACTCAAGTACCACAAGTGCGACGCTCAGATTTTGATGAAACTTGGGACAAATTTAGAATAATTTGTTCTAAGAAATATGCGAGATTTTTAGCTCGCACTTTGCGGAAATGACCGAGATTTTTAAATCGAAAGATGACAAAAATATGACACTTTTTTGTGAATTTTGAACATGAAAACTTTCATTTCAATTTCTACAGTAGAGAGTAATGTTTCCACAAAAAAAAATCAAATTTTTTCCGCAAAAAACTGATAAACATATGGCCAAAAAAGTGTTTTTCTCTCTGACCGCTCTCCACGTTTAGCGTGGCGAAAATGCGACATTTTTTTGTGAATTTCGGTGTGAAAAGTTTCATGTCAATTTCTACAGTAGAGAGTAATGTTTCCACAAAAAAAAATTTTTTCCGCACAAAACTGATAAACATATGGCCAAAAAACTGTTTTTTTCTCTGACCGCTCTCCGCGTTTCATGTACTCTCTCGGTGGCAGAGCTCGTTGAATGTCTTGGCGGTCCAAGAAAAGCTCGATCAAAGACTTTCAGGAATCACTGCTCCGTTTACAAAGTCGCTGCAGTGATTTCGGCGATTTTCAGTGTGCATAAAAAGTCAGGGTGCGAGCGACAGCCCGAAAAAGCCGATTGCACAGTGCAAGTTGCAAAAAGCCGGAAATTGCACAGTGCAAAATGAAATTTTGTTTTTATAAAGTGCATGTCGCAAAAATGAATCCAGCGACGTTTCCAACGGACTAGCAATACGTGGCATGTGCCCCAAAATGATTTTGAAATTTCAATCTTTTAGGACCAAAAAAATTGAAAAAAGACGTAATTTTCTGCAGTTTCTCCAAAAAAAATCATCTTTTCTTTTTTCGGCCTTCGAAATTAATCTCGAAAGTTGAGGGCAACAACATTCTCTCGAGCAAACTGAACCGTTGGGGAATTGGAAAAAAAGAAATAAACGTAGCAAATTTGTTACGTCACCAGATCATGTTTTCGAGGTGAATAAAGTTATGCTGTTCTGCTGTCTTCGTTTCGAAGCACGAGTAGAAATTTTTCCCTGATCGCTCTCGCGTTTAACGTACTCTCTCGGCCGCAAAGATCGCTCAA